CACGCCACCGATCACAAAGTTTACTATAAAGTGTATTAACAATTAAATTGAAATTCACAAAAAGCAAAAACGAAAAAACAATTATTAACAAAAAAATTTACAATTAATTCCAAAAAACAATTAATAACCATAAAAAACAAGCTAACAATAAATAACTAGCAAAACAAATTTAACAGTCCTGCTTAAACTAACATCTTACAACCTAATATAAGTTCTTTGTCATCTAATCTGCAACAACAGAGGTCACACTGATGTTACTTTAAGTTGAATTACGCATACAACTGAGACATTGCAAAATATTTTTTTTTTCATAGTAAATAAAGAGTTTTGAGTTGATAGTATTTAGTATTATTATTTTCCCAATAATCATAAAGTCAAAATGATTTGACGGCACGTCTATGACCTCATTAAACAATTTCTTGAAAAAAATGGCACGTTGTTGCTTAAAGGTTCGCCACCCCTGTACTAGATGAATACAGAAAATCGACAAGTTAGCAGATCGTTGATTTAGCCAACTTTTTAAAAAGCTCACATACCTGCCAACTTTTACGCATTTGGCGTAAAATTTTATTTTTACATTTAAAGTGGTAGTAAATATTTTTCTTTTATAAACTTAATTTTTAAATGATTTTGATCACCACTATTTTTAAAAATCTTGCGCATATATATTATTATGCATTACTCTCAATCATTCCTACTCAAGATTTTTTCAATTACAACGTATTTCGTTGCTTAAAATTGAAATTTTAATTCCGTTTTTAATACCACTGGGAAAAATCATAATTGAAGGAATTAAAAGTTGGCAGGTATGCCATAGTATAATTGTATTGTGTGTATATATTACCTTGTACACATCCATTTTCAGGCCCATCCAAGGTAACTAACAAATTAGACGGGCTTCAGTTTTGCAGTAAGAACGTGCCATAAGATATCACTTTATTTATGCTTCTGTTTTCATATTTTGTAATCTGGCAATCTTATTACGAAAATATTTTAAATCATTCTTGAAAATGTCCAGTATGCATAAGTTCATTTTAATTCACTCCTCACTATATAGATTTCCTTTTGTGTACTGTTCTGTAATTTCTTTACATTTCTGTTTTTTGCTCAATTTGTTTTATTTTGTATATATTTTTAACTTAATGTGTTCTATTTTCGTTTAAATTTTTTAGAGTGCTCCTCACACAATGATAATACCTTTCCAATGTGGGTCCAGACAAAAAAGTGTGTAGGTATTAGGAAGTAAAGCATGTAAAATAAACAATATTTTATTGGGGATGAATCCCTGCTAGGCTGGTGTCATTTTTAATAAATACAGGGTATCTGCGCACTTGGAAAGTCATGGGTTTTGCGTATTGAACAAACTTTGCCATGAAATGTCATGATTTTAGCTAAAAAAAATTTTAAATAAAATCAGGGTTAGTCTTGGGTTTAGATTGCCGAAAAATCTAATTTTTAAAATGCAATTTATCTAATCACATCTGAATTTGTAGCAAAATCCCCACTCATAGTCAGATCTGATAATCGTTACTCAAATGTATTACTCAAATTAGAACTTTATGTATCACAACATTGTACTGTAAATATCAGAGCTTGAAAAACAATAATGGTCAAAAAAATGATAAATAACTTTCAAAAAGACAGTCAGAATATGACCTGGATACACAGCATAACAGTCACGAACTGATCCGGTCAAAAAGTGGTGAAATCAGAATTCGTGCGTCATAATAACATCATGATTAAAAATTGGAGTTTTTAAAATCATTATGTAAATAGCCGAGAATGTGATAAGTAGCTGCCAATAAAACAATCTGAAAATGGCATCTGAAACAATGAAATTGTTGTTAATCAAGCGTGTCAAGTAGAGATAACTCTAATTTGAAATTCACTTGTTGTAATAACATTGTATTAAAAATCAGAATTTGGAAAACCACTTGGAAAGGGATGAAAAAATTATCAAAATCCTGGCCATAAGAAGTTACTAGCAATTTTTAATCTGCATTTTTTTTTAACTAGCATCTGTTTTTTAACTAGCAATCTACTACTTTGCTAGTCAACAAAATCGCTCTCTGTATGTATGGATATATGCATGTGTGTATGTGTATACATGTATGTATAATATTATAACAGATTCCTTTATTTTTCTTTGCTTTTATTGCTAACTTTTTTTTTTAGGAGGCAGACTTGCATGTGCTAAGAAAACTCATTCTTAAGAAAAAACCTCATGTTGTAGTTGTAGCTGGTGAATCGAGGTATATTATAATTTTTTTTTTCCATCTTCTGTTAAGTCCTCATTTTTTTAAAGAAAATAAATTATTTTTTGTTGTTGCAATTTTAATTTTGCATTATTTGTTATTCTTAATTTTTGTGAAAAATAGCAATACTGGCGAACCTCTATTTTACGAAGTCACTAAATCGGAAAAATAAGTTCGCTGTATGGAAAATTCGTTAAATAGAAAATCACTTTTTGAAATACTTAAACAACACAAAACAAGTTTTAAATTATAGACATAATTAAAATAGCAACTGATGCAGCTACATCTTGCAAGCTAGTATCTACAATTTACTTTATAAATCTTAACCATAAAGGAAATCTGCATAGAAAGCAAGAATAGAGCAAGACATTATCCAATGTTACACTATCATGCTACATACATTTTCAACTAAGAAAAGCTAAATTTATGTGTAAAATTATATCTGGATTTATTATAAAAGCAATTTTAAACATTCATTACCTCATGCATTCTTAAATTTAATTGCTACGAATGAAATCCATTAAATTTAGTCTGAGTTTTTTGTTTGAAATGCAGACTAAAAGGGAAAAAAGATTATACTGCTTTCTCTGAAAATTAAGTGGCTTTGAAAATCAGTTCAAGTTCATTTCCCCCATAATATGCGTTTATAAGTTTGAAATCTTCAAGAAATAGGGCAGTGGATCTCAATGAAAAGTTTGTTAGTTACTTTACGAAAGTTGAAAAGTTATTTTAGTTGAGTTATATTACTTTGAAGCTATTTACGAAAGATTTCCAAAATGTTCTTGGTTCCTCGAAAAATATTGCAAAATGGAAGTTCGTTAAATAGAAGTCCGACTGTCTTTTATACAAAAGAAAAGGAAGAAAAAAAAAGACAGATATTTCGAGAATTACTAGCATCATTTATTTATTGTCTTAGCATTTTAAGCATTACAACAAATCACAAAATTTGAAGCGAAAATTATTTTCCAATGTGTTAAACTTTTGCATGAATATTCTATCAGACTCGCGAGTAATAAAATATGTATATGAGAATTGTTTTGTTTAAGTTTTAAATATCGGAAACTTTGGTTTCATATTTTCTGCTGATTCCCCGATCCCTCTCATATCTAAATTACATAAACCTAACCTTTCATAGCATTGTTTAATACTTTAAAGAAGTAAGAAAATGTGTCAAAATCCTCAAGTATTTAGTGCTTTTTGACCATATAGTGTAGCCTATTTAATAAAATGATCATTAAAAGTATAACTTATTTTTTTTTTAATATTAACTTGTTGTCAATGAGCTTTTTATTCTTGACACAGCTTAAAATGTGTATAAGAAAATGAACATATCCTAAAAATGCGTGTTTAAGTAAATAAATGGACGTAGAAAAAATATGTCTTTTCAGTGTTCAACACTAATTTAACAGCTAAATGAGGAATTTCTTTCTTACTTTTTTTAATTCTAGGCATAATTATTGAGGCAAAAAGTCTCAGACTTGGTGATCATGGAGGCTGGGTATATTGCAGATATTACTTTTCGGGCATGTCTTTGCATTCGGAACATCAAATGATATGGTGGTTTGAAACAAAATTCTAAATTGTTGAAAACATCAAGTTAATATCACAATTATAAATTTGTAGGACCTGTGACAACCTTATAAACATAACTTTTGACTTTTAATATCTTTTTTTTTAAAAAGTCCTAGTGTTTTGGACAAATTGACAATGTTGCATTATAAATTTATTTAATCCATTAGTTTAATTCTTTAAAAGAGAATAATATTCGTAAGAGAATTCCTATATCATTAACATGTTTTTTTGTGATGTGTCCATTTTCTTAAATGCACATTTTAGGTCTGTGTCCTTTTTCCCGAAACAGGCATTTTTGGGATGTGTCAATTTTTTAAACACGCATTTTTTGGGATGTGTTCATTTTCTTAAACATGGATTTTTCGGATTTGTTTACTTTCTTTAACGTGTACTTTGTGTTGTGTCAAGAGTAAAAAGCTTCCCAACAAGATTCTTTTTCCAAAAATGAATTAACTGTAAAAGTTCTTATTTCATTAAATTTCAGTTAAATTATTGTGTGAAAATTATTGTTTCATTGTTGATAACTTATACAAAATTTGATTTCTAGGGAAGCATCAATGATTGTGGCAGATGTTAAGGAAATAGTGAATGATTTAATCGATAGTGAGCAGTTCCCACCCATTAGTGTTGAAATTATGGACAATGAACTAGCAGTTTTATTTTCCAAATCAAATAGAGGAGTTGTATGTATTTGTATCATATTTTTTATTTATTCTTCCAACTTATTTTTTCTGTTGTTGTTGGCCATTAAGGCACTGGGGGTGCGATTGTATTTGTTTCCCAGTGGTGCCATCTAATTTTTTCTATTGGTTTATAAATTTAAGTGTTCTGATTTTTCTACATTTATAAAATTAAGATACATAACTGAAAATCGCTGTTTTAATTTTTTTACTTTATTATTTGCGTAACTTTACTGTTCAATCCTTGATATTCCAAAATGGAGACACTTATAATTTAGTTATCAAAAACTTAAAATTTCAAAAATTATGACTGCCTAGTCAAAAATAGATATTTTTAAACTCAAATATTTTTTTTCAGTTGGAATTCTTACAGCTATGTTAAGTGAACTAATTGTTCTTACTGTGCAATGAGCATTTGGTCTTCATAAACATAAAGAAAACTTTTTTTTTAATTTGAAATGATTAATTTCTATTTTAAATTATTTTTCTTTGCAGAGTGACTTTAGAGATTATCCAGAGCTTTTAAGGCAAGGTGTTTCTCTTGCTCGTCGTTTGCAGGATCCACTCATAGAATTTTCACAGCTTTGTACCCCAGATGAAGAAATTCTCTGTCTAAAGTATCATCCTTTACAGGTAAAAGAATCAACATTGATTTAAACACCGTTATTTGTTTGTAAATATTCAAGTTGAATGACCATTCTTCATATTCTGTAATAAACCAATATAAATTAATATTGTATAGCAGGGTTGCCACTTCACAGGGTGAATAGGGGAAGAGCTGGAAAATACAGGGAATTTAAAAATCACTTAAAATAACTGGGAAAATGCAGAGAAATTTATTTCTTATATTCAGGGTATTTGTGCACCTGGAAAGACATGAGAAATCATGGAAAGTCATGAATTTCGGTATTGAACAAAATTTGTCATGATTTTAACTATTTTTTTTTCTAAAAAAAATCATGGAAAGTCATGGATTTAGGTCGCCGAAGTATCTAATTTATAAAATAGAAATTACCCCCCACGGTGCTCTGAATTTGTAACAAAATCACCACTCACAGTCATATTTTATTAAAATCGTGTTCTTTAAAAATTATGGTGTTCTTTAAAATAATGAATGAAAAAATATCATTTCTAGGACGAATTATCTTTTTTAAACTTCTGTGATTTCAGAATTTTTGTTAATATTATTTTCTTTATTATATCAACTTCAAATTCCAGCTAAAGCAAGCCAGTCATTGGCAAATTTTTTTAATTCCGAAATGAGAGCAGAAAAATTGTGAGTATTTCTTTCCTTTCCGATGAAAAAGAAAAGTATCTTTAGAATTAATTCTGAAGAAAAAAATTTATTTTCTTTTAAATTTTTTTCAGCTATTTTATTGCTTCAACTCTTTCTTAAGTCTGATTTTTTAATTTAAAATCTATAGATATAAATATGCAGAGTATAACAGTTTTGGTTATACCTATCATTTCAATTAATGTTAATATAAGGCTTTTTTTAAATTTATTGTTGTGTTTTTGTCAGAGAAAATAGTAACTTCATTAAGTCATGAAAAGTTCTTAGAATTAGTAATGGAAAATCATGAAATTGAAAATCTGAAATGTAGCAGATGCCCTGTATGTTCCTCTTTTGAGAAATGATGATCGCTCAAAGGGTTATGGGATATTTAAGGATGATATTTCAGCTATACTGAATTTTATTTACTATAGCATTATTTAAGTTTGTTCAGCTGTTCTTTTTTTTTTCTCCAAATTTTTCCAGCTATTATAACTAATGAATATAGTTAGCTGAATAGAGCTCACACAAGAGCACAGTAATTGTTGTTTCCTCTTACAAGGGAAACTAGGGAAGTGTGACTCTCCAATTTTGAAATAAACTAGTAGGATGTATGCCTTATGAGGAATAATTTTAGGGAGCAACATTCGTTTCGGCCCATAGAAGGTTCTGGGAGAGATAAAAAATAATTAAATATGTAGAAAAATCGGTATTTTATTACTTCAATGCAGACTATTAGTTATTGTAATTGTCTCATACTGNCATGCGATTTTACATACTTAGCAATAAGATTTAAAGCTTTCAGAGATTCCAGAGTACATGGGAAAGGGAGGATTATTTTCTCTCCTTGTGAAGGAGGCGGGGAAGTGTCAAATTCTTATTTACTCCCTCCGATCAGCGACCATGAGAACAATGTTAAGGAGCGGTATGTTATATTTAATTTTTGCTTCCATTTATGAGGAAAATATGTTTTCCGCGTGCATGTCAGCGAATAATAGGTGAAAGGAAAATTACAAAAAAGAAAAAAGAAAGGAAAGATACATCGTCATGCTTTACTAACTTAAATAAAGTTAAAAAAAGTTAAGTGAAAATGAAATTTTAAATAAGAATTTTAAAATGTGATTATTTTTCATTCTATAATAAAGTAGGAATAGTTTCATGTAGTATTTAATCATTCAAAAAATAATCTGTAAAACTTAGTAAATTATTATAATTTAAAACATAGTTGACTGAGTTGTGCTAGTGAGGAAAAAATACAAAAACCATTAAGCATTATTTAAAATTGATAATTAATTAAAATAAAGCAAAATGCACAGTAGTGATGTAAAGAAATTTCAGCAACTATTCGATATTTGGCCCTTTTGAATATTCGGTTGGCCGTATATTAAACTTTTTTTCTTCCTGTTTATATATTAAATTTTAGTACTTACTATTGTTTTATTGGTTGTTATTGGTGAAATGAAATGATCAAAATTTAAAGCCTTAATATGAGATATAATTTATGCTTTTTTTTTTCCTCTTTTTAGGGGGAGGTGAATAAAGATGAACTTGTCAATGCCCTTAATTTAGAGTTTGTAAATCGAACAAATGAAGTTGGCGTCGATTTCAACAGAGCTATCCAGTTCAATCATACTGCTAATTTAGTACAGTTTGTTTGCGGCTTGGGACCTAGAAAAGGGACATTTTTAGTCAAGGTAAGATTTCTTATTTCTTTTCAATGTTGTTTTAATGAAGCTTCTTCTGGCAGTGGATAAATAATGTGTATTCACAGTAAAAAATATACTGTGATTAATTATTAAAACGAAGCTTGATTTTTGTTCAATTAAAACTAATTCTGATTGTATTGAAATAAGGTATGTAAAGTCAGTGATTTAAACATATTGGTATTCTTTCACCACTATTCTGCTGTAAAACATATCATTTAAAACATAAATATTAAGTGTTTTTATATTTTTATTTATTGTAATGTAGTAATGATCACAGAAATTTTGTTTTAGACTCTAAAAACAGCCAATCAGCAATTAGAGAGCAGAACACAGTTAATTACCTTTTGCAAAATGGGACCCAAAGTTTTTGTTAACTGTGCTGGATTCATAAAGATTGACACGTCTTCTTTAGTAGACAGGTTTGTGGGTTTATTTCATAACTAGTTTAATTTTTCTTTATGATTTAAAATTACTGATGTATGTTCATAAAAAAATATTTTTAAATTATGTTTATTTAATTTGTTATAATAACTATGTTTATTTAATATGGGTCATTCCTTTGAGAAGCGATTTTTATCACAGTTAATCTTGTAATTAAAATTGTTTCATTTATAATTTCGAAAACATGTTTGGTATTTTACATTGTCACACGAAGTTCAGCTTCTTTTTTTTCTTTTCTTTTTTTTTTTTTTTTCTTCCAAAAACCACTATGGGATGTTTGATCAATTCACCAACAATTCTTTATGTGAAATAGTAAGAAAAGAATTAAAAGGGCCATTAATAGACCAATGGGATTCCAGTTAATATGCTTTATTTCCCTCCAAAGTGCATTTTTAGTTCTCTTTGTAGTGTTTTGGTCCTTTTTTAAATAAATTGAAAATTATTTTAAAGAATTGTGATTCATGCTAACTTGCAGAGTTCTCTCTGAGAATAAATATGGACAGGGTGCTTCCTCACAGAAATGGGCAATTTGAATTCTGAATGGCACTCATTTACCACTGATAAAATTAATCAAAATATCTAATATTATGTCAAAACAAAAATTGCTCAATTTTTAAACTACCCTTGTATACTATTGTGTGTGCATATTTCACTAAATAATTCTCACTCTTTCTATTTTAAACTGAAAATTATGACAAATAAATATTTAATGGTGCATTTTTAAATAAACGGTATTTATTTAATAAAGATAATTTTAAAATTTGAAAACACAAAAAAATTCATTATTTTACTTTACCACTTTATGTACTTTAATTATAAGTATATAATACAGAATATAGTTTACCACTTTTTTTATACCAAAAAAAAAAAGTGAATATCTCAGGGGTCGTCATATCATGTGAATTCAAACTATATAACTAGACAACATAAGAAAAATATTACTAAAATGAAGATATGAAATTAAGTAATTATCAGTAATTAAATAAATTAGAAGTGGAATTTTCATTAAAACAGCTGGTTATGAGAGAACCTTTTCCTAAAGAAAGAGGGAACAATTTTTAGGAATGACAGCTTATTTTTACAAAAAAGACAAGGACGCATTTATGGAGATCAAAGGACAGCCGGAGCGGACTGGTTGATTCCCATTTTATTTAGTCAAGCCAACATATATATTACTCTTGATTTCAGAATTTTTACTTTTCTTGCAATTTAATGGAAAATGTATTCTTCTTTAGATAAAATTTAAATCTTTGCACTCAGTTCAGTTGAATATTTCTTTTTTTATATAATTTGAGTCTTGTAAGAACTAATTCCTCAAAAATGAATGTCAGTAATAAATTAAAGTTAAAATCACGATTTCCGTAAGTAAATATGCAAAACTTATACTTATTTGTTAAAATTGTATCTTTCAATTGTATTTTCATCCAATTCTTAGATGTAAGAAAATCGCGTCACGAAAAACAGACACCCGACTGCTATGAAAATTGCATTTGATTCAAAGTTACTTTCAAAGCGCTAACTTTGCCTTCTGGTTGATAAGCATATTAAGTATGTTTAGGAATAAAATTATACATTATTTATTACATTTCCAATCAACCATCTATAATATTGAGTTTGACCAAAGACTTTTGCAAGCTAGTGTATTTTTAATTTTAATGTTATCATTTATTACGGTTCCTGAATGCAAATGATTTTAAACTATTAATGGTTCTCCAAAGTCCTCTTTAATTCTTTTCTTTTGCTGAAACTTATTGGGAGCTATGATAGCCAAAAATAAAATAAAACATGAAAGTATTTTAAAACTTTAACTGTGGCACTTGTGAAGAAACATGTTCAACTGTTAGAGAGACATTAACGGTCATTGTTTGAAATGTTTCAGTACGGAGACCTATGTTGAAGTGTTAGATGGATCTCGTGTTCACCCAGAAGCATACGAATGGGCTCGTAAAATGGCTGTTGATGCTCTTGAATATGATGATACATCTGATGATGTCAATCCTGCTGGTGCTTTAGAGGAAATTTTAGAAAATCCAGAAAAACTGAAGGCAAGCTCATCTTACTCATTTCTCACTACACAAGCATTGAAGAAATCCTTTTTTATGAATTAATTATAGTGGACTTGAACCAGTTGTTCTTAGAAAGAATCTTTTTTATTTATTTTATTATTTTTTCTTTTAAAGTTTAAGTGCAGGTCTGTGATATCCTAAATGGATTTTGAAAAGGACGCAAGTGTGTCACGTGTCCTAAACTGTTTTCAATTGTCCTGAGCCTAGGTTAAATATTACATTTGTAACCATTGTTAATACTTATTTTTTATTCTTAGACATCCTAAACTGTTTATTACATTGATAATTTTTAATAAGATAATTTTTTTATTAAAATAGCCTTAAAAATAACTTAACAGTCCCTTATTATTCCATTTATATTAGTACTATATAAAATTGAAAAATATGCCTAATTAGAAAATTACTTGGATAAGTTTTGCCTTAAGACTTAAAAAGTCTTGCAATGACTATCAAAATATTAAATGTCTCTATATTTCGAGATAAATATTATTCTCGCAATTGTATCATTGTAACTTATCATTAACCCCATGGCGGAATCGCATCGCCACAGTGACATTGTCGCCGAATGTTGTAGTGTTTATGCAGAAAGATTTTTCTTTTAAAAAGTAAGAAATTGTACTTTTTTTCTATAGAAATTTGCAACATAATCTTCGTAAAATTGCCTAATAAACGTAAAATTGACGTAATATTTGAATCATGTATTTAGATAATCACTTTTGGGCGCTCTCAATTTACGCCGATAGTATTGTAAATTGATGTAATGTTTTTATTGTATTTTTTGGAAGTTGTTGATATTGATTTTCACATTGTTTTTAAAATCCTGATATATTTCAAACAGTATGGAAAATTCGAATCGTGCATTTGAGTATTTTCTTTTTAAGGTAATAATTAATAGAATAATAACTGCTATCAAAATTCTTTAAAAACAGCTTTTAATAAAATAATTAATACTTTTATGTGACATAGATTTGNTTAAACATAAAAAAAACGGCTTTTTGTAGCGACTCAGAAAACCGGAAAAATCATTTATCCGGAATAGCGATGGTCCCGATCGTTCCGGATAATCGGTTCCCTACTGTATTTACTTTTTAAGGTAATAATTAATAGAATGATAACTGTTATCAAAATTCTTTAAAAACAGCTTTTAATAAAATTAATAATACTTTTAAGTGATAAAGATTTGAAATGAACTTTTTCTGCTGCTTTTTTACTAAGAAACTTGATTAGCTTNTTTTTTTTTTTTTTTTTTTTTTTTTTTTTTTTACAGTCTTACTAAACATTATATACTATCTTTATTCTAGGATCTTGATTTAGATGCTTTTGCTGAGGAATTAGAAAGACAGAATTATGGAAATAAAAGCATCACACTTTACGATATTCGAGCTGAACTAAATCATAAATATAAAGATCTGAGATCTGAATATAAATCTCCTAGTCCTGAAGAGATTTTCAATATGTTAACTAAAGAATCACCTGAAACATTTTATATAGGTACTGTGTTTAATAACAATTTTTTGACATTAGTTGACTTACTTAAAATTGTTTTAAATGCTGGTATTATATCAGGATGTGCAACATTTTTAAAAAGTGCTTGGAGGTGTTTCTCTTGATTTACATATTTGAAAAGCCCTTAAAGGTGCTTTTATTATTCGGGGTTTGTGAAAAGTGTTTAATTTTCTATCTTTTAAAAAGAGATTTATTTTTTTTTGCAGTGTCGATTGTCATTCTAAATTACAAAAAATGCATGATTTTCACTGCAATATTTATCAGAAACTAGTTATTTAATCATTATTATGTAAAGTTTTTGAAAATGTTTTTGAATTTTGCTGATTTTATGTTTATAAATTAAAAACCTTAATCAATAGAGGAAAAAAATATTTTTATTACTGCACAGATCCTAATTATTATTTTTTAATTTTTTTGAAATGTGATTATAAATATTTTTTGAGTGCTTAAAAAAGTACTTAAAAGAACTGAGGAAACCCGAACTTACTAAGGATAAGAACTGAGATTTTCACACCCTGTATACACAGTTTTTTTACTGCCTACTTATTAAAAAGTTGTTTTTTTTTTTTCAGGTAAATTAGTGTTATGTTTTGTTATTAATATTGCTAGAAGGAAGCCAAAACATGATCAACTTGAAAATGCAAATCCAGTTCGGAATGCTGAAACTAATCTTTGGGAGTGTCCTTTTTGTTTGAAGAAGAACTTTCCTGAATTGAGTGATGTAAGTTTTTATGTTATATTATGATTAATTTCTCTTATTTATTAAGTTCTTTTTTTTAGCAATACAGTTAAATTTTTATGTGTTTCTGGGAGTTAAGAAACATGTGTTTATACATGTATCTGGAAATTCGTAAAGTTATCAAAGACTCAGAACAAACTTCCAATCACAACCATTTAGCACCAAGCCTCGTGGCAGAACTGAGCGACATTGTCGCAGAACGTTACAGAGTTCTTGCAGAAAGATTTTTCTTTTGAAAAGTAAAAAATTTAACTTTTCTTTTCTACAAAAATTTATGCATTATATTTGAATCATGCATTTAGATAATCACTTTTTGACATGCACAATTTACGCAAATAGTATCGTAAATCGCTGTAATGCTTTGTTTCTTTTTCGACTGTTATTGATATTGATTTTCTCATGGATTTTAAATATCACGATATATTTCAAACAAAGTGGAAATTTTGAATCTTGCATTTGAGTATTTACTTTTTAAGGCTATAATTCTATAGAACGTTTGGATGTTATTGCTATTGATTTCTCCATAATTTTTAAGTACAATATTTTTTATATGATGCTTTTTTATTACAACAACTAAATCTCAAAGTGAAATATGTGTTTGAGGAGTCCGATTCGCATGGTTTCGTCGTTGATCTTTTTTTCGGCTATTACTACTACGGATTTCATGATTTTTAATTGCTTTTTTTATTGCGATGATTATTTACAAAATTTAATAATTTGAAGAGACGCCCAAATAATTTGTGTGTTTTCACCCAGCAAGATGTGAGAATCATCCATAGTATTAAAATAAAAAATTATTACGTGTTCAATCAAAAAAAAAAAATTCATAGTTCTTTTTTGTAAACACAGCATATTTGTTATTTTAAATTAGTATCATATATGTTTGCTTTAATTAAAAGTATCTTGCAGAAAGATATTTAGAGTGTTTAGTCGATAGAGAGTTTAGTCGCAGATAGCTCGAAAAAATTCTGCTGCAGGGACACCATGCAAGATGTATAAAAGTGTGGAGCAAGAGAATAAAAATGCAAATTTCAAAATGCCTGTTCTTATTTGTTCATTTTGCTTAGCCTAGTTGTTGTATTGATGCACAAAAAAACTTTAAACTGTTCATCGACAAAACCTTATGTTTTTACTTTTCTTGAAATGTAATGTAAAGTTTAAATGTTTTTTTTTTCCTTGTAACAAGATTTGTATGCACGGAAAATAACAGGAATTATTGAGAATTTAAGCCAATGATAAATCAGCTAATTTGGTATAAAAATATTTGGCTATTTTGACACTAGTCTTACTTATTTGAAGAGTGTCATATACACTTCCTGCAATTATTCTTTGGTGTTTTTTCTTTATTATTCTTGGGTGAATTCATTTTCCATTGATTTTGTTTTCTGTGTTTAATTTTTCAATCTATTTCAGGTGTGGAGCCATTTCGACAGCAGTAATTGTCCTGGCCAAGCTGTGGGAGTAAGAGTTAGGCTTGATAATGGTTTATCTGGATTTATTCACACAAAAATGTTAAGTGACAAGCATGTATCCAATCCTGAAGATAGAGTTAGGGTAAGTTCATTATCCATTATAGTATTTAAGTCGCTTAATTTATGAAAACCAAAGTAGATTAATTTATGTTTTGGCCACCAAATTGTTATAGGATTATTTTTAAAAATTTCAATCTGAGGATACAATATTCAGCGTTAAAACAAATAGTTTCTTCAGAAATGTAATAAGGAATTGTCTCTAATTATTGAAAAGTCAAGTTGAAAAAGTATGATGGTATTTCTTTCCTTTTTTTGCTGTATATTGTTCACAAGAACAAAAATTGTTTTGAGTTTGTTAATAGGGCTTCTTATAGTTGTCTAAAGTAAGAACTCCCCATGCCATTTGTCTGGACCCGTGGCTGTGACTATGGTATCGAGGTATAACTATTTCAAGTAGGGTCGTGAGGTCATCATTTATGACAGATTCTGGCTTGGGTTGGCGAGAGTAAGGGAATCTTTTTTTCTTGCAGTCTATCGTCTTAGCCCTAGAGGAGTACCCTCCCTCCCTTAAATGCACTATTTTTGTTTCCATAGCGGCAGACGCCCTCAAACTTCATTGCGCGGGGGGGGGGGGTCTTACCATAGGCAAACTATACTTTCTTTTTTTCAATATGTTAAATTTAAGTTGCACTTCTATATTTAATGTTGATATGTGCTATTTCAGGAGAGAATGACTCTTCATGCTCGAATCACTAAAATTGATGTTGAAAGATTTGCTGTTGATTTGACATCTAGGTCATCAGATCTCGCTGATAAAAATAATGAATGGAGGTAATGTTATTTATTATTTCACTTCATACTTTACAGATAATCTCTAACTACTAGGAATCCTGTTATTTTTTTGCCAGTTACCATGCACTACAGGTTATTAGATTCTATACTAACCTAGTATAATAGAATTTTTCAAATCCTACAATCCAATGAGTAAGCTGTAAGCTCTGCCACCTGCTCGCTAATGTTGACCAACCTCTTGAACTGCTTTTGCTGTTAAGTTTCCTTCATATTTCTTTCGCTCCCTCATTGGATATGTTTCTTCATTCTGATCTTGTATACTTTTTTGAAGTGTAAAATTTGGAATAAATGGTTCATAAAAATTTTGTCCACACAAAATTTTAAAGATATTAAAAAATATGAATAATTTTGAAAAAATTATTTCTTGCTTGAAGTTATGTTTGAAAACACAAATTTTATAATTCTGTCCTAAAATTTTTCAAATCGCTTACAAATTTCTCAAGATGATGTGAAAATTTGCAAAAAAAATTGGAGAAAAAATTAGACCACTCTCCTGATTATAGTGTAAGGTCCATATTTCCCAGATTGCGGATATTCCCTTTATTTTAGGGGTCAGAAATCATAATCTGTCTTTAAAAAAAAAGGTATGTTTTTTTTTTCCAGAGAAATGTCTGATTTCGTTACTTAAAATATCCTCTGCACTGACTAATTATCTTATTTGAGATTATTCCCTCAAACCATTAAGTCCTAGTACATGAAAATCCGATCATTGGATTAAAAGTTATCCAGGGTGTTGTTTTTTTTTGCTTTGTACATACTAAATAGTAAATTTTAAAACAGTTTGGTAATACGATAGGAATAAAACTTGATTAAATAATGAGTTCAAGAATATCTCCTTAGAAAGACATGGCTTAAAGAATAATTCAATGTTGATGTTTGTTTTTTTTTAGTAGATATTTTTCCTGTCCAAAAGATGTTTTTTTGTGTTTCATGCTTATGCCTGCTCACTTACTTGATATTTCAGTTCTTTATTGTTAATGCAAAAAAGGAATTGTATCACTTTATTAGATTTTTAAAATATTGTTAAAACACCCCGGCCCGAGAAAGCGCCTTTCTGTAGTTTTACACAAAACTCGAAAAAATTACCTGTTGACCTGATTTTTTTTTTTTTNTTAGTAGATATTTTTCCAGTCCAAAAGATGTTTTTTTGTGTTTCATGCTTATGCCTGCTCACTTACTTGATATTTCAGTTCTTTATTGTTAATTCAAAAATGGAATGGTATCACTTTATTAGATTTTTAAGATATTGTTAAAACACCCCGGCCCGAGAAAGCGCCTTTCTGTAGTTTCACACAAAACTCGAAAAAATTACCTGTTGACTGAAAAATGTTGACCTGATTTACTTTTTTTGTTGCCTGCTACAAGATTTGCTAATATACAATGGCCATCTGAAGTCTAACTCTCACTGAAGTTTGAATCTTTATTTTCATGTTACACATTTTTACGGGCTTTAAAATTTGGTTAGAAATGTGAGAAAATGTTGGGGTTTTTATTATTAATTACTTTTCTTACCAGTTATAAAGAATTATTACATTTTTTTTAGACCACCAAAGGATTCATATTATGATTATGATGCTGAAGAACTAGATCGAAAAAAAGTTGAAGACAGTAATAAGAAACAAAATAGGCAAGGTGAGTTTATTAGTATTTATCAACTATGCCTAATTCTTTTTTTTATTTGCTAAGAATGCATTTGCAGTTAATAATGAAAAAAAAAATGGATTTTCTAATGCATTGTTTTATTTTTAGTCTACCTGAAGCGAGTTATTATCCACCCATCTTTTAAAAATGTCAGTTTTAAAGAGGCAGAAGCATTACTTAATACAATGGACCAAGGTGACGTCATTATTCGACCTAGTAGTAAGGTAGGCTTTATTTTTCTCTCAACAAACTGTTTCCATTCTAAATCTTTAATGTTTGAATAATTAAGTTTTGTTTAACAATTTTAAGTTCTAAAAAAATGATTCAGTGGTTTAATGCAATGAACTATCATTGTGAAGGACTGCAGTTCGATCTACAGTGACAGTTCTCCTTACTTCAGATTGATGGATGCCTATTTGTGTAGGAAGTAAAGGCAGCTTGTACATAATGATGACCACAATTATGGCGTTGGTTATGAAATAAGTGGATCTTCAACCTAAATGACTGAATGGGTTGTTGCGGGAATGCTTTACTTTACTTTCAGGAGTATAATTCCTTTTTTTTTAATTAATGCAAATTTTGTAACTTACAGGGTTTCCACTCTGCTAGAAAAAACTGAAAAATACAGGGACTTTAAAAATCACCTAAAATAACAAGGAATTTTGATTTTTTTTTCCTTTACAAACTAGAAAAATACAAGAAATTCTGTTTCTTATTTTCGTCTTTTATCCCACTGGCGGTTCTGAACGTAAAAAGTCGTTTTAATTTGCAGCAGAACCAATTTTTTCATGTTAATGGATAGGGGAACAGTGTATGGGGAGAAACATTTTCCCAATTTGCCCTTTTGCTAAACTGCCTCTGGGTTAAAAAATGGTGACCACTCAGTGCACAATCTATGGGCTATTCCAACTACACTAAACTTTCATTTACTACAGCATTATTTAAGTATGTTCAGCGGTTCCTTATTTTTTTTTTCCAAAAATTAAAAATAGCATAGTTAGCCCAATATAGCTCACACAAGAGTGCAACAATTGTGTTTCCTCTTAATATATTGTATATATAATATGCACAGGGAAAACACAGAATTTTTTTTTGCGGATTTGAGTATCAACCCTGACTCATGTCATGTATTGCACCCAATAAATCGTATCTTATTCTTTAAGTCCTGCGGCTGAAAACGCTTTATCAACGTTGATTTAAAAATAAAATTAAATAAGTTAAATAAAGTTATGAGAAATTGTCTGACATTATTATATTCTGTTTCATTTTAGGGTAATAATCACCTAACAGTTACTTGGAAAGTTGCAGACAACATCAATCACCATATTGATGTAAAAGAGGAAGGGAAAGAAAATGATTTTAGTTTGGGGCATTCCTTAATTATTGGAGATGAGGTAACAACTTTTTTGTACCAATGCATGTAAAGTTTAGTTTACAATTTTGGTCAAATTGGAGTTAATAAAATTCATTTGATTACTACAAAAACTTTATTTATTTAAGAGCCATTCTCTACATAGCATCAATTTTTTTCAGTGTGTTGAAATCTTAAAATTATTCTAAAACTTTTTGAGCCTGTTTTAATTAATTCTTTAATAAGTCTGTAAAACATGAAAAAAAATTTGCAATTTAGATAGATTGCTTGATTGCTTTCAATTTTAATAAGTGTGATTTGGATTTTGTACTCACTATAAATAAAATCTTAAAATGCATTATTTGTTCTGCACTTTTTTTAATCTCTGAACACTTAGTGTAAATTATAATTTGTTATTCATTATATAAAAATTTAATACACTGTTTTTTTTTTATTTGTTCTTGCACTTGTTTTGGTATTTCCATGCCGGCTAAGTCTTTATTTTTTAAAAGAGTTTTTATCTTAAAACGTGCCAGTTCTAATCGGAATAAACGAGAATTTTTCTTTAAATAAAAAAAAAAGACGTTTAGAAAGGATTCTTTTTTTTCTACTTTGTTTTTTACCTCTTTGCTTTTAATTTAAAAAAAAATGGCTGACCCTTTTTTTAATTGTTCAAGCCCTTTTCTTTATTTTCTCTAAGAATTAAAATGCTGTAAAAATTAAAACAAAAAGAGTGAAGTTGTTTTCAAAACCATTTTTAACAGGGATTTAAGATTAAAATCAATCGGCTTATTTGGGTGGAATAGTTATTGTTTGATGTTTTAGCTAATAGAAATAAAGCAATGCCTAAAACAGTGTATAATTTGATTTTACTTCAAGTTCTTGATCATTCTTATTTTTCATATCGTGCTTAATTAAAACATATAGGCTAATCGTAGGTAGTAATAATTTGATAAGATGAAAGATGATTTCACATTGTTAGTTTTCATTGCCTTTCGTTGTAGAATTTCAAATAAATGGAAATTTTTAAGCTATTTATAGTTATCTATTTATAAGTAACTATATACAAGTTTCACCACAAAAACTGGGAAAACCTTATTCATTGGCAACATTAAAGAGAAAAAACCTTGCTAGATCTAAAATATGCTTGCAACAATGTAGTTTTATTGAGAAACATTATATTAAGTATTTGTTAAAAATGAACAATTAACTAGATTCATTTACAATAAACTAGTTTAAATTTTTATTTTATTTTATAACCGTCGTTGAACAACCTACCCAATTTCTTGGTTTATGACTACTAATGCTCAACTCCATAGCTTTGATATTTGGACACAATCCAGAAGACATGGGAACTCCTGAACCAAGTTTCAGGAGAAATTTGCATTACATGGAGAAGAAAACCACGGAAACCTGCCATGGTTAATCTTTCAGCAAGGGGACTCGTCTTTGACCCATGATCCTTCTACCACTGAGGATATTTTATTTCAGTGCAAGCTGGATGCAGAATTCGTACCAACCAGCCATCGCTGGAATTCAAACCTAGTTCACCTCATTGGAAGGCTGTATCCCCTGAGTCATCACGGCTGAAACTAATTTAATTGTACAATATGTCCTCCTTATTACATGCGAACTTCACTTTAAATAATAGTTTGAAATTAAACTGAAGTTTAATTTTTTCTAAACAGCTGAAGCTTTTTTGAGCAATCAAGTGAAACAATGCTCATTTATATAAACTGTTTCCTTCGAGCAGTCTTAAGTTATTTAAACAATCAATTGAAACTGGAGTGTTTATTAAAATAGTGTCTGTTTAAATAATCTCATGTTTGTATAATGAGTTATTTCTTGTTTGTTTTAGTCATTTGAAGACCTTGATGAAATAATTGCGAGGCATGTGCAACCCATGGCCGGTTATGCAAGAGAATTGCTGAATTTTAAATATTATGTTGATGCTAATGGAGGTAAAAAAGAGGAAATGGAAAAAATATTAACTGCAGAGAAAAGCAAAGCACCTCAAAAAATACCTTATTATGTCTCTGCTTCTGCAGAATATCCAGCAAAGTTTCTACTTTCTTATCTTCCTAGGAATAAGGTAATAAAACCAGATTCTTTGTAAAATATTCTAACAGTTACAATAATTGCCCATAATTTGTTTAAAGAATTTTTTGACTAATTAAATAGATCAAAAATTAATTTTAATTTTACAGTCTATGGAAGAAATTAGTAATTTTTGATTGAATGCATTTCAATTAAGTAAATTCATTGATTTTTCTTATTAACAATTAGTAAAGAATCCAAAATTTTCTGACTCTAGGGACAAAAAAAAAATCTAGCAATTAATGGTTATTATATTGGATATTAGTTATTATAATCTGTATGTAAATATTATTTATATTGTTTACAAGTTCGTGCATGTATTTTTATTATTTCAGAAACTCTACTTGATCTGTTTGTTTTTGTTTTCGAAGCTATAGAAAAAGTTGACAAATTTAAAGAAAAAAATTACAAATAAATTAATTAAAATGTTTTATTTAAGGTTATTTTTTTTCACATTCTAGTTTCACTAGTCTTCCCCAATAAATTTGTCTCTGAAAGTTTCCAGCTGAAAAAGTTTGTTTAATATTGATTTATTTTTGTCTTCTAAATAATAATTTGTTTGGAATGTTTTAGGTTCGCCATGAATTTATAACAGTTATGCCAGAGGGTTTCAGTTATCGAGGTCATGAGTTCCGATCTGTAAATCAACTGTTTGGCTGGTTCAAAAGACACTTCAGAGATGCACCACCAGGTGCTACTCCAAGCTTACGAACACCTGCACGTACACCTATGGGACAGTCCTCTTATATTGGCAATACACCAAGCCGAAATATTGCTGGTACGTGTTCTTTCTTTTTTTTTTTTTCTTTTGATCGAGTTAAGTGCAGTCTATAAATGTTTTTTTTTTCCTCTTCTGATTTTTTTAAATAAAGTTGTTTGTTTTTTCATTCCCTATTTAAGAATTTGTGTATTAAGTTTTAAAATAAATTTTTAGAAATCTTGTGTATTTTCTGTTTGTTGTATTACTACAAAACCAATGTAAAAATTAGATTAATGAGGAAAATATTATGATTTATTTTTCACAAGACATCGCAATATTAAATTTTATTCTTATTAGTTATCTCTTTGATGCAGATGGGACACGGTTATCCCTTTTATGTATATATTTCTGGCGCTCTCATTACGAGCAAAAATATTTTTTGTTATTTTTTAATTATAAAACAATTCAATAGTAACTAACAAATATCTGTTAGATTAAGAGAATTATATTTGTACTAATATATAAAAACCAAGAAAGTAGTCAGAATTTTTTTTTTTTAGTTCATATTTAAAAATTCATTAATAATTTCAATTTTGTAAATTAAGGAAATTTCAATGAAGAATAGCTGTTCCTCTTGGATCTAATAACTGCAAATTTGAAAAATTATTGTTGAGAAGTGTTTACAAGCTTTTGCCTTAAGGCAGAAAAAAACAGGTGTTTCATGCTGTATTTAATAACCATAAATTATTAAAAAGCTAAATGTAACATTTTTCACTTTTTTTTTACCTAACTTAATATGGAATAATGAAAAAAAATCTGAAGAATATGTTTAATAAAAATTCTGTTATGACTTGATATGAAAAGGTGCACCAGCTGGTCGTCAGAGTATATATATTTGTTGTGTAATAAATATTATTATCAAAAGTCAAATCACATTTAATATCTTTCTTTTCTAGCCTTTGATATTCAGTCTATTCAAAGAGTTGCCGCAAACATGCCAAATCAGCTCTACAATACTTTGTCACAAGTTGCTGGTCAAACACCTGCTTTTCAAGGTGCAAGCAACTATACTGCGAATTTTGGTGGTGCTTATAGCTATCAAGTATGTATTTTGAAAATTCAGTCTTTAACCCATCTTTAGATTATCTCAAAAATACTTACAAAAAATATGTTTGTAACTAGTGCTATAATATTTCTAAAGTTGTTGTTCATATTTACTCTCAAATATTTCATTACAGTTGGGAGTGATATGTTGTCTGCATATGTAAACCCTAAAAGCTATTTATAAACGCCTCTGTTCTATTATATTTAATGTTCATATTTGTTAATTTTATATTTTTTTACTAAAGTACATTGTGTTTTTGTAATCTTCTTTCCTCTGTTATTACTGCTTGTGAAAGTGAATGAGTGTTAAATATCAAATAATAATTCTAAAATTCTCATTAGTCCAAACGTGTGAAATAAAATATTTAGGTATTAAGATAGGGTTGAAGCCTTTTTTTCCCAGCCTGTCTTGTAAAGTTTTTACAAACATAAATATTGAGTGAAAAGTTTGTTGGTTTGAGAATCAAAGCTTGAATGATTGAATAACTTTTTTTAATTTTTATTTTTTTAGAAATTGTTTAAAAAGGTGCCGTTTATTATTATTTTACAAATGTTTTTTTTTTATTTCCAATGGCAGACATGAAAGGCAAATTTGTAGCCAAGAACAATATAAAGAAAGAACAAAAAACGGAAACTAGAGCTACAAAAATAAAGAGTCTATAGGTCTGTAATAATGCATCTCGCTCGCCAATATCGTTCCCACAAGGGCCCAGGAGGAAGATTAGGGCAACGTCTTAGATGGTTATCGTCCATTTCTTCTTGTAGGTTACATAATGGACAAAAGGGGCTTGAAAAGATTTTGATTTTATACAGGTGTTTTGATAAACAGTCATGGCCAGTGGCGAGGCAAAAAAGGACCGCAGATTTTTCTCTTGGCCATGACGGAATATCTTTAATTCCTTCCANAGATTTTAATTTTATACAGGTGTTTTGATAAACAGTCATGGCCAGTGGCGAGGCGAAAAAGGGCCACAGATTTTTCTCTTCGCCATGACGGAATATCTTTAATTCCTTCCAACCAGTCCTTATTTTTATTTGCTTCTTAGAGTTTTGCCTCAAATGTTGTTCGAAGAGAGGTTTTTATTAGCCTTTTTGCGGTGTGGAAAGGAACTGGCTTAAGAGATATTTGTAGAATCTTGGCGGCTTTTATTTTTTTGTTTACAAATGTTTGGGTGCGCATAAATATTGCTTTGTTGGTAATTTAAAAATGTAACTAAGTTAAATGATTTTCTAAAATTAATTGTTCATGATACATTTTTTTCATAGCCCTATACTCCTTCTCAGCCTGTTGCTACACCCCTGGTCACCCCATCTTATCATGCTGTACCAACTCCTGCTCACTCTCAAGTACCCACTCCAAGGTACCCACAAACACCCCAACAGAACTGGGCATCTCAAACACCTTCCAGAACCACACCCAAGTAAGTTACGCTTTTTGAAGTATACAGTTTATCTACTGACATTCAATAACTGGGCTGTGCATGTCCTAGCCGTAAGGCTTAGTGTTTACAAATAGAATGTAGTTGACCATGACACTTATGGCGCAGGTGCACATTATTCTGTACCACTAACTCAGGGTACGTAGCATTTTTAAGAAGTTCCAAGTCTTCCCTTCTCCAAAATGAAATATTTTTTATCACATCGATTTTTGTCACGAATTATGCAAAAGCGTTGTTTTCATACTATTCAAAGTTTTCCCAATTCATTCAATCATGATTATATTATTAAGATATGGGCAATAATAAAAATTTTCTTATTGTTGAAAGTTCATACACATATATACATATGACCTTTCAATAATAGGAAGATTTCCGTATCGTGATCTGTGGCGGAATAATCGCTACGTCTTGGCAACTTCCGGGCAGCGGCAAGCGAGAAACTGAAAAAAAAAATCACAGGAAGTGACCAATTAATAGAATTTTGGATGATAGGTTCCACTGATGTAAATAATGCATTATGGAAATTGTAAAATTACCGAGTAACGTTACTAAGTCAGATTAGTGTAAATATTTGAGAATGTGTATGTTGAAATTGTATTTATGTGAACTACTCAAGAAAGTTATGTTGATATGAACTTCTATTAATTTTAAATATTCGCAAAAATTATTGAATATTTAAATATTCACAAAAATTATTGGCATTTTGGCTGGTGGGACACAAGTTAAAAAAGCGCAGTGCTTCAAATAGTTTGTCTTTGCAAAATGAATGCAAGTTTGAATTCCAAATCAAATGTTTTCTGTAACAGATATCTCTCAGCAATGATTTGACAGAGTTTGAAATGAGCTTCTTTAGTTTTTATAACAATAATCCCAGCTCTTTGTTAACTGTCAATATATACATGACTTGTTGAATTGCTTCTCGGTATTTTCAAATCAACTCGGCACTTTTTAAGCTTATTACAATGAGCCCAAATGTTTTTTAGCCTATTAAGCGAATATATCATTCATTACTCAATTCTTGCTGTTTACAGTGTGCTTAGCTAGAGCCTCGATGGCTCAGGGGATAGAGCGCTCGCCTTCCAATGAGACGAATCCCTGCAATAGCTGTTTGATTAGAATTCCGACCACAGTGCTGATGTAAAATATCCTCAGTGGTAGACGGATCATAGGTTAGAATCCCCTTGCCGTCAGGCTAAGTGTGGGAGGTTCTCGTGGTCTTCTTCTCCATGTAACGCAAATGCGGGTTAGTTCCATCAAAAAGTCCTCCACAAAGGAAAATTTCTCCCAATACTTGATCCAGGAGTTCGCTTGTCATCTGGATTAGGTTCAAAATTACAAGGCTACGGAGTTGAACATTAGTAGTCGTAAACCCAAAAATTGGGTCAGTTGTTCAACTACGATTAAAATTTAAAATGAGCTCAGCTATTTTAAAACTAATTAAAAATACATTTTCTTTATTGAACTAGTCTGGTGCACTAGACTTAACTCTTCAAAAGCTGAGCTAAGCAGAAAAAAATATATATTCCAATACTCATTACAATAATTTTAAGTGAATTAGGTAAATCTTTGTACATTTTTTTAATTAGACAAAATGCCCTAGCAACAATTTCACCATGGCTCCAACTGGGCTTAAAATTGGCTGAACATGGGTTCTATATGAACCAAGAGACTAATATTGAGATGTCTAGATTTTTTAATATTCGGCCTATATAGGGCCAATATCGGCTTATATACGGCCCATATTGGTTGTAAATTGGCTGTAAAATATCGAGTGAATCAGACAATCTTATATATGGCCCCAGTATCAGAAAATAATGGCCCTTTAAACCCGTATTGAGCCAAGATTCGTGATTGCTGCCAGAGTAGACTGGCTATAATAAGCCTAAACAAATCTGACATGGTGTATTGCTAAATGAGGTCAACATTTGCAAAGAGTAAGATTTTTTCCGTTATCCTTCAATACACTCACTCAAGTCCTCAAATGTGAGCTTAATGATGTTTTGGGAACTGAAAAACTTACATTTTAAATTTATTTTTAGGGCTCCGCCAGTGAATACAAATCCACCCTCTGTACAAGACTGGAAACGAATGGCAGAACAGTGGGCTAAAAATAGGCAAGAGTCACTTGTGCCTGGTCAAATAACTCCAAGAACTCCCATGCGAGGGTCACCAAGTCCAATGATGATTGAATCTACACCTGCTGATGCGACTCCTCTTATTGATGAATACTAAGAAGGAAAAATAAGTTAACACACTATGACTGTTGAACAGTATTTGTGCTCTACTTTTTTAATGTTTGTGAGAATATATTTTTACACTAAATAAATTTATTAGCACGACACACATGATGAGCAGGTGTAATATTATTGTTTTTACATTTGCAACAATATTGTTTTGTTAAACCCTTGACCGCTGAAGAAAAAACTTTTATGACTTGCTCAAAGATTTCAACTTGGATAATTTTGCCATTCAAGAGATTTTGTATATAGACATTTGTAAATAAATTTGTATTTTTCTTTTCACCTTTAAAACATCTAAATTAAATGTTATAGTACTCTTCTTCTTCATGTTAAACACTTTTCAAAACTTGAAACAATGTTTTGTTTCAGAAAAAAAAAACTATCTTATTATTTCTACTTAGAGCATGTTTATCTTTATTACTTAATTCAAATCGAATAATATCAATAAATTTTTAATTTAAAACCAGAATGGATTATTTTGACATGTATTATGATCACCAACAGCCATCAATTCTAGGGAGTATGTTTACTGATTACACACCATCGATCATCTTGGGGCCGTTCCAGAACAAAACGTTTCTAATGATAGAAAACACCTTTTGCATAACCTTGTCAGGAGTCTGTTCAGAAGAAATTTGGGTCCGTTAATGGACCCTTCACAAAATATTTATCGTTTAATTGGACCCTTCACAAATTTGTTTATCTTCGTTATCGTTCTGTTAATCGAATAAACCCTTTCCGTGGAGGAGAAAGACGGCTCGAAGCAAACTAAGTTTCCCTAAGTTTAAATTCCAAATGTAGTATTCCAAGAAAATATTTCTACTTTTGACTAACATCATGTGCACATTCTTATTAATATTAAATCATAATTTTTTTTGTAAATAAATAATTGATCAATTTATATTTATTCATAAAATTAATTACTAGTATATTATGTAAATAAAAATTAATTTCTGGCAATTTTTTAAATTAAATATTATAAATTTAAGAATTGTTTAAGTTTACTTAATGCGTAACACATTAAAAGTGATACATAACCAAGTTGAGTTAGTTAAAATATGCAATTGAAATTATTAGAAGCGTGAATGATTTTGAATTTTGTTTCCATTATTCGTCTGAAATTAATATTCTGTGTTGAGCAGTATAGGCTAAATACCAAATATTTGTATGTTGCATCTCTAATTTAGTAGTAGCAATTGTTGAGCAGAATCTTGTACCTATTTACAATTTAAAAACTTCTTGAAAAGGTTTTTAGCAATTTTTGCAATAACAGGACCCTATTTGCACAAATTCACAAAAGCAGGACCCTGGTTGAAAGAATGTGACTTAACGCTCATTTTATATTCACAAATTATGAGTAGTTTTTTCACAATTTAACAAAAACAGGACCTTTCACAAAATGTCTGGACAGACCCCTGCTTGAACCATCTCCTTTTTTATGCCAAGCAACATTCTGCTTACTTTTTATTAAATAGCTTTTGCAGAAGCTTCCATAAAATTATTCCGCACTAGCATTTTATTTTATTTGTTTTCTTTAATATAAATACTGTATAAGGATCCCTTTATACATTGATACATAATATTTAGACGAATAAAAGCATTAATTGAATATAGAGAAACCTGTAAAGCTGGATTACAAAGAACAGAATTTATCTTACATAAGGGAGCAAAAACTTCATAGCCTGACCACCTGTCTATCTTGTATGTTAACCACTAAAATAAATTAAATTAATCCAGCATTATAATATAATGCTTTTCTAAAATCTTCCTAAGTTGAAAAATGAAATATTTTTTTCCTAATTTTGTATAACTAATATATTGTTTTAAATTTCACTAAATTGGGGAAATAGTGTAGAAAGCTTGCACACGGGGAAACTAGAAAGGGCTTATCTATTCTTCTGAATGGCTTTTGAGACAGCTGTTTGGACACACTTTCTCCTTATTAAAAACAGATGTCAATTAAAAAGTTCAAGCTGCAATAAGCAAGAGCCATTTTGAACTGCAGACAATGTGAGATAGTTGTATTTTTTTATATTGAAGTAGGTTATGAAAAATGAATATTGTGCGCTGAGATTCAGCCACTTTGACTAGCTCTATATTTATTTTTCATAACCTACTTCTTCATAGAAAAAAAAATTACAACTATCAAAATTTCTGATTTTCAAAATAATGGCTCTTAATAAATGAATTTCTTAAAATATTCTTTAATCTTTTTTTTTTGAAAAGATTATGGTATTACAGTAAAGAATTACTGTTATGCAAGTTATTCGGAGAGCTAGGAAATTTTAAAGACATTTTGTGATAAATAGTTCCAAAAAAACTAGTTGAACTTTCAATTCATAAAAACCTCAAGATACATGAGATAATGGACAAGACAGTGGGGAAAGAAGCCATTGCTCATAACATCGAGAAGACATTTAATCTTTCCAGAAGCATCAAACTGTGTCCAGAATTTAATATGCTATGTGCCCCATAAATAACCCGATATTTCGGAATGTTTGAATTGCAACATAATTGGGTTGTTGTAAATTCAAAGTGACAAACAACAATAAGGAATTATATGTTTGTAAGTGTTACATAATAAATTTTAAAATGAGAAAATTAAATGTCTTTCATATGTTTATGTATACTGATAGATTAAGAAATTATTTATAAGAAACTGAAATTTATTATTCTAATTAATTTCTAAAAATATATGTTAGGATGTCATGTTGAAGTTAATCGCTGAAATAATATATTACAAGTTCCCCTGTATAAAAATACATTTGCTTATAATGTAGTGCAATTGAAAAAATAATGCCAGTGATTTGCAATAGATTTGAAGAAAAGTGGCTTAACTATTTTCTCTTACCTTTGCTGATGTTAACACTAAATTAAGCTTTTAGAAAACTGATTAAAAAAAAAACGATTTTTAAAGAAGAAGAAAATATTTATGTGCAACTTATCAAAGATGTCAAATATATAAAAAAAATTATTTTCTGTCACTTCAGTTGATTTTCTATAACACTGTTAGTATACTAATCATAATTCTATANGTGAAATTTAAAAAAATATATAAGAAAAAATTTCCAGCTTTTCTTTAAAATTTTCAGGTTTTCCAGATTTTTATCCATATTTCCCTGATTTTTCCAGGTTTTTTCCAGTATAAAAAAAATTCCCTGATAATTCCAGGTTTTCAAGGTTTTCCAGGTGGGTGGCCACCCTGGTATACTAATCATAATTCTATAAAAGGGTTGGAAAAAAGCAGATTTTTCATTTTTTAAACCGGGTTATTTTAATTTATTTAAAACATTAACCAAAATCTTTTTTAGCTATATAGAGTAATATTTTGATATGATAAAAAATATATACATAATATCTGAAGATTTTAAATACGCTTATTTATTATTTCACAAATTCACCTAGCATGTGAAAAAGCTTTTAATACCTAGTTACTTTTTCAGTGCTGTTTTATGAAAATTTTTTAATGCTTGAAAATTCGTTCTACAACTGCATGGTTTGGGCTCACAAAAATTAAGAATTAATAACAAAATTTATAAAAATCCTGTTTAAAAAAGTTAAAAATTTTAAATATTGAAAATATTTGTTTATTTTTAAGCCAAACTGTGATGGCATGGGATACCATCACATATGACACAAGACCACCCCTAATAATCCACTGCGCCATACGAGCCTAGCAGTATATTCATGACAGTCTTCATCCATTCATGTCTGGGCTTCCAGCAGCGGTGTGATGGCTCAGGAAATAGAGCGTTCGCCTTCCAGTGAGGTGTATTGGATTCGGATCCCACCGATGGCTGGTCGATACTAATTACATGTCTGGTTTGTACCGACAACAGTGCTGACGTAAAAATATCCTGGATGATAGACAGATCATAGGTTAGTCTCCTTGCCGTCAGGCTAACAGTGAGAGGTTATCCTCTCCATGTAATGCAAATGCGATTTAGTTCCATCAATAGTCCTCCACAAAGACAAATTTCTCCCAATATTTGACCCAGAGCCGCGATGGCTCAGAGGATAGAGCGTTCGCCTTCCAATGCGGCTAACCGGGTTCGAATCCCAGTCGATACGAATTTCGTATCCGGCTTGCACCCACCACAGTGCTGACGTGAAATATCCTCAATGGTAGACGGATCCTGGGTTAGAGTCCCCTTGCCGTCAGGCTAACCGTGGGAGGTTCTCGTAGTCTTCCTCTACATGTAACACAAATGCGGCTAGCTCCATCAAAAATTCCTCAACGAAGGGAAATTTCTCAAAATACTCGATCTAGGAGTTCCCTTGTCTTCTGAATTGGGTTCAAAATTACAAGGCTACGGAGTTGAACATAAGTAGTCGTAAACCCAAAAAAATGGGTCAATGAAGGGGATAAAATTAAATAAAACAAGAAAATTCTCGGACAGACACAAGTGTGTCACATTAATGCCTGTACCACATTACCACCCTTCCCTGGCCTACTTGATCCACAGATGAGCATGTCTAGGACAGCCAAATTGGACAGTTTAGTGGATTAAATGGTGTTTTTAACGCAAATGTGAAACGAGACACTGCAGGAAATCGAAACTTTTAATGACCATTTCACCTCCTGCATTCGCACTACAGGTAGCCCCAAGAGAGTACTATAACTTCCATTTATTTGTATTTTTTCCTTCAATAAATACTTATATCATCTCTGTACTTACATATTTAAAATTCCGTTTCATTCTCTCAACTCTTTCTCAGTGCGCTAACTTTTATGGCAATGAACGTAAATGATGAAATGTGTTATGCATACTGTACATAGTTTGTTTTATAGAAGTGTTGCATTAATTTAGTAAAATTTTTTTTGTTTTTTTTAATCACACACTTCATTTTGTTATTTAATTAGTTCTTTTGTTTTGCTTCAAAAAATTAGAGTAATAGGACTACTGAAATATATTCTACTTAACACATTTTTGTAGCTCTAGTTAAAGTTAAATTTATAATTTTCAGTTGATAAATTAAAAGATCAAATAGGTTTGAAAATTGTAAAGAAATGGATTGGACTAGCAAATTCAACTAGTAAAACGTGGGGAAAAAACTCACAACTAGATTTTTTTTAAGGGGACGAATCCTGATAATAGTTGAAATTACACTTATAACAATTATTTTTTAAATTTCAGGTGAATGTTGACAAATGATGGCCTTTTTTTAGAAGGGGTCCAACCCCAATCATCATAAAAGTAATTTTAATCTCTTTTTGTTTATTTTTTTTTTGCAATAAAACGGTCACCAAAAATCAGACAAGATCTGAAAAACCATACATCCATTAAAACATAAGACCCTACATCTTAAAATGAACCAAATTGGACTTGTGCACAATTCAAACTAGGCTTTCAAATATCATGAATTACTTTTGATTGATCAATTTCAAATGTTGAGTGTTAATATAAAATTGAAATGATATATTCAAGAAGATGAATCAAATAACAAATAGAAGAAATTTATTAACATATCAAGAGATATTTTTAAACTATGTTATTACCAAAACTCGTGAGGAATATTGTCATATTCGTCATAATCATCATAGTCACCGTATTCATCATACTCATCGTACAATTCGAATCCAGGGTAATCATCGATATCGTAATCGTTCTCATCAGCATCGTAGTCCACTTCATAATCACTATATGAAAAGTCACTCTCATCCGCGAAATTTATCAGAATTTTCCTGTTGGAAGCTTCTATGGTCTGATTGAGCATGCAAATGTCATCCAGGCTTATATTTTCGCAATTATCCAAAGACAGACTTTTGAGTGAGTTACAGTTCAAGATAAACTGCTGAAGAAGGTCGACTCCAACGTCAGAGAAGTCGAAGTGCAAGTGTGATAGATTACAATTCAGAGAGAATGTTGAGAGTTTTGCAACAATGTCGGATTCACTGAAATCGCAGTAGAGCAGCGAAAGGCTCTCTAAATTGGGACTAGAATTCAAAAGCATCATCACATTATCCGTGCAGTGATAATCCAAGAAAACAACACTCTCCAACTGCAGGCTCTTCAATCGGTGCAATACTTTGGTCGACTTTTTATCCTTCAGCCCTTGGTATTGAACAGTCTTTAAGGTAAGCGCTTCTAAATTTGGACAGTTCTCCACTAATATCGACACCGATAACGAAAAACTATCTACAGTTAGAATTTTCAGATTCTTTCCTTTACTTATCAGAAAGCTATTCAACTCCATCACATCGTAACATACAATAGTAAGATTTTCGACATTCGAAAAACGAGCAACAAGTTCTAAATCCTCCTCGCTCGAAATTGGCACCGAAAGCTTCTTTATCTTTGGGCATCTTTCGGCACACACAGTCAAAAGTCTAGTTATTTCCAAAGAATCCTCATACGGAATAAAATCAAGACACTGTAAATTGAATTTTTCTGACACAATATTATTATCAATATCTAATAAATGTATAGATTCTATGGCATTGGGCAATTTGGGATAAACAACGTCTTCAAGAGTTGGTAAATTCTTTAAGAGAAAGGCAACATCCTCGACTGACACGTCCTCTATATGAGCCAGATTCATATACTTCAGAGGACATTTAGCTTGAATTTGGCCGTCGGGATTCGAGCAGAGTGCTTTGATTCCTTCACCTGTGACCGTAACTGAATCTTCAATGCTCAGCTCAACGAGGCTCGGACATGAAGAACTTATCAGTTTCAGCAAATCGTTGTCGCAGATGTAAGGAACGTTTATTTTCTTAACATTATTGGAAAGAGGGATTAATTTGGAAAATATAGATATAGAATCATCTGCATTTCTGTGATCATAATCCCAAGACAGTTCAAGTAGGCTCTAAAACAAAATAAAATAAATAAAAAAACAGTTATTTTGTGTTTGGAATTAAACACCATTAACAATGACATTTAAATAATACAATTGGAGTTAAGTTGATTACTATGTTTTTAAAAAAAATCAATTTAACTCTGATGTTAGATCGGAGTTAAATTCTCAATCCATGACAGCGTAGTACTAAGTTGCGGATGCTGGTCAGAAGTCTGCTAAAATAAATCCTGGAGTCTAATACCAATTTTTCAGAACAATGCACTAGTACTAGTGATACGTGGCACCACTCAAAAATTGAGGGCAATTTAGGGCTAAAACTGTCGTGTGTTAAAGCAGTCTCGTAGAGCACAAATAGTGTCACATATCTCATCAAGGTTAATTAATTAAAATTATTTATTTCTCAGCTGTTTTTTTTTTTGCAATAGTGATAGCTAAGTGAATAAAATTATTTTTTTAATAAAAAAAATTTTTTTTTTAATTCTTGAACAGTATTTTTAAATAATGGTCAACTACACCGAAGAGCCATTACATTATGACCACCCTCCATCTATAATATGGGCTCGCCCAGGCTTCTATGGTTTCTCGTCCAGGAACAATGTTTTCATGGGGCACATTAGGACCCATAATCCTCATAGAACAATCCCTGACGTCTGTAAACTACTACTTGAACATAGTTGCAGACCAGGTTCACCCATTCAGGGCAACAGTTTTTCCTGCGGGGGATGGTGTTTACCAACAGGATAATGCACCATGTCATAAGGGTCGAATCATTATGGATTGGTTCGAGGAACATTCCAGTGACTTTCAAGTCATGTCTTGGCCCCCAAATTCACCTGACCTTAATCCAATAGAGCATTTGTGGTCATACTTGTAAAACCAAATTCGTGCTGCCACGCTACCCCCTCGTAATGTGAGGGAGCGCTTGGTGAGCGCTTGGTACCAGATACCTCAGACTACCTATCAGTACCTTGTGGAATCAATGCCACGGCAGGTGCTAGCAGTTTTGAGGGCTTAAGGTGGTCCTACACGTTTTTAGCAGGGTGATCATAATGTAATGACTCTTCGATATATATACAGTACAGAACCCGTTATCCGGAAATCAGAAAACCGGAAAACCAAAAAACCGGAACGAAATTCGAGGAATTTTCCTGCCATTTCATTTTAAAAAAAATTTTTTTTCCTCATAAGATTTTAGGATTTTTCTTTCTTTTTTGAAAGATTTTTACCTTACTCTCATTTTGGAAATAATCATTAGTGTATTACTTCATCGTTTTTATCTTCTTTTTAAGATTATTTCCAAAAAAAATTTTTTTAGTTGGGTTTAACAATAAAAAAAAATGGCTTTTTGTAGCAATTCAGAAAACCGGTAAAATCAGTTATCCGGAATAGCGATGGTTCCGGATAATCGGTTCCCTACTGTAGTAACAGAAAACATTTCCCCCAATTTTAGCTACTAAATCAATTACATAAAATGCAAAACATTTGTTTTAGGCGAAAAACATTTTAATTAATAAAATAAAAATATGCTGTTCTTAAACTACCCCACAGAAGAGGATTTGTATTCATTTAATGCCATAGAAATAACAAAAACTATTCAAGCACACCATGAAATATAATTCAATAGAGGATACGACACCAACCAACCAAAATATGCTGTGACAGACATGACAAAAAAAGGCGAAAATGAATACAGAGAGTCTTAACAATATGTATACGTCTTACAATGCGTGTACCTCTTAGCATTTGAGCTCAAAAGTAATTTTCTGAATGAACTGTTAATTAAAATAAAAAGATATTAGATCAACAAAAAAAATCCAAATCTTATGATAATTCAAACAGGCAATTTAAAAAATAAATAAATAAATTTAACAGGTATTGCAATTTCAATGATTTAAATAAAATGATCAAAAGTAGTAATTTAAATAATCCGATTTTCTGAAAAATAAAAATCATTTCAAAACAGCAATGTAAAAATCAATGTTTTAGATCATTTGTTATTCTTTAGATTTTTAATTGTGAGAACAAAAAATATAATCCTTCTAATGTAGTAAAAAAAGCTTTTAACTTTTTAAGCTAAAGCTTTCTTAAGCTTTTAAACGAACTTAGAAATTTCATGTATATAGCGATTACTAAAAAAGCGAAACTATTTAGAATGCACAAGGAACGGATATGCAAAATTTCTGAGTACTCAAACTTGGGTACCTTATTTGACCAATTATTTTTGTAAGAAGTAAACCTTTAAAAAAATTCTTACATTAAAAAAGGGAAAAAATTTTCAGTTACATTTTTTAAAAGATAAATAAATAACAAAATAAAATTAATAATTGCAGTTAGAAAAAAAAACGCAACGAAGTAACTCTTATCTCTAATAGTTAAAATACTCTCCTCTAAAACACAAAAAATCTTTGTTTTCCATATTAACTTGACACTTACTTATAAAAAGGCCGACGGAAGGAGCAAGCAATCTCCCAGAGCGCCGGATGACGAGAAGCTGAACGAGAGCTCTTAAATTAATTCCCTTCTTTTTAAAAAAAAAAAATATTGAGCTCTGGGAAAAGCGCTCGCCTCTTAATTAGGCGACCCAGGCTCGAATCCCGACATTGGCTGGTTGTTACAAATTTTGCTCCCCGGACAGACAAGATTGACATAAATATCTTCAGAGGTAGATGGATCATGAGTTTCAATCCCCTTGCCGTTGGACTAACCGTGAGAGGTTTTTGTAATTCTCCTCTCCATGTAAGGCAGAATACGGGTTAGTTCTGTTAAAAAGTTCTCCACGAAGGCTAGTTTGCCCCAAAGCCTAATCTAGGAGTGATTTTCTGAGAAACCAAAGACTTCTTTTTCTCTACAAATATTTACCAAAGACCGGGGATGCAATAACTTCTTTTATCGTCTGATTTATTTAAACATTTACTTTGTAATTTCCGTTGCACGTAAGTTTCTATTTATTTTTTGTATATAGTTTCATAAATCTATATTAGTCTGGGTAGAGAATATTCGAGGATAGTCAAATCAGTGAATGAGTTGATAAATGCATAAAAATTTTAACTTATAAATTGTGTTATTAGCAATTTACGCCAACACTTTTTCATTTTTTAACAATAACTTTTAACAAAATAGTGACACGGTATGGTCAAATGGTGACTGCTAAGTACCTTTAAAATAGTATTTAAGCACGTACGATACTTTAAAATTTTATGTTAAGCATTAATGCGATTTGAAACATCTCAAGTGCACCGGAAACCACCAAGTTGAATATAAAAATGCTATGAAATTACCTAAAACGAATAAAAATATATTAAATTATAGATCTTGGAAATGTTGTCTAAAAAGCACTTAAAATTTGTAAAAGCACATTAAATGCACATTTTGTAATGCAAATTAAAATGAGCTGATTTTTTCTCATTTATATGAATTATATTGCGACATGGAGGCACAAAAAATTAATCTGTCTTCGGAGACTGAAAACACGTTTACTTTATTAAATTTGAAAACAAGTATTTGAAAATATCAAAATAAATCTCATCTTAAATTTAAAAACTGCTCTTTTCATGTCAGACTATTTTAACTAGAGCTTCTTTTTTCTTCCAATGCAGGTACATTAATTGAGCTTTATTATTAAGTGAATTACGTTTTCTTTTTATTTAGGATGCTAAGTATTTAGTTTTAGTATATGAAAGTAAACAACTACTTTTATTTACATTTCATTAACATTTCTTATTTAATTTTTAAAAACTTTCAGAAAATAATCTAAAGCTAAGTAAATCTAAACTATTTGAATTTTTGGACTTCAGACTAGGGCTGAGAAATGATCTACTAACGATGAAAAAAATGCTTGGGGCACAAAATATTGAAAATTTCTGTACTAATTGTTATTCGCTTTGTTCATATCTATGTTTATTAAATCAACATTTAGATTTTATTATATTTTTGATAGAAATATTGCAATCAAAAATATCAAAAGTAATTTTCTACAGTGTTAAGACTACAACAGCGAGACAATTCAAAGAAGAAAAAATTTCCCTTTGAAATTTAGATTTATTTTCTAAGATTGAGTTAAGGGCGCCATTTTTTCTGTCTCGCCTGCGGCGTGAAAACGTCTTCAATCAGCACTGCTTATAAAAATAAGATGAATTAAGAAGAAAAGAAACACAAACATTAAATCACATAACATATGTAAATAAGTGAATAGTCCCCAGTTACATTCTTTTCAATAAAATTGTTAATTCAATACATTTATTAAATAGACTTAAATATGCAAAAATTACAAAGTGGGGAAATTTATTACGTACAAAAAAAAAAAAAAAACTTGAATCAAAAAATTTCTTTCCAATTTAAAAAAAAAAAAATCTATATTTTTAGAATAAATGATAGGGTTCAATATTTCATTATCGCTGTTCCTTGTCGCCAAAGAAATCAAAGAAAGGACACAGCTCAGTTACAAGCCGACCTTATACAGGGCACGTAGCCAAATCTGTCAACAAAAATAAGCACCTTTTAAGTATTTTTTAAGCACTCAAAAAATATTTTTAAGCACTATATACATTAAAAAAATGCAAAATAATTTTCAAAGACTTTAGATGATCATGATAAAATAACTATTTTATGACAAAGAACACTTTTCATGACTATATTAGCCACCATAAAAAATCGAGAGATTTTTCAGTTCGATTTCAGTTGGGTGGAAAATAAAGTCTGAAATTGAGAATATCTTGCAAAATGCAGCACATAAGAATGCAAGAATTTCACCAAACTCAGCTCAGTATATGCACATGCAGACCCGCAAGTATTTCTTTAAACATGTAAAATTATTGGCGCTTTCATGTGCCACAGACCCACGGTACGTCGAAATGCATCGTTTGAATGAATTGTAAAAGCGTTGAATGGAACTATGTGAAAACCACGCTTTTGCCTAATACGTGCCGAAAATCGACATGGTAAAGAAGAAAAAAATCTCATTTTCGAAAAGGGAAAATTAAGCATTTTTTAAAAATACTCAAGAAAAAAAGCAACTTTAAGGGCTTTTAAAAAACAAAAATCGAAAATAAGCACTATTTAAAAACGCTATGCACCATGTTATAACATAAAATTAATCAATGAAAACAAACATTCTAATTGATGTTTTTCACCTGTAACAACTTACATGAGCAATTGGAAGAACTTTATCAAGAATTGTTTCATTAGTAGAACAGCTGAGCAAAATCCCAAGATCTAATTTCTTCAGGTTTTCATTTAACAGGAAATCAAAATGCTCTTCCTTGAGTTCTTTATTTTGTTCCAAGTCAAAAAACAAACTGCGTGTATAGATACGTTCTGCAATGAAACAGTTTAGAAATATTAGTCAGATTATAATTGTTAATAAGATTTAGTAATAATGCAAAGTAAAAATCCTTTTTCTAATTTTTTGTTTCTTATTTAATCATTTTTCTAATTTTCTCTTAAAAGCATGAGTTGGGGGTTCATTCTAGGAAAAAAATATCAGAGTTTCTACAAGTTTTTCCATTGGTAATTCAGTAAATAGTTAGGTATGTGAAAAAAAATATTGGTAGTGAAAAAAACAGGGTTGCCACTTATATCTGAAAAAAAATTCCCTGTGTTTTCCCTGCACATATTAGAAACAATATCAGGATGAGTAGCCAAATTATTCAACAAAAAATAAGCACCTTTTAAGCACTTTTCAAGCACTCAAAAAATATTTTTAAGCACTTTAAAAAAATATCATAATTAGGCAGGGTTGGAAACATAAGCTACGTACTGACAATCAGGGTGTAAATGATTTTAATCAAATGATTAAAATCATGATTTAAATCAAATGATTTTTTTAAAAAAATCACTGATTTTAATCAAAAAAAAAAAATTTTGTGTATAGTCTTGAACATTTTTTGTATATTTTTCTAAGTTTCAAACATAAACAAGTAAGTAGACTGTTCTATATATTTCTCAGATCTCACTCATATAATTCAACATTTCTACTTTCAATGTGACTCATTTGCTTTTAAAAACAGTTTACATATTATATTTATAGTTCATTGAACAGTTTACATATGATTACAGCTATGATAGCAGCATGGAACATTACAAAACAAAAACAACAACAAATTATTATTAGAATCTGAAAGATTCTAATAATAATTGCTGCAAAAATTTTTTTACTAAACGATATGAAAAAACGTTAACACCAGCTCATTTCCTAGCTTACCTCTTGGATCCTAATTCTGAAGTACAATGTTTAACACTAAATGAAAAAGATCAAGCTGTAAACTTTGTTAAAGAAAAGTATGGAGAAACCTCCTTATTAAGTATTTTGCTAAAATTCATTGTACGCTCTCCTCCGTTTAATGGAACTTTGTTTGATAAAGAATCTCTAGAATCTTTAAACATCTTGGAATGGTGGAAATCAATTGCGCTTCTAAAGAACTGTGTAGGTCAAAAAGAGTTTGATGCAATACAGTTGTTATGTACTGCAAAAGGAACAACTGCAGGGATAGAGAGGATGTTTTCCACTTTTGGACTTGTACATACTAAACTACGGAATCAATTGGGTGTAGAAAAGGCAGCTAAATTAGTCCTTATGTTTAAATCTTTAAATAAAACTAATTAAATGATTGTTTAAATAATTTGATATTGTAGATGTAGAATTAATAATTATCACATATTGTTTGATAAACAATTTCTTTCTTGATTTGTAGTTTGAAATCACTTTGTTATTGTTTATTTCTTATTTCACCTTTTGCTTTTAAATTATTAAGAAATATTTTGTTGATAATGGTTAGTAATGTTTATTTCCAATGTATACCATAAGTAACAATAGTAATACAATACAACTTTAAATCTATGGTACACAAAATTGATTATATTCCATAGAATTGAAATTATAAAAAAATCATGATTAAAATCAAAAAAATCCGATTAAAATCAAAAAAATCCGATTAAAATCAAAAAAATCCGATTTTTTTGATTTTTTTAAAAAAATCATGATTTTTATACACCCTGCTGACAATACACTAAAATAGATTGGGATTGAATTAATTGTGAAAACGTTGAATAGAACAATGTGAACTGTGTCTAATTCAAAGTGAAAATCAATATAGCAAAGGAAAAATCTCATTTTTAAAAAGGGAAAATTAAGCACTTTTTAAAAACACTCAATGAGCGTGTAAGCTATATTGGGTAAACTATAGTTATCAGTTTTAATTGCTGTAAAAACAGCTAAACATACTTAAATAATGCTATAGTAAATGAAATAGTTAGTATAGCTGAAATATCATGGTTAAATATCCCATAAATTACGTTTTGAGTGGTCATCATTTTTTAAAAGACAAAAATAAGTAACAAAATTCCTTGTATTTTCCCAGTTTGTAAAGAAAAAATCAAAATTTCTTGCATTTTCCCTGATATTTTAGGTGATTTATAAATTCCCTGTCTTTTCCAAGTTTTTCTTGTTTTCCCTGTGGAGTGGCAACCCTGTTGTTTTAGAGGATGGAAAATCTTAAAGAAATAAAAAAAAAACAGCTGAAAACTTAGCTATATTATTGGTATGGAGTAAAGGGAAAAAACACTACAATAGTTATCCATCATAAATATTTTAGATAAATAAAACAACTATTAAAAAAAAAATACTAAACCAAACTAAAGTTGAAAAAAAAATGAAAAATAGAAGCAAAGAATTCTTAAAATGAATCTTTAATGCTAAAAATAATATTTTCTGAAAGAAAAAAAGTATCCATGAAACATTAAAAGAGATATAGTCTATTAGAAAACTCTTCTAAAAATGTCATGCTATTATAAAAATGCCCATAAAAAAATTTTTATACACAAAACAGTAAAAATAAAAATAGATAATTTTTGAATGAAAAGATTAAAATTGAGCATCTGGCTACAATAAAAACAAAATCTAGCATCTATCTACATTCGCAACAATCAAAACAGAAAACAGCTAAAAATTTTAAAAAAGGAAAACAAAAGTATTCTCAATATTTAAAACAAAAAGTGTTGAAAAAATAATGAAATTGGCTAGCATGAAAATAAGCTGTACAAAGAAAATAAGCTGTACAAAATGTGTGGTCCAGTATATAGTAATCTATTTGAAATTCTTCAAATTTCGTTTTTACCATTTGTCTTTCAGAACAAAATTGCAGAATTTCAGAACAATAAGCAAGTTTTAGAACTATTTTTATAATGCATAGTGAAAAATACGACTTCAGACAACTCTTTATTAAATCAATTCAAATTTCGAAAAAAAAAAAACACTGTTGAAAAATACTTTACCGAATATTTGGTCAAACATTCAGCCGAATATCAGGTCAAATATTCAGTCATTTTCAACAATTCATAGCAAAACACCGAATATTCAGCAAAAACACTGAATAGAGGACGAATATTCGTTACATCCCTAATAATTATGGCACAAGTTCGAATCGCTGATTCAAGAAATCACTTACACACTCAGTTTGTGCCAATATCCTCGTTAATCTATACAGTGTTTAAATCTTTCTTTAGACAGCTATTGCTACAAATTCTCCCAAATTTTAACGAAAAACATACCTGGATATTTATACAACTTTATAACACCCAAAAGTCAAATATCTTATTTGATAACTTATTTGATTATTTACTTTTAATGTGACGATTTCATCATTTTTTTAAAATTGCTTAATGCTACCTATTTCCATAGTTTTTAAAATTACGGTTAATTTCTAAGTTCATATTATTTCTACACGTAAAATATGAATCGCGCATTGAAATAATCACTTTTTCGACATGCCAAATTTATTCTGATAGTATCGTAAATACATGTTAATGCATTTTCGGCTTTTATTGATATTGGTTTTAGGGTTGGCACGGTATTTACCATGTGAAGTTTTTACCAGAATTTATCATGGTTTCTACCATCTAGGGAAAAACTTGTTTTTTTTTTCATGGTTAAAATAAAAATTGTTTTTCTCTAGAGTTTTAACTACGCCCGGTGGCTGAGAGGTACTGCTTTGTGCTGTCATACCACAGGTCCCTGGCTCGATCCTCGGGCCAGGCAAGGTTGACTCAGTCTTTCATCCCTTCAGTGGGTCAATAAATGAGTAACAAGCATGCTTGGGAACTAAACATTGAGGGTTCAGCGTTCGGCTGACCACCTGACCAGAACATCTGCTCCTGCACCCCAGAGCCCAAGGTCAAGAAAACTGAGATGGGCACAGTAGGCCTTGGCCCTCATGGGCTGTCGTGCCTCGGAGTTTAGTTTAGTTTAGAGTTTTAACTGTTTTTAAAAATAAACATATTTTTTCCCATCTTCAGAAAAATTTCTTATTGTTCCTGATACTTTTGTGAACATCTTAAAGCATACTGCAAAGCTTTTTGTGAACATTTAAGATAGCACGGAAACAATAGAAAAATAGTCTTGTAAGCATTGCAGTAGATTCTCTGATCATTTAAGGAACTAACGTTATAAAAAAATTTCCTGATATTCCTAATAAAAAGTATATCCTAATTTGTCCTTCATAACAATTTTTAACTTTTTTTTTCTGTCATAGAAATTTTTAATGACTCCTCTATATTACAGTGAAAGCTCAATTAAATGAGTATGGCAAATTATGATATCCCCCTCAAAATGATAATATTAAATGTACAAATAAATGCATGTTTATAACAAGTTAAAAATTACTAGGCATTTGCTAATACAACAATTTATATTTTCAGAGGAACCTTTTTCAATTTTTAAGTGAGCAATATTGCTCTAAATAAAGATAAATAAAAAGACTTTTTTTTTTATCAATAAAGAAAAATTAAAAACAAACATTATTTCACTTCAATCTTAACCGACATTTAGGTCGGCGACCACTGGTTGTTGTAATTCCTAAAACAATTCCTCTCTGTTTTATGGAAATTCAGCTGCACACTTCAAAAGTATATGCCCCTTTTGTCGATTAAAATCGATCATGTTGACTATTTGCCGCTTAAATAGCTAACTATTACATTCTATGTTATTAGTGTTGGTGAAGTTAAAAGCCATTGCACTTTATTTCATTTTTCCTTGCATCTTGCAAAGGCTGTTTTGGCAGTTCGTTATTAGTAACTAAATTGTTTTAGTTTTAATGAAGATTACTGAGGAAAAACATAACATCTGTGTATTAAAAATGTGCATTTGCTTATTACCACTTTTTTGACTATCGCCCTATTTCATATACGAGGAGACCATGAAGTATAACTTTTCAATTACAATTTAGCAGACAGCTTCCATCAAACATTTGTCCATTAAACACTTAATTGCAGAAATACAAGTATATAAATGTAAACGTAATATTTAATAATTCTTAATACAATTAGCTTTGGTATGGATATATTATATATTCCTATCAGTTCTAAGTAACTGGTATATCTGTAAATAAATAAAAAAGAGTTAATAGTATTTACCATGTTTTTTACAGGTAAGAACCTACTAGTTTTTACCATGTCCTGATAAAAACTGGTTTTTCCCTGGTAAAAACCCAACCCTGATTGATTTTCACATGATTTTAAAATATTCTGATATATTTCTGACTATATGGGAAATTGAAATAGAGCAATAGAATATTTAATTTTTAACACAACGATTCTATTGACTTTTTGGCAATTATTGCTATTGATTTCACTCAGTTGGTATACACAGTTTTTTTTGGTATACACAATCCCTTTGATATTTTTGATTAATAACATTTATATTTGTAATAAAAAGTACTTTGCAGAAAGATATTAGTGCTAAAAAGGTTTGTCGCAGAAAGCCAGAAAAAATTCTGCCACATGGGCTCCAGAGAAACTAAATATATATAAGAGAAGGGGACTAACTCCAAGGGTGTAAACTCATAACCAACCCTGGGCAAATCTCTTCATGTTTCTCTTTTCTTCAAATTGCAAGTTTAAAATCCAGTTTGCTCCTTGGGGATAGTAATTGGCATGACAAATCATGATCCGGAAATATCTCCTTTTTAAACATGTAACAAAGATTAAGTAATGTTTCATCAAAATAAACAAAACAAACTATAATAGACATGAAAAAACAAAAACAGACATGAGAAGATAGGGAACATTTCCGTGTTGTATAATCACCAGAATAATCCCAATTCCGCAGCAGAATAATCACCAAGACTAGGCAACTTGCAAGCGAGGAACTGAAAATAAAAACATCACAGAAGGGGAAAAAATTTAAAGTTTTTAATTCATTTGACGCCTTGGCGATTGAAGTTGGCACGACAGATCACGATACGGATCCCCAGAAGATATTTTAAAAAATGATATATAGTATCATAATAATATATAGTAGTTTATCAAGACAAGTGCATAATATATTTAAAGACTTACGCAAAAAAAATAAATTCTTTGTTAAAGTTTCATTTGTTGTATGCTTATAAGCTGCTGTATAACGGGAAAAATGCTTTCTAATATTTTCAAAGCTTAATTCTTGCAATGATTTAATATCAGAACTCATTTTAAAATTCAAGAGGTAGATATTTTGTTATTTACTTTACTTAACTAGCTAAAATATGATATACGCTTATGGCTACCTATTTTTGTGATTCTCTAACACTAACTGTTCCATGGATAAATAAAAATTTTAACGTGGCTTAGCAGCCACTGCTAAAAGCTAATTAAATTGATTCTATTGAATAAATTTATCATCGTCATCGCTTAATTATTGTTCATTTTTACTAAATTTGGCAGCTGCAGCCTTTTTTTTTTTTTCATTTAAAATTACATATTTAACAATGTTGAGTTTTTTTAATGGTTTTTGAGTTTTAATGAGTTTTTTAATGGTTAACAATCTCGAGCTCGGCACCTAGTCTAGTTCCGGTTAAAAAGTTTGCAGCTGCTTACTACATGTTATTCTGATAGGCGATGTTTTCAAACGGATAATTTTGTTTTCAATAAAAGAAATAAATTAGATGATTTCTGATCTCAATTCCGCTCCGTAGAAAGCCATGGATTTACGAAATACACGTGGTGTTTTTACTATAGACTCATGAAGCAGTAAACATAAAAGTGACGGATTTTACACGGATCTTAAAAAAGTTCATTAAAGAAGAAAACGTAAAATAAAATCCCTCTGATGTGGGTGCATGGGGAAACTGCTCCTGCCTTAGTCAGGCTCTGTGAACACATTGTGAGCCAAATGGCTCCAAAACACATTAAAAAGTGTAACCTGGAAGTATATGCAGTCAAGAGTTTGCAGCGCTTCCTAGTGTAGAAAACACTTTCCATAACTTTTCATTTAAGTACATTTTCTTTGACACATGAGCTGTAAGCCATTTAATGTCATAAATAGAAAGCTTTAGAAATAGTAATTTTATCAAGTCAGAGTTGAATTTAATTTCTAATTTTTAAATCTTTTCCGACTTTCCAAGTTACTTTTTTAAATAAGATTTTAAGTGCGAAAATCATTAAAACAAAATGTCTCATCTTATAAGGATTGCAAATCAGTAATTTTAATGTTCTTTACGCATATTGAGCATTTTAATTGTTTCATTAACTGTGACGTGATATGTACTTAAGGAGTTAATGCACAGTTTGAATTCTTTTATGTTGATTAAAATTTAAGCAAAAAATTTATTTAAAAGTATGGCTGCTATAAGTGTTTATATAATTAGCAAAGCGGGTGGAATGATATATCAATATGATCATAACCCTATTACTATTGAATACGAGAAAACTTTTAGCTTTCCTCTTGACTTAGTCCTAGAATTTGTAAACAATCGTTTGACTGTCACTTTTGGACAAATGGATAATATCAAAGGTTTGGAAATTAGTTTGATACTTTAATAATTTTTCTTATGTAGACCTTTAAAAATTAATGTCCCTAATTAAAGTGGATGTCTGTTCGTGCTGTTTAATTTGACAAGCTCACCAAATCTCTAAATTAGTATTAGAAATCTGATGCAGAATTAATTAAATTCCATTTTTGGGGAGATTTCTGTATCGTGATATGTGGCAGAATAATAGCCAAGGTCTTAGCAATTTCTGAGCAGCGGCCTGCGAGAAACTAAAAAAAAAAAAACATCGTAGAAAAGGACCGACTTGAAAGGTATAACTGGTAGCCACATCTGGGCAAACATCTGTTTTTTTCTTTTTTTAAATTTACAAGTTTAAAATCTCTATTACCCTGGCAATTGTAACTGTGACAGTAAGGAACTAGTCCCCCCTTTTTTTAACAATAATTATTAGAAAACATAAAATTATTTAGGTAAATAAAAGTACCTATTCAGAGACACTGGTAAACACAATTCTTAATAGGGAAGTGCTCCTAGCAGCGAGTGATAACATTTTCAATCAAGAGTTTAACACGCTCGTTACATCTTTAAATTAGTATGAAAATTTAATACTAAATTGATTTAAAGCCAATTACTGTAATATTTATAAGAAAACATAAAATTTAGATTAATGAAACTACCTTTTCAAATATACTTGTATAAACAGTTTATAATTCGAAAGTGCCCCTAGCAGCGAGCGCACGGTGACAATTTCAGTCATGGCTTTCTATGCAATTGTTAATCCTTATGATGTGCCCTATCTCTCCTAGAAGTTTGTGGGTATGGTGGTAATATGCCTTGTAAACTTGTAAAAAAAATGTTTGAAGATAAAGTTTAGAATATTAAAACCATTATTTGGCAGAAAACCATAATTTAGATTATCAGTTAAAAACTAAAAGATCTTTTCTAGTTACTCAAGTATTCACTGCTCCTCTTACAGAGTTCTCGCAATCTTTAAAAACTGCTTAATTTTTATTTGCGTAAATAAGGGCCCTTAAAAGTACTTAATATTGGTATAAGGTTTTTAAAAGTCCTTAATTTTCAGTATCCCTATAATTGATAGGAACAATTTTTCAGTCTTCCAAAAGTATTGGAAACAAAAAGTAGTTCTTTTACCACCTGGAATAAAACCATATATCAAGGGAAGAGCATTTTAGAGAGACAAGAAGGGATGGGGAAGAAATCATGTCCTTCTTTCATTAATATTTTGGTTCTGTTATTGTAAATTCTTTCTTCTGCTATAAATGGTACCCCACGAGGAAAGAAAATCTTTGTATAAGAAAACAAGAAGGATACTGCACATGGAAGAGATCTTGCTTTTTTTAGGGGAATAGACGGACANACAAGAAGGGATGGGGAAGAAATCATGTCCTTCTTTCATTAATATTTTGGTTCTGTTATTGTAAATTCTTTCTTTTGCTTAGAATGGTACCCCATGAGGAAAGAAAATCATTCTATAAGAAAACAATAGGGCATGGACAAGAAGGATACTGCACATAGAAGAGATCTTGCTTTTTTTAGGGGAGGGGGACAGTTTTAAGGTCATTCAGTTCTACTGGTAGCGCACATGGTTAAAGTAGCAAAGTTAAGTCCTAAGAAAAGTAACAGAAAAAATTTTATCTATAACAGAAACTATTTCTAAAAAACTTGAATTAAAAATTTAATATTTCATAATAGCTATAAGCTCATAAAAAGCAGTATCATTTTTTCAAATTCCTAATTGTACTAAAAAGTAAACAGTTTTGTAATAAAGAGGGTTTTAACAAAACAGCAATTTTTTTGAAAAATTCCAGCATACTTAGGTTTTTTTTTTTAAAACAAAAACTTGGGGTTTATCAGTTTTTTGATGAAAGTTTTTTCAGAAATAATTTAAATTTTTATTTCTGAGTACTTAATAAGAACACATGATTTGCCTCTAACATGAAAGTTTACTGGACTCCTACGAGTCAGAAAATTTTAACTCTAAAAAGCAGGGAAAGTTACAATTTTTACAAAAGACCTGGAATGTAGCCAGTCTCAGAATTGTCAATAACAGTAATCAGCTATCGAGATTCAAGATGAATAATTCTAACATCTATTGCTATTATTTTATAAAATTCTATTTAGTGAAACTTTTCTATGTTTCCATTATCATTCTAATATGTTTTTGGTCACAAAATGTAATATTTGATATTTCAAATAAAGAAAAAATCAATGTTTTTTGATGCAAAATTGCATGGTATGATAAAATATGGTTTTAATTTCCATTGAAATACCTGGAAAAGTCAGAGAATTTTTTTTTCTTTCTGAAATTGAGTGGGAGCCCTTAATTTTTTGGTGAATTTTTAAAGAATTGTTATGAAAACTTGGTGCAAATTTTAGCATTTAAAAAGAATTTTTTATTATGTATTGACAATTGTTCAGCCCGTCTTAAAGTGACTCAAACTTTGCAACGTATCAAGCTTGACTTTTTTCCACCCATCATTGAAACTTATATTTTATAGCAGTGTTTTCACTACAGCTCGAGAATCTCGCATATTTTTTTCTTTTCTCGCATTAAAAAATTATTACGGTGAGAAATTCGCGCATTCTATAAATCAATTTCAAAATTCGCGAATTTCTCGCATTTTGGAAAAAGCTTCGAATTACGCCATTTAGAATAAAATCCGTTTCACTTTTCTTCCTGGATCTTTCATTATTTTCAACATTTGCCCCATTATCTAACCTCCCTATTTACCAGTAACCAGTATTGTTCAGAACTTTTTCGAACAACAGAACACAACCCCTCCGAACCACGGTTCTCGGCAACCACGTGTTTACCGCGGGTAAGGTTTTTTCATGTAAGACGTTCAAATTTTTTATGCACTAATGTAAGATGGACAAATACCTAGTAAAGGAAAAATCTTCTATGATGATGCAGCAAAAATGCTCAATGCTTTAAAAAATAGAAGAATGAGAAAAATAGAAGAAATGATTTTTTTTCAAGTCCATTTGTGTTTTTTTAGTTTTTAGAAATCTCACTTAACTTTCTGAAATCTCACCCTGTTTTTGAGAAAGGGTGAAAAATTCTCACCCATTTTTTTTCTATGATGGAAACACTGTATAGACATAAGTGTTTGAAAGAAGAAAAAAAACATTTTCTACAGTTTCCGGTTAATTGAATTTTCTATATCTTGAAGAGTTTTTAATGATGCTTTAAACTATAGAAGTTCCTGTGTAATAATTATAATAAACTGATCTTAATTTTATATAGGAGAGAGAATCTTGTTATAAGCACAATTTCAATGTTTTGAACAAATATATTTTTATTCTTTATTTTTTTCAACTACTGTACTGAAATATATTATTTAAAATTAATGTTTATTTTGTAATAGTGTTAATAGTTTCTGAGGATTTGGTAAAAGCTTTTATAAAATATAAGTCTTAGTCAAACCAACTTCACAGTTCTAGTTAGAGCAATAACAATTTACTCAATTGAGTTCAGGATTCATGAAAGCACTATCATTGTTACCCTCTATAATCTCTCATTTTTATCATTTTCACCTAAGAAAAAATTTAAAACCAACAATTTAAAAAGGAAAATTACAACAAGTTAACTCAAATACGATGAATGAATCTAGTATATATATTGGCAAGCATTGAGGCTCTTTTTTCTTATCTTTCATAATGGTTAACATGTTGCTCTCTACTGCATTTTAGTGCCTGAAAATTTATAGACTTCCTCCAAAATAATATCTTGCCTATGCCTCAGCTTATTTGAACAAAAATAAATGTGACTAACAAAAGTAATAACATGAAGAAGGTAATTACTTTTCTTTTTTCAATTATAGTTGGCCATATAATTTTGTCTGTCAATGGCATTCCACTTTCTGGTCGTAAACTCACTGATAATCGTGATGTTATGGAAGTTTTGAAATCAGAAGAAAACTATCCTATAAGTATCAAATTTGGTAGGCCTAAATTGGGAACTAATGAGAAAATTGTATTAGCCAGCACATTTCATTCGTAAGTATTCATTTATTATTAAATCTGAAGTATTTATATACAATGTATAAGCATGCAGGGTATAAGCTAATGAATTTTTTCTTCTTAAAAAATTCCTTTAGCAAAAAGAAAAAAAATTGAAAATGTTCAAAAAGGTTTAGGCAAAATTTAATACTTAAATTTATATCTAATTAAATTACCCACCCAGAAAAAGTTAAATGAAGGGATAGATTTAGATTGCAAAACATAAAATGCATGAACTCAAGTCTGAACTTTTAATTAAAAAAAATAATAATGCATAATTTGAACTAATACCTATATCGTAGGGACTACAGAAACATACTTATCTTCGTATTGTGATATGATAATTCTATAAAACTGATACTTTTTAAACAAAGGATTTAAAAAAAGAAACTATATTGTAATGATTTAAATAAAATCATTTTTGCATTGTAAATATTTATAATTTATCATAAGATCAAAACCCAGGGAGATTATTGCTAATTAATTTAATAATATAGCATTGCAGGAGATTTATAATTAAGAAAATATGAAATTTAACAAATTTCTTTCCACCCAGGCATTTATTCCACCGGGGAATAAGTTTCTTAATTGAATTGAAAAAGGAACATTATTCCACTTGGCAGCAAGCCTTTTTTAGTCTTTTTACTTTGTAATTCCAGTCTACCTTTTTATAATTTATGTATATATATTGAGGCACAGTGTTAAAGAATTGAGACAGGTAATAAAAAAAGTAAGAATTGAGAAGAAAAAAAATGCCCTGTTATTCTCGTATGGGTTTTTTTTTTTAATGTAAAATTTTTTTCATTATAGCTATCATTCAATCTTTTAAAAAGTATGTAGTAGGTAGGTAATATATTTACGTTGCACTAGAGCAGTACAATGGGCTATTGGCGGCGGTCTGGGAAACATCCCTAAGGATGATCCAAAGACATACCATTGCAATTTTGATCTTCTGCTGAAGGGATAGCTCCCTTGCTTTGGTAGCCTGACAAAGTCAAGCAACTTTACGGTAGAACAGTTTTAACGAGAACCGATACCATGCACCCTTACTCCCTACACAGGGTTGATCCAAGTGGTCACTCAACCGCTTACTGACTGCAGTTTGTGATGCTTGAATTTGGTATTCTATTGGGAACCGTGTCTTTACGATCAGTCCACTGCGGGACCAAAAAGTATTTGAACTACAATTTAATTTTTTTCTTTTTCAGGTTATTTGCAATTGCTTCCCAATTATCTCCTGAACCCCATTGCTCTGGAATTGAAGTTTTGGAGGCTGATACATTCAAGCTGTATTGTTATCAAACTATTACAGGTAATATCGATATCATTACCATAACATAATATTCTAAAGTACAGGGTTGTGAGTGAGTCAGATTTAAAGCATTAATAATGGGATTAATACAATATTAAAATATTTTGAAATAGGCTTCTCACTTGCCATTGCCCGTTGTTGTTTACTCGTCAGTTTTCCCTAATATTCTTCATACCTTTGGTGCAAGCCTTTTTGTCTTTTTGATTATTTTGAAACACTATCCTTTCATAGTGCGTGAACAAGGGACTGGGGTGCCATATTAGAATTTTACTGCAGCTAGGAAACCATTAACATATTTCAATCAGATGGGAAGTGGATGGTAATAAAGTAAAGAAGAAATGGCATGTTGTTATGTTTGGAATCATCTGTGGTGTTCGCAGCAGCTTTTTGGAAAATTTAATGTATGAGTAATTCCCAAAAATTATGTTATTTTAAGGAGAAATTTTTTTTTTCAGTTTAACATTTTCAGAATAGTTTTATTTATTTATTTTAAATATTTATTTAGTAACTCTAATTAATATCTTATAGAGAACCGTGTATTTTACAAGCATTTACACAAGAAAATATTTAACTGGGTGAGTAGCATTTTTAAAAAGTACTTATAGGTTCTTATTTTTGATTTACGTTTTTTAAAGGCCCTTAAAGGTGCTTTTTTATATTGGGGGTTTGTAAAAAATGCTTAATTTTCTATCTTTTAAAAAAGAGATTTTTTTTCTTGCCGTGTCGATTGCCATTCTAAATTACAAAAAAATGCATGATTTTCGCAATTTTCTCTGCAATATTTATCAGGTACTAGTTATTTTATCATGATTATGTTAAGTTTGTGAAAATGTTTTTGATTCTTATTGATTTTATGTTATATATTTAAAAGATGGAAGAAAATAATTTTTATTACTGCACAGTTCCTAAATATGTTTTTTTTTTTTTTTTGGAAAGTAATTAAAAATATTTTTTAGTGTTAAAAAAGTACTTAAAAGGTGCTTAATTTTTGTTGAAAAATCTGGCTATGCACCCTGTTTAAAATAAAAATTTACTAAATTTTAAACACTAGGAAAATGACAGAAAAATTTAGAATTATTAGCAGATCCATGATCACAGCACATAAAACATGCATAATGAATAAGTGACTATGAAAATTATTTTTAAATAAAATAATAATCACTCGTATTTAAATATAAGATCTTTGTGAAGTTATAGCAATTTTGAAGAGAGTCATTGAACCAAAATTGGTATCCTCTTTTTCCATAGAAGTTTAAGGATAATATCTTCCACTGTATTTCAGACCTGTCATAGTCAAAAATGTCTTCCTTTCTTTTCTAAGCCACTTGAAAGGAGTGGCTTATCAGTGGGCACCATCATCCCACTTAAAATGTAAATATTCTGTCCTGAGTATAAGATTTAACTTCCCTCATAACTCCCTGATACTGATTTTTCCTACTTTAAAACTGTTGGTAGACATAAAAGGAGAGAAATAAAAATTATAAATTATTCTTGTCTTTTTAACAAATAAATGAGTTGTTTAAATTATGGTTTTTAAAATGTTGATTGCAGCAACAGCTAGTTAAAAGTATTCAAATGTTCTTATTTTAATTTCAAAACTGTTCGTGGTTTAATCCTCTTAATTCTATTTTTTTTTTTTTTATTATTATTCTTTTTTTTCCTGTTCCTTTTTTTTCAAGTAACCATTTGTGGAAAGTTTAAACACCAAAAACAAAATTAAATATTTCTACTTTTTTGTCATTTTTCTAGCATTTAAGTTAAAATGAGGTTTGTAATTTTAGAACTTTTTACTTGTATTTTCTTCTACTCTTGGGCCTAACTCTTTTACTTTGTGTTGTTAGTTTTCTACATGAGCCCGGACTGAATCATGGTTTTAAGAAAGCAGAAAATTACAACACAAGAACCTACTTGCTTTATAAAATCTCTTTAAATGGATTTTTATCGGAAACTTTCTTCTCTGTTCTTATTGGGAAGGCATACTATAACAAAATGGCTTAAAAATCAAACTTGAAAACAAAATAATTAAACACTAGCCACAGCTACTTAGGTTATTGAAAGTGACACATTTTTGTGTTTTAAAATTAGTCCTTGTGCACAGATTCCAGAAATGATTTTATGCATTTAGATGTAAAAAAAATTAGACAGAGAAAATGTATAGAGAGTTTTAAAGCGAATAATTATTGCAAATATTGTTTGTGACATGCCAGAAAAATGTCATTTTGAAACTCAACATACATCTTTAATTATTCGTAATTGTTGAAATTAGTGTAATATCAGTCTAAAAAGCTAACAATAATCCTTCGGTACAAGGATAAAAAACAAACTAAACTAGATAGAGAGACGGAATAATGTGCCACCTGTACAGATCTGTTTTTTTATTTTATTATTATTATTATTATTCCCACTCCTCCATACAAGACTAACAGCTGGGGCATGCACAGTTCGATTATTTAATTCTCACATCTCTTATACATATAAAATATATTAGTTTGTAAATTTCAATTTAGAGTAGATTACTTACATTTCTGAGTAAGGTTGGGCAGCTTTTTTTAGAAGTGCTTAAATGTGCTTATTTTTGATTTTTGTTTTTTAAACCACCAATCATTTTACATGTTAGATGAAATACTCGCACGTCTGCGTGTGCGTATTCTGTGGGAAGGTTTCTTGCATTCTCATGAGCAACTCTGCTGCATTTTGCAAAAGATTCTCAACTTCAGCCTTCATTTTCCGCCCTCTGAATGTGAACCAAAAAATCTCTTGAATTTTTGCTGATCACGGGAACCAATTAAACATTTCCAATTTTTTTTTCCTAAAGGCAAAGGAAAAGAAAGGCTTAGATGATCAAGAAAAGAATTCTTTGTCAGAAAGTAGTTATTTTATCATGATCATGTAAAGTCTTCGAAAATTATTTTGAATTTTGTTAACATATATATGAAGAACTTCCAACAATAGGAAGAAAAACAATTTTATTAGTGCACATATCCTAATTATGATATTTTTTGAGTGCTTAAAATGTACTTAAAAGGTGCTTATTTTTGTTGAAAATATTGGCAATGGTATAGTTATGCAGAGTCCAACATACATTAAGAAGATGGATATGCAATTAATAAAACTAGAAAATGGATTAAAAAGATTTACTGAAAGGTAAGCATAAAACAATTCTAATTGATCAATTTTAATTGATCAAAATAGCTTCCTGATTAACTTGAAGCTTGGTGATCAAACTTGTGATTGAATTGAAAATTTTTGGAATCAAGGAAAAAAATTACTAAAATATTTTTTATGTGTAAAGATTAGCAAATGAATTTTAACAAAAAAGCTATTTCTTCCTGAAGTGGATTTTTCCACTGTGGTTGAAACTTGTCAAACCATCCATGATTACTATAAATGAAAATTTTGCAATTCTTTTTTTACTTCTAATATTTTTGTTATACTATTTTGTTATTCTATTTTGAAAATTTGGCATACTATTTACAACCGCTACTTTTTTAGGTACAAAATTTATGGTTGTAGCAGATTTTAAGCAAAGTGGAATAGAAAGTCTCCTTAAGAAGATACATGAACTTTATGCAGATTATGCCTTGAAGAACCCATTCTATGCTTTAGAAATGCCCATCAGGTAAAACATTGTATAAGTAGCAAATTTTCAAATTCTTTAGTATTATAACACAAAGACTCTATGTTGTTGAAATTTAATTTAATTATTATGCAAATCATGCTTTAGGTTTGCCCAAAACTAAAATAAGCAGATGCTTAATGCTGTGTACGGTTAAAAAATCAGATTGAAACTACAGTCAAACCCCGCTATAGTGAACCTTCAAGGGACCGAAATTTTGGTTCACTATATCCGTTATGCGTATTAGTATTAGTATCCAACTCTTTGACCAATACTGAATAATTAATCATTCCCTCTGACAGAAAATACATATTGATCCCACTGACACCTTACAGGTGCATCATCTGCCTTGGTTGGAAATATCTATTTGATTTGTTTAGGGATGGGAATGTAAGATAAAAGAAGCAAACAAGAAAAAAATGCTTATCGCTACCTTCTCCACTATAGATGGTTTTAAAAATCGGTAAATGTATTTATTTTGAAGTAGAAATTTCAAAATTATTGCAAGAAAATAAAGAAAAAAATCCGTCAAAGACAGAAGAAAGTTCATTATATCCAACTTCATCACTTTTTTGGTTCACTATATCCACAAAAAATAACATTATACGGGTATAGCAAGACACGAGACCGAACATTTCGTTCACTATATCCGGGAGTTCACTATAGCGGGGTTTGACTGTATTAATAAAAAAGGATGAACTTGCAAAAATGATAATAGGTTAATAAAATAATATTTTCGTCCCAAATGAAAGAATTAAAAAGTTGTTTTATTTTTTATGATTGTACCTATTAAAAATTACTTCAAATGAAATTTATTACTATACTTTCACAGTTACTTTGTAGATATGATAGATAAAAACCAGTATAATGCAAATTAAGTAGATTGGTTTTTGAAGTGCCTGCTGCCGTGCTGGAAGGTTTGTTTCTGGCTCATAACCGTACATAACATTACTTTTAAAAAGTAATGAGTAAAATGTTTTAATTTTAAAAGGTACAAGTACAAAATGAAAATTTAACGATTTTAAAGTACATTTTGAGGAAATCGAAAATTCAAAGTAACTGCAAATTTCATTAAAAGTGTAAGAAATACTTATTTTAATGTATAAAACTTTAAAATGCAGAACTATAAATGTAAATGTTACGAAATTCTATTGAAATTGTTAGTGTTGAAAATATCTGGAAACCAAGAAATAAAAATTCAATGTTTGCATATTAAAAGGAGTTCTAAATTATGTTAATCTTAAATCTATTAAAACTTTAGAAATTTTGTTTTTACTTGCGAAATTTGTAGTAACAAATTATATTGTTAAGCAAATTCGATAACATCATAAATTTAAAAAAAAATATTTATTCATATATAGGTAACATCTTAAAATCATGAAAGTAAAAATTGTATTTCGTTTTTATAAAAGTTTCAAAAAATAATTTTGGAATTTTAAATATTGACAGCTTTTTAATTTGTTAATTTTTTAATTAATCAAAAATTAAGTACTGAAGTTTTTTTTTTTTTTAATTTATCCTTATGATGAACTAAATGTTTACATGGTGAAATTCAAAAAAGGAGGAAAAGTAACTTTCATTCAAAAGCAGAGAAATATCTAGAATTTTTTTAATGCTATCTATATTTTAATTAAATAAAGTGTAATGTTATATTTTAAAACTTAAATAACAAAAATATAATTTTTGTGCAAAAAATGTTTGCACATCATTTAACTATCTTTAAAACATCACCAATCTAAGTTCTTAATTTACAGAACTCTTGACAGGCGTGAAAGGATGTGTGTTTCTTCTCGCCAATTTACGATAGGGATGAAATCTATTCAACAGATTCCAAAAATGTTTTTGCAAGATTTTCACAGCTGATTAAATGGAAGTTAGACAAGCATATCTAAATATAAGTCTTCCAGCAGCTGGAAACTGGGCTGGGCGACTTCTTTCAGTTTCCACACCAAAATTGCTATCTTTTCCAGCCAGTGAAGGGGCTTCACGTTACCTCCCCCCAACTGCCGTCTCCCTTTTAAGAAATTTTAATCCTTAAAGATGTTTGAAAAAAGAAGTTAGCTGTTAAAGAATATATTATACATTAAATTTATTAATTAAGAAAAGAAATTTCAAAAAAAAAAAGTTTTTTAATAGGAAAATTTTTAAAAAATTTCTGAAGAAAGTAACGATTTCTCGTTATAAATCTTGTACTTTTTTCAAAAAAAGTAACAAAAATCAAGTAAAAGCACATACTTTTTACTTTCATTACAAGTGGCAAAAGTCAAAGAATTGCCATGTATGCTCATAACTAATAAATACTGAACTAATTTTGGCAAAAACATGCTATATTTTTAAAGGAATTTACTAACTGAAATAGTAATAGATAATTAATTAAAGAACTTGTCTTCTTTTATGTCAAAATATGTACATTTAAACATTAAAGTAAAAGTTCATGAAAAAAATACCAATTAGGAGCATTCAGTTATGCTAAAAGAAATACTTTACATCCAGAGAACAGAAACGTTTGTACAGGCATTCCTCATATTTACGATTTTACTCATTTTATTTTTCCCCTTTTTTTTTAATTGTGTACCTATTAATTATGTACCTTAATTATGTACCTAGAACAGTATTACACTCACTACCTTACAATTATTGAAGAAATACTTTCAGTTTTTGATATACAGTAGGGAACCGATTATCCGGAACGATCGCTATTCCGGATAACTGATTTTTCCGGTTTCCTGAATCGCTGCAAAGAGCCGGTTTTTTTTATTGTTAAACCCAACTTTAAAAAAAAAAAAAAAAAAATTTGGAAATAATCTTAAAAAGAAGAAAAAACGATGAAGTAATACACTAATGATTATTTCCAAAATGATGGTAAGGTGAACATCTTTCAAAAAAGAAAGAAAAATCCTATGAGGAAAAAAAAATGTTTTTTTAAAAAAAATAGCATGAAAATTTATCGAATTTCGTTCCGGTTTTTTGATTTTCTGATTTCCGGATAACAGGTTCTGTACTGTAGTTTATTATACTTATCAATAAAGTTTGAAGCTTTTAGGGTTTGAGAGACCAGTAATAAATTACAAATGAAAAAAAAGTTTTTGAATGCAATATGTCAGAAATTATAGCAATAAACTTCTCTAACATATATCAATTACATTCTTAATATGTAATAATTAAATAAAAAATTTTAAGCCTGCTTAAATATTCATGGAGATAACATTATTATAAAAAGAAACTACATTTTTTTGTTAGCTTAATAAGCATTCAATAAAATTAACCAAAATTTTCGGAGCAATTTTTAAGTAATGCATGGAAAATATAATATTTTTATTAATTTAATCATATCAAGCATCAAAAGTTTTCAAAAAAATATTACAGCTAACGCTGGACGTAATATTCTTCTCAATTGCTTTTCAAACAATTTTTTTTTATTATTTCACATGTTTATACCTCTATCTAAAGCAAAAAGGATGTGTAAACCACATTTTTGTCAAATACACTTAAGGTAGCAGATCATATCAATAGGTTATTCTATAATTTATAGTTAATATCAAAACGTTTCTGCAATGTATTTTACTATATCCACTTTCAGCCAATGATTATTCAGCCTATTTTGTCAGTATTGTGTCAGAATATTGAAAAAGCAAAACTGTGAAACAATTGGAAAGATAACGCATTTGGTTTAAAACAATATACAGTACAAATTTTAATGTTAGTTTATTTTTTGTTTGTGTAATACATTGTCTAATGTTTACAAGCTTTTATTTTCAGGTGTGAGCAGTTTGATGTGAATCTCCAAGCTGTGTTGGAACAAGTAGAAAAAACAGGAATGAGCAATATTTAACCTACTATAAAGAAATATGTTTATGTAATTACATTTTTTATATCAAACTCATTGATCGTGTTATGTCTAAAATTTAATTATGATCATAATTAACATGTTTATAATTTTTTTATTATTTTCCTGATTCTTTTTCATCACGTGTATGTAAAGTAATTATTTATTAAAATAGTGGTAGTTACTTAAAGGAGACATGTATTAACTTGATCATAAATTGTCTGGGGGAAAAAACCCAAACAAATATTGGAAAATGCATATATTATTAAAATTTCTTTATGATAATCATAGTGTCAATTATTTAATGAATTAAAATCAACCGAGTTTTTTTTTTTTTTTTTTAAAAAAACAAAGCAAATATTTAAAAAAAATGTTTAGGGATTTAAAGTAGCGAGAACTTACCGGCGCCATACAACAGAAGAAATTTTTTGTCACAAAATATTTTAAAATAAAGAAAAAGTAAGGCAAATTGAATTCAGGCAAATCTAGAGTAAGTCATGAAGTTTAGAGTGTTGAAAAAAATACTTCAAAATATTTAAATGCAAACAAATTATAGAAGAGAACTTCTCCATTGCATAATCTTAAGTTATCTCATAATTTATTTTCGTGTGTATATTTTAAAATTTTCTTTTCAGTATTTGAAACTTTATGGCTTACTCTAGGTTTGTCTGAACTCACTTTTTCTACAGTTTAAATTAGTAATAAAGGAAAAAGAAAATTTGCAACAAAAATTTTCTTCTGCAGTATGCCTTCCTCTTAAGCAAGACTCCATTTTAGAGAATTTTGCTCTCCCTTATAATCACTGCATAAAGTCCTGTTTGCTTATTCCATAAGCGCAATTATGATACACATCAGAATTTCCTATCTGAATTGTTTACAGATACTGAAATTTAATTCAGTTCCTTTTTTCATTACTTAATAAATCACTTCATAAATAAGTGTAAGTTCTTTGTGCTTTCAAAACAAAGTTCTTACATTAATAATGAGTTGTTTGATTTAGCGAAAGTGTCAAAGTAATTATTAAAACAAATATTTTTTTCTTCATGTTGCCACACATGGGATGTGAAACATTTTAATTCCCTTCAGAACTCCTTATGACTAGTTGGTCAATAGGAAAGTTCATTGTTTTCTCAATTACTATAAGCTCGAAAACTTAGTATTCACTATTTTTCAGCAGGTCTTTATAAATTGACTTTGCGCTTGCAATCAATTTTTTATTTTTCTAGTTTAGTGGATAATTTTTAAAAGTGTTTAAAACAACTCAATTTCTGACTGCATTTTATCAAGGAACTTTTAATGTTGCCTCCTTTGTATTTTTTTTTAAAAAAGATAAAAGTTTAAAGAAAAATATTGAAAAATTCATTTTTTAAAGAAAAAAATTTTTCTATACAGTTTTTTGTCAAATAAGTTTTTCAAATTCTAACCTTAGTCAATAGAGGGCTAGGGAGAAAATTTCTTATGCTTAAAAGAGAGATCATTGATATGATTGCCGTAAATTAAAGATTCCTTTAGAAGCTTTTTTCTTTGTTTAGGAGTATAAAAAGATGGCTATAAACTATAGTCCTCCACAAAAGCAAATTTTTCCCAATGCTTGATTCAAGAGTTCTGTTGTCTTCTGGATTGGCTTCAAAATTACAAGGCTACAGAGTTGAACATTAAAAGTTGTAAACCCAAAATCGAGTTGGCTATAATTCTCGTATAAAGTTGTCTATAAATTTCTGAAAAATTCTGCTAAATAAAGTTGGATCGTGTTAATTAGTCAAAATATAAGTTCAGTCTTGACATTTTCTTAGAGTGGCACCTATTCTGACTGTATAATCTCTTAAAATTTCTATGACAAACCTCATTTTTGTACATCTTTCTTGACTACTAATAAACAAAACATAGAAATATTTTAGACTTAGATATATTACTCATTATAGATAGTTAATACTGTGCAAATGATATTAAAACTAAATTAATGTAGAAGCAATCAATCAGCAAGTGAAACAATTATTGTCTATCTACACTTAAATGAATGAAGTCTCGCCATAACAAATTTGATTGATTCAGACTGAAAACTTCATTTTATAGTGATTTTTAATCAGTGATTAATAAATTCAAAAGTACATTAAGACTTTTAATTTAATTATTCCATTCAAGTAAGTACATAAAGGGTGGAAGTGTTGTTTATTTCTGCAGACAAAAAAAAGAGAAATGTGACTTTTAAAATCCCTTTATTTTTAATTTTTTTTTTAAACGAAAAATAAATAAAATTTGGAAACATTTGAAATAAAAGTGACACTTATAAAAATTGGAAAAAAAATTTTTTATAAAATAAATACAAACATTCATTTTATTATATACAAAGTTACATTAGATTTAATCCTGTAATTAAAATTGCAATTACTATAGTAAAAGTCAGAGGTGGGTTAGAACTTTCTCTTATGTAAGAATAGGAAGGTTCTTTTGTGCTTAGTTTGTTTTTGCTGAACAAATGAGGAGTTCACAATTGCCAAAAATTATGCTTATATAATATTTTGATGCACCTGAAATGTGAAAATTGAAGTGAAACGACATGCTTCTCAGTGGGAAAACTTCAATAGTTAAAGCTCGAATCCCGGCACTGGGTGGTTAATTGGAATTCCGCACCAGACTTGCACTGACCACACTGCCAAATCAATAAAAATATAAGATTATAAATGGAATTTACAGAAATAGGACAAAACTTGATGAAGTGAAAAGTAAAGATATGAATAGAGATTGGTGTACTGAAAAGATATGAAGTTAGCTGTTATATTTGTTTTGTTTTCAGTGAAAAATGAGTAAAAGAAAATAAATATATTTTTTAGAAAAAGTAACCAAGGCTCAGGATAGAGCGTTAGCCTTACAATGCTGTGACCAAGGTTTGAATCCCAGCAATGACTGATCAATACGAATTCCAAACCAATCTCACGTTACCCACAGTGCTGATGTAAAATATCCTCAGTGGTAGACAGATAATGGGTAAGAGTCCCCTTACTGCCATGCTAACCGTAGGAGGTTTTCCACTCAATGTAACACAAATGCAGTTCAGTTTCATCGAAAAGTCCTCCAGAAAGGCAAATTTCTCCTAATACTTGGTTCAGGATTGGGTTCAAAATTACAAGTTTACAAAGTTGAATATAAGTAGACTGTTCAACGACAGTTATAAAATAGAAGTCCATAGTCGAGACATGTGAATGAATGTAAAATATTAACCCTCTTGGTGGCGCTTACTTAAAATAGTTTTTCTCTTAGAAGGTCGAGCATATTGAACAGAGTTGTCCGTGAAACGGCAAGGGTCAGACAAAAGGAATGCCTCCCCCCTTTTTTTCCGTTCACTGTTAAGGGAATTATTTACGCTCTATGTGGTCAGCTTTTGGATGAGAGGGTCAGCCAAGGGAATGACAGTTTGATGGATGGAACTCGTTTTGTAGATCACTTTTCAACTATCTTTTTTGAATCCTCCTGCAATTCAGTGTTTGTTTCCAGAATGTTTTAATCTTTTTACAATTTATATTTAAAAGACATGACTGTATGGCCCTCGCCTTTCTTGTTGATAAAGATTGTTAGACAAATTTTATTCCAGTTTAAAATTAAAATAAAAAATTAATTATAAAAAAATATAATATGAATCTTGAAATAAAAAAAATAAACATTGAAAACAATATTATGCAGTTTAAGTTTCTTTCTTTTTTATTATTAAATTTATATTGATTTAGTGCTTATCATCACTATGCATATCGTTTATAATTACTTTTAAGATCCTTTAATTTTCTATAATATTTAATTTTGCAGAGTGGCAATCTTTTTCTTTTATTTAATCTAAACCATGATCATTATCTTCATTTTACGTTATGTATTTCTGAATAACATTATGGAATATTTAAATTAGTTTGAAAATAGTAATGCGTATCCTTTAAATCGATATATTTCTTGGGTCAATGCTAATATTAACCTATGAAAATTTTAAAAATTACTCGTAAATTTTTTTAATGCAAGCAAACTGTGTGTTGCATGGTTTGCTATTATTCATTTTCTTTTTCTGCTCAGAATTTTTTATTTTTCTGAATTTTTTAGAATTTAACAGATTTAATTNTTCAAAATGACAACAGTTAGATATTTCGTTAGTTGAAACATTCATATTTTATTTCGTTAGTTGAAACATTCATATTTTATTCCGTTAGTTGAAACATTCATATTTTATTCCGTTAGTTGAAACATTCATATTTTATTTCGTTCATTGCAGTTCACTTTCAGCTTAGAAGTGAAAAATAAGACTAAAATTGATTCATTTTGAAAATTATTATTAGATTAATGAATAAATATAACACATTTTTTTAAAAAAAATTTGAACAGTATCAGCAAAACTAATCATGTAATTAAAATAGATTGCAGCTTAACACGTTGAGTGACATGTCAATCATCAGAGACTAATGATGATGAGTTTCGGTTGAATGAATAGCTGCTTGGATATGACCACCAAACTAAAAAATCTTTCACAGGCTAAATTACTAGAGGGAAATGTCCAACATTACATGTGAAAGACTCTTATATTTCCAAAATGTTTGAAAGAAATTCAGCATGAATAGCACTAAAATACTGAAAATCTAAACATTTTGATTGTTTTTTTCAGAATAAGCCTAAAACAAAGAACGGTTTAATCTGAACAGTTGAAATTTATACAATTCACATAGTATTTTTAGGAGTTACTACAAAAATAATGACCAAATCTTCTGAAATGAAACAGAATTAGAAAATAACAAAAATAATGAATGATTATCAAATCTTTAATTTTTCATAAGCATTATCAGCCTGTTTTGATATGGATATAATCCATTAATTCATAAGTACTTTTGAAAAAAAATACAATTAGATTTGTAAGTTTTATACTTTTCTATTTCATGCAACAAAAAAATATAACTGGTTGTTAGAACTTTAAGGATTTGTAAATGATAAAAAAATTGCGGTAAACACACATTTGCCAGGCTACCAACTTTCTACCCTTTTTGTAAAAATTTATTCTAGTGGTACCTAAGTATATGTCTTAATTTCATATTTTTTATTCATTTCAACTTACTTTCCATACCACTACAAATAAATGATTTAAAAATTCTTATGTAACACCACTTTGTTCTAATTCTTTTGCGGTAAGGCTTTTAAAATGTTGGCAAAATTACCAAAGAATTTTTAAAATGTCTACCACTGTATAAAATATTTTGCAAAAAGCGTAGTAGTTGGCTGCTTCGGACTTTTTTTTATAAAAATATACCAATTTTGCAAAAAGCGTAGTAGTTGGCTGCTTCGGACTTTTTTTTATAAAAATATACCAAGGTAAAAAATATATAAATTTCAATCATATAACAAAAATTACTAGCTTCAATTTTAGTTAAGAAATACAAAAGTACAATTTTTATAAAAATTTTATTTTCACATATGTAAAAATGTCAATTTATTAATTGTTATCTACATGGAATGTTAATTTGAAAAATGCAGGTTGAACAAAAATTATTGTTCCAACTTTAATGCCTATATCCACATAATATAAATATAACAAATATAAGCAGTGTATGTGTGTACAAGACACATAATTAACTTAAAGAATTTATAACATATTTTTCAAATAAAGTATCACTAACAATGAGGGGAAAAAATGATATAGTAGTAAACAAATAAAAACATAGAACACAACTGTAAATGTAATAAATAATAACAAATATATAAAATAAGCTGTAATGAAATAACAATTTATCACAAGACTAGTATAAAATTGTTTAAATGCACCAAAATGATATGCAATAGAATTGAGAAAGCAGATACAATTTAATCTAAACATATTGTGCACTTCATATCAGTAGGTATGTGCTTAACAAGAGAGAATACATATGTATTTTTTATTTATATATTTTTTTTTATGGAATCCTGACTTAATAAAGTTTATTAGTGAACATATTAAAACTAGGGCAATTCTAACGCAAATTTTATTATTAGGTAATGAATATCATTTTCATTATTAATTCAATATATTGCCTTTTCTTTTCTAGCAATTTAAAATAATTTCATAAAAGTGATTAAGAAATATTAGATTATTAACTAGATATAAATATATTTGCAATTGGTTTCAAAAATCATAATTAGTAAAAGCAATTTTCAGTCTCCCCCGAACCCTCGTTTTTTTGAGGAACATTTTTTGTTTTGTTTGGATGATACAATAATAAAAGAATTTGCAATATGTATTGAAGTTTACATGAATTAAAAGCTTAAGTCTTTTTTTAAATTAGTAAAAAAAATAATCAGTAAACATCATATAAAACAAGTATTAAATTATGCTACAAAATTAACTTATAGTTCAGTTAAAAAATTGCAGTTTAAAAAGATTCAACATAGTAAGAACTCAAACTGGTTAGAGGCTAGAACTATGAACTAAAAAGATTGAGTTTATTATATTTTAATGCACAGTTAATGAATTATTCAAAAGTTTTTGATAAAATGGTGGCCACACTTCAGATAGAACTGAATTTCTTGTGCACAATTTTAAAATTTAGACATTTAAATTAGTGTGATTTCAACCTTTATTTAAAATTTTATCATATGCACCATAACTAAAAATTTTAATATAATTTACTAATTTAAAGAAATTAAAAATTTCCTTAAACCATTTTTTTTTTTTTTGCATTTATGGTAAAATTTTACCACAGATGCAGAAAATGGTTGTCATAGTTTTTGTTGGTCCTTTTTAAGGGCATTTCTACGTATTTCCATATTTTTATTATTGTTCTAAGATATTTTCCAAGCTGTCACATTTTTTCACAAAAAAATGGTTGTCATAGTTTTGTTGATTCTTTTTTAAGGGCATTTCTATGTTTCTCCATATTATTATTATTGTTTTAAGATAGATTTAGTTTCTTTTTTCCCTTCTCATCTAGATTTTCAAAGTTAGGATTTTTGAGATTATGCTGAATGATGATTCATCAGCACTTAAAATGTGACATACAAAAAAGTATTTTTGACTAAATCCATTTCACAGCAATATTTTCCAAGCTGTCATATTTTTTTCACAAAAAAATGGTTGTCATAGTTTTGTTGATCCTTTTTTAAGGGCATTTCCATATTATTATTATTGTTTTAAGATAGACTTAGTTATTTTTTCCCTTCTCATCTAGATCTAGACAAAGTTAGGATTTTTGAGATTATGCTGAATGATGATTCATCAGCCCTTAAAATGTCACATACAAAAAAGGATTTTTGACTAAATCCATTTCACAGCAACATTTTCCAAGCTGTCACATTTTTTCATTTGATTCAACTCCTGTGAAGAATTAACAGCCATAAAGGGTAAAGCGCTGTCTAAACTATCCAGAGGATGATAGTACTGAAAATAGCACAAATATGCAACACACAGTCCCAAAAGAGAACCAACCAAGACATCTAGGAGGAAGAAAAATGATAAATACATGTTATACAACTTTCAAAATGACAACAGTTATCAGTTTGACTACATTTTTAAAGATAATCAATTAAAATATTTAATTTTTGATATCACAGAGTGTCTACCTTACAGCTTGGGATACCCAGGTTTGACAGTGATTTTGAAAACTATGTGCAGATATGTGAATACATTAAAGATTAAAATTAATGAAATGAAAAATAAATAAAAAAATGAAGAGTTCAATAATATTTTATATGTTCAGTTGAATAAATTCTCTAAAAATAACAAACTAACTACTGCCAATGTCAAAAAAAATACTTATTTTCTTTCAAAAATGCTCAATTATTTATGAGTTTTGAATATTTACTTTTAAATATAAAACCTTGGTAAAGAAAGGCAACAATACAAATAACATTTATTTTAAACTTGAAGGTTTCTTCAGTTCAATTATGAGTATAAGAATCTTACCTTGCCAGTGATGGTGATAATCGCACGTCCTACTCAGAGCAATGGTTAAAGCAAGAAACAGAGGAAGCGAAGAAACAATCAACCTCCATGATTTTCCACGTCCGCGCACGCTAAACACTCCTAATTTCCCACACAAATATAAACTGCAGAATGTCATGCTGGCAAAAGCAACTATAAAACATATATAAGCAACTATAAAACATATATAAGCAACTATAAAACATATATATAAGCAACTATAAACCTTTCAATTTAAGCATACACTGATTTATTTACGTAATTTTGAACATATACAATTGTTTATTTATGTAACAAGATCTGATGTAACAAAGAATTGTTTTATTTAATGCCAAAAAATCTACATAATACTTCTGATGCATAATTTGAATCTATTGAAAGAATTCTAGAAAATTATTTATGAAAGTTGTCTAACTAAATGAATGAAGAAAAAAAAGAAATTTAGGTATGCAAAACAAATTCTGTAAATTTATGAGGATCTGATCTATACTGCTTTATTAGCATATCTAAGATCATCACATTAAGATTGTATATAAAGTGAATCGTAATTACATTAACATTAAGATAATAACATTAAGATTGTATATTATGATTGTATCGTAAGTGAAAATTCAACCATCAGAAAAGTTATAAATTTTTATTTATTATTATTATTATTAATCTGCTTCGTACAACTTGCTTTTTATTTTTTTGTCTTGACTATCTTAAAGAAGGAATATTTGGATGAGTTATTTAAAACATGTTCATTTTATTTTTTTCCTTATCAATTTAAATTGTTTACTTAATATGCAGATTATGAAAGAAAAAAGATTTAATGATGAAATGCTAAAAATGACGACTTCAAAATATTAAGGGATTAATGAAATGTAACAGATCAAAAATACAATCCTTGAAGTATTAACAGATATTTAAAAAAAAATCATTAGGATTAATATAATCACTACTAAACAAAATGAAACCACATAAAAATTAGGATCATTGTTATGTGTTAAATAAAATACAGTCAAACTTCCTTAACGTCAACTCGAAGGCCATAAAGAAATTTGTTCCCGTTATCAGTTCAGAAGGGTTTTTTTATAATTTTTTTTACACGTTTTCTATTACCTATTCGTTTTTTCTAATCTCATTTTTATCATGAATAAGTCAATCAATATCTATTTAACTTCAATAAATGTTTTTACTTTGTTCTTAAATTAAAAAGTTCTAGAAATGTCATAATAAATATAACTAATTACTTTTAAAAAAAATAAAGTTACAAATGATTCATAAGTAGAAAGTAAATCTAAGTATTCATTAGTGAAATTTTTAAAAATTTTTGTTCCTCAAATCTAGAAATGCAATTCAGTAATTTCAATTTCTTTAAACAACCTATGTTAGTGAGGTAGAAATGTCTAACCATGTTGAACAAAGAACTAATATTTGTGATCATTTCTCAGTCAAATATGTTTCTTTACATTTACACTCATGAGATGAAAGAAAACATTTCATATTTAAGTATAGTTTGTTTAAAGTAAGAACTCCCTTAGCCATTTGTCTAGACCAGTGGCAGTGACTCTGGTAACAAGGTATAACTATTTCAAGTAGGGATAACTGTTTAGGACAAGTTTTGGCTCGGGTCAACGAGAGAAAGGAAATTTTTTTCTCCAGTCTATTGTGTTAGCCTTAGAGTGAAGAGAAGCTACCCTCCCTGAAATGACCTGTTCTTGTTTCCATAGCAGCAGACAGCCTGAGATTTTGTGGTGAGGAGAGTTCTTACCATAGACATAGGGCTTATGTTGTTTCCTGTAACACCCACTCCCCCTCAACAGATTCAATTTACACAACTCTTTCAATTCACTGCAATAATGTAATGATTGTAATAATGTAATGATTGCAATAATGTAATGATTGCAATAATGTAATGATTCACAATAATGTAATGATTAAACAATGCATTCACAAAATCTACTCTTATAGATATAGATCTGTGAATGATCATTTTTCTTACCTGTCAAAAGGAAAATAAATTTTCTGTTTATACCCAAAGAAATTTTTTTTTTCAATGGTAATGAAATTAGTGTTCACTTTAAAAGATATTTAACGTTAGCTTAAAAGTACTTTAAAGTGTTATACCCGTATACGATTTGACGAGGAGTTCACGTTAAAATAAATTCACGTTAGGAATTTTGGGGTTGACAAGAGAAAAAAAATTAAACAGACATAAAATTGGCAGTGTTGAAGAATTGAAAAATTTAAACATACAAGAGGAATGACCACTTGGAAAACTTTTAAGACCTTCAATCGTGTCTTCTTTCTTTCCAGTACAAGGAAAATTTACATCTCCATTGCCATCTGGGAAACAACGGTAAAAGAAATCGGGCCTGGGTCTGGAAAATATAATGAATAATAAGATAAGTAAAAGATACTGTTGTAAAAGTTAAAAAGAGAAAGTGTGGCAAAACTAACCTGCCAACAATGAGCTTCACAGAATTTGTCAGAAGACCATTGATTCCAAAATTTAAAGTCAGAGCTATCAAAAACATTAAAAAACAAAAGAATTTAATATTATAATGTTTGAAGAAAACACATTCAACTCAGTTATCTGAAATCGCATGAAGACAGTACAAAATATGAAGAATTTACAAGTAACTAAATGCCCTGTGGCAGAATTTTTTCGGGCTTTCTGCGACAATTTTCCCTAGCATTAATATTTCTCTTTAAGATAATTTTAATTAAAACAGTTACTACTTTAAGTAACAGAAACGTTGTGTTTACAGATGAAAGTATAGAATAAAAATGTGTAAAAGTTATATTTTTCAAATTCTAATATTATAGATGCTTTCTCGCATTTTGTAGGCAGAAAAATAAACTAATTATTTCCTGTTATTTTGAAAATCATTACAAAAATTAAAATTCTTAGACTTTTACAAATTAAAAATTGTAAAATCCATGCAGTTACTCTAAAATAAAGATCAATGACAAAATAATGCAAATAGGACTCTTTAAAAAAAAAGAGATACTCAAATAAGGGTTTGTAAAACATGATGTTCTTTAAAGAAGAAAAAAATGAAAGAAGGAACATCATTTCTAAAGCAAACTATCTTTTAAACTTTCACGATTTCTGAATTTTTTATTTTGTATTATTAATTTGAAATTCTAGCTGAAGCCAGTTATTACATACTTTTTTTCAAATCCCAAATGAGAATCGAAAAATCAGGATTATTTCTTTCCTCTCTGATGTGCAAGAAAAACCAGAGTTGCCACTCAAATCTGGAAAAAAAATTCCCCGTGTCTTCCCTGTACCCATAAGAGGAAACAACAATTACTGTGCTCTTGTGTGAACTATATTGGGCCAACTATATTTATTAGTTTTAATTGCTGAAAAACAGCTGAACACACTTAAATAATGCTGTAGTAGGTAAATAAAATAGCTTAGTATAGATGAAATATCATGGTTAAATATCCCATAGATTATGCTTTTAGTGGTCACCATTTTTTAAAAGACAAAAATAAGAAACAAAATTCCCTGTACTTTCTCAGTTTGTAAGGAAAAAATCAAAATTCCCTGTTATTTTAGATCAGTTGTGACCAACTGGTTTTGCATCCAAGAAAATATTTATTCAAATACAAAAGTAATCCTGTATGTTGCTTAAAAATCTACTTCTTATTTTAATTTGTAATTCAATACTTTTCTTTTGTGCAACTTGTGCAATCTACCAGCAATATTTAATGTTCCTTCAAACATTAAAGAGTCCTATATAAAATTTTGATACAGTTGTGGCCCGCCATTTGGCTGGTGTTTTTATTGCGGCCCCAGGCCTCAAGTAAGTTGGAAACTCCTGTTTTAGGTGATTTTTAAATTCCCCGTATTTTCCATGTTTTTCCTGTTCTCTCTGTGGAGTGGCAACCCTGAAGACATCTTTTAAAAAAAATTCTGCAGGAAAAAAAAAGAAGAAAAAAACTTTTTTCGAAAAAATGGTGCAGAAAGGTAAAACCAAAATATTTTCTTTCCCAAATGAATAATCTTTCTGAAAAAACTCTGAAACGTTCTGTGTCAGTGTCGCCGCAATTCTGCCACAGAGACTAAATGATATTTTGATTAGGTCATACTAACACAAATTATTTTGTGGTTTCAGTGAGAACAGTTTATATATGTATTTTTAAGACAACTTTTGAAGAACAATTATCAGCCATCCATATCATTACACTGTCAAAATTGCTTCTCTAGGATTATGTAGGCAATTTTTTAAGGTTTACATGAAATATAGGTAGACCATAACTTGGGAACCAAAAAAACATTAATTCTCAATTTTACAACACAATTTTTTAAATTGTATTGGTAAAACCTTCCGTAATTGTACCTGCAAACTGTACTTTTAACAATATGGAACAGGTATGGTACTAGTTATGATAAAAAAGCTAACATTACAAATATGATTTTATAATTAGTTATGAGTATTTTCTAAACTTGTTACTTATTTTTAGATAAAACAAATAAATTTATAATAATTAAGACTTGAACAAAATATCTTATAATTCTGTTCATGTTATGATTACAACCAGTGTTCCTGCTCTTTCACAGAGGTAAACACAACCTCCTTAAAATTTTTATCTAGAGAAAAAAAATAAAAAATTATTTTAAGAAAAGAGATAGCGGTAGCAGAAACCAGGAACTTAAGTAAAAAATTTATTTTCAGACTAAATCAATATAGAATATTATTCCTCATATTTATTTGAGTATTTTTAATTCTGTTTTTAAAGGCACTAATCTAGCCAAATATAATTAAAGTAGCAAGATTAGAATGCTCTTCAGTTTTGAAGAAGCATTCGGAAAAGCACCCGGTTTTTTGTTACTTTTGGAGAGATCTCTGTAACAACATTACAGTTAAGATACTAATAGTATGTTATTTCTAAAAATAAATCTTTGTTATATTACCCAAAAATGCTTGCAGAGCATCCAGTTTGCATTTTACGATTAAATTAGAGATGACTATTATACAGAATGGAACAACGCAGATAAAAACCTAAAAATAAAAATAGAACACATTTGTTTATGCTACATAAAAATAAATACAGCATAAGTTTGAAAATCTGAACAGTTAGTAGCTCTAAAAAAAAAACAAAAAAAACCACAACAACAGTTTAAAAATTATTTTACTATTAGACTTAAGGTTGGAAAAAAAATGGATTTTTGTAGGTTTAAACAAGGTTAATGTTTTTTGGTTTGTTTAAAACAAAAGGTTAAATAACATGCTAAGCCCCAAATAAAAAGTAATTAAACCATTAAAAAGTATTTTGCAAAAATATTTTCAATTACTAATAAATATTTTGACAAAGAAAACTAAAAAAAAATTCACTTTTGTTCACATAAATAAGAAATAGGAGAAACAACAGGACTAGGCCCCAACAGAAGAAGAAAGGTTTAGATAACGCATTTCTCCAATGCAATTGAATCATATGCGTGGGTGATATCGATCGACAAACATACAGTAAAAAAGCTGTTAGCGTACCGAAGATGATGGTCAAAAATGGACAGTAGACTATTACATCCCTGACAAGGAAAGAAACCATGAAGATACAATTGAATGGAATTTTTTTGTACAAGGTAGATGTGAGGCTGAAGAGATATAATTATCGACTATGTTAACCTTCATCTATCAAAAGGTACCACTGGTGGAATCAAGTTAACGTGTCTTATATACTAGTGAATTGGTATTTAATATTTATAGTGGTAGTTACACCACAAGATTACTCACTAAAACACCATGTTTTTGTATAGTGCTCTGGTAAGTGTTATCGGCCTATATGGGAAAATAAGATGTCTTGACTTCCTATGTTTGACTAATGGTTTGAAGAACACTGGTGAATATGTTTCCATGCTTGTGTAAAAATTTAACGATTTTAGTGTTGTAGATTTAAGATTTTCATGCTTTTGCACGTGCACTCTCACACGTGCTATTTTGTGGAAGAGCCACATTTATCTCTTGAACCAAGGTTTGCTGACTACTGGTCTAGTAAGCTGTCTTTTTGACAGTTGTTGGGACTGATTTTTACTTTGTGTTTGAAAATCCGATATTTTTAACAGGATATTACTGCAACAAGTTAATCCTAAATTCACCTGATCTTGTTGACTCTTTTCCAAGTAGTTAGTGCTAGATTTCTTAAAATTTTGGCATTACAATTGTTATGGTGTTATAATTGTTGTACAAATTTTAGTTTTAAAAAAAATAGCAAAATTTTGTAACTTATATTTGCATAACAAAATATAAATTTGTAGTTTACCCATAGTATACGTGTAGGAAAATAACTTTCAGTTCTTGGATTTTTATACAACCACAGTTCATCAGGGTGAATTTTTCTATGAAAAGGTTCAGCATACTCCAAAACTCTGCAACAAAAAAAATGTAAATAAATAAAATACATTAAAAGAGAACAGTAATTTAGACTAAAATAAAATCATTAAAAATAAAATTTTGTAAATAAAATTTCAATAATATTAAAAAAAGATTAACAGAAAGAACTTTATTTACATAAATTGTGAAAAAATACTGCACAGGTAAGTAATACCACCTACAAATAATGCAGAGTTCAATTGAATTAAATTTTTAGAATTGAGAACTTTTTAAGAACTTGGAGAGCTAGAGCAAAATCCTGAAAAATATTGTTCAAAGGCTAGTTCAAGATGGAAATAAAATAAAAGAGGCATAAAATAATTTTTTTTTAAAAAAGTACTTACATAAAAATAATCAGTAGAATAAATCTAATAAAAAGTTCCACTCCAAGCCATTTTCGATTTTTTGAGTCATTCATATTATCAATGCAGCTCCTAAAACATTTAAAGGTCATCTATATTTAAAATTACATTTTAAAGGTACATTTTATTCATTTTAGAAAACTTTTTATTTACCTTTTGTAACTTTTACTTCAATTTAAAAAAACTTTTTTATATATAGTAAGAATAGAATAGGGACAATAGCAGAGAGCCACATTCATAGATATTAAGTACAACATATGTGTGAATATTTCATAATATATAATTACCAATTTAGAAGATTTTCAGAACGCATACTTTGAAGCTTGGTTATATAGATAATCACAAACAACCTTACCAAATAAACAAGGCACTACACATCAGGAATAAATTAATATTGATGTTTTAAACTAATGATTAAATACAAATAGCAAAGATAAGAGAAATATATGCACTCAAATATTGTGTATTTACAAAAAAAAAAAATATTGTTAAGTTAATTTTATCCTTGGAAAATTGCAATTTATAAAATTACATTAAACAGGTCTTTAACTATACATAAATAAATTAATAATAATATAGAAATCCCAGTTTTGCTTGAAAGAAAAAAATTTCTATTTTGTGTTTATATTTTTTTTAATCACTTTGTATTTGAAAAGTTTCAGCTTCCCTGAGAATTTTTTGATAGCTTCAAAGAAATCATTAACATAGTGTAATAATCATTTCAGTTTTCATGCTATTGAAATAGAAATCTTTTGTCCAGATGCAAAATATTTACGAAATTGATTATTCACAAAATATAAATTAATACAACAATTTGGCTTCTTCAAACATGAAATTCAAATTCATTTATATAAGAAAGAGAAGGAAAAAAAGCATATTATAGTCCAGTAAAATGCTCCTTCTTTCTTCTTCTATTGGCATGACAGCCCTTTGTGGGCCAGAGCCTTCTTTAGAACCTTTCTCCATTCTGCTCTTTTCTTTGCGATTGTTCTCCAGTTAGTAATTCTTAGGATTTTGAAATCCTCTTCTACACAGCCAAGCCATCTGATCTTAGGTCTAACTTTAGTTCCCTTTGGTTTGTTATTGAAGATCTTAAATGTCAAGAAAGAAGGGTTCATTCGTCAGATGTGACTCGCAAGCTAGGCTCTTTCTTTGGAAACATTATTAAACAGATTTTTTTTTGAAGAAAACTTTGTTATTAGAAAAGATACCTGAAAACTTTCCTACTCTCTGCTGCACGTTTCCTCATTTTTGAGGAAAATGGGGGTGATTTGAGGTGGAAAATTAAATTTCTTTTAGACAGGCAAGAGAGGCATTGTTTCCTACATATCTATTCACCTGAAACCAGCTCGGCATGCGCGCACGACCATCCTCGAGTAATTCATCCAACATGTAAAATGATTGAAGGAGATGACTGCATTGTCAAAATAGATTTCGGCTTAATGAGTTGTGAAGAAGTGTAATGGAACAGTGAGAAAGCCATGATTCTTTGAGCCATTCTTGGTGACATGCTTCTTGATGATTCTTGGGGACAACTGACAATACAAAGATAAAAATTTCATTTTGGAAAAAAGAAAATTAAGTACTTTTCACAAACACCCAATAAAAAGTTATCTTTAAAGTCTTTAAAAACAAAAATAAGCCCTTTGAAGCATTTCTTTCAAAAAGCTTAGCACCCCGCACTAGTTCAATACTAATAGCAACAAACTTATAAAACAAATATAAATTTCTATTACCTTTAATTATAGAGCAAAATTGAGTACAGACTGACAATATTTTATATTATAATTATACCTAGAAATTATTAATAATATAATTACTATACATGATTATAATTATATATAGTAATGTGTATGATATGTACCAATGTGTACCAAGACTAATGTGTATAAAAATAATATTCACAACATATATTGTTACAGGCCAAATTACGGCTAATTATTCGGGCCAGGTACTTTTATATAAATGTATTTAAGTTGATTAAGATTTTGTACTTAAACTGAAGTTAAAATTAAAAAAATTTCAAAATTGCTGAAACCATGCTTCAGTACTTGGGTATATGGCCCTACATTAGTCAATCTGCCCTTCAATCAAAAAGGTTCTGTACCCTTAATTTTAAGTATATTTCTAAAATAAAAGAGAGTCATCTTTTTCTCTTCCAAGAGGTTATCTTTTCAAAATATATTACATCATATAAGAAAAGGCCTATGTAATATTTCACTTAAAGCACTAACTGCAATGGTCTATTTTAAGTAGGAATTATATATATAAAAAAAAAAAAAGTTTGTCAATCCTGCTTTTTTAAAAAAAAAAAAAATACTGTAAAGAAAAACGCTAAGTTTTAAAAGCATGATCAGTTTCATCTTCATGTTGAATTCAAAAATATAAATGAAAGAAATCACTAGAAATATTAAATGAAAAGAAACTTAAATCTATTTTGTCCATTAACAGAGCAAAAGAATTAATAAGTGCAATAAACTCTTCAAAGTGTATTCTAACAATGATGTAATAAATTTAAAAACTTTAACAATTTACACGCAATGATTCAAAATAGGTATAAAAATCAAAAGATTTATTTTATTAAAAAAAACTAATTTACATTTTAAACAAAATTCATTTTTAAGGATTGTTTGGGTGCAGAAAAAACGATTAAAGTACTTTATCCAAAAATGTATTTTGAAATAGGTAAAAAAACGTAAGGTAAATTGATCATCAGATCAAGATCTTAAGTAATTGAATAATAATTTAATTGTTTTGTTTGGACAGATTTTAAAATACCTTTAGTACCTTTTAAACACTGGAGTGCAAAAAATAGGAGACCATCTGTTTGATGACTAGTGACTAGAGCAGGGATGTCAAAGTTCACATTCACCGTGACGTCCGTTTGGTCGAAGGCATGGACTAATAGAGGGGATGCTACATATCTACACTGCTCTGCCGAGTTTTGACAACAGCGCCACTTTACAGAAACTAATCTAAGCATGAGGTCGGTCCAGATTGCGGTATGGATTAATACAGGGGGTAAGGAATTCTCACCTTTCCCGGGGGTGGATTTTAAAACGTAACATGCAATAGAAAAAACGAGACTGTGCTCCCTTCTCCAGCAACATTATTTTCTGTCATCCCCGCCGTACGTAAGCAGTGCCGACAGGAAAACGTTTTCGTGCTCGAGTGATACTAAAAACAGACACTTCTTAGTACCGTTGGTTTGGAAACGTATGTTAGATTGAAAAATTTTTGACTGCTCATAATGATGCTGCTATCTAGTGAAATATATGAGGCATAAAGGTTCCTCGCTTTTTCTCCAAACAGTACCGTAAATAAATGTCCCTTTTATGTGGCTCACACTTCGTTAAAAGGTTTTTAATTTTTCTTCATTAGGAAAAACTGAGCAAAATATACACATATATAAAAAAAAATTTTGAAATTGAAAATCCGAAGATCACCGAAGTCAAGCGTCATTGGCTGCGGTCAGTGTGCTGGTGGGAGACCACTTGGACCAGTCTGCACAGGGACCGAGGGTGTGCGGTATTGGTCCTCGTTAAACTGTTCTACCGTAAAGTGCTCGACTTCACGTGCAAGTCGTCGGGCTACCGAAGCGGGGGCGCCATCCCTTCTGCAGAGGATCAAAATTGTGATGGCTTCGGCTCATCCTCAAGGATATTTTCCAGACCGTCGCCAATTGCCCATTGTGCAGCTCTAGTGTGACATAAATGTTTTTTCTTTCTTTTTTTTTTTAACTGAAGATCAGATATGAACGAGTTTAGTGTTGGCGATTGAAATGGGCTGTAGGTGGCGTAGAGCAGAACTCTCTACCTGTGGCAACACTTCCCATGCTTTCCTCATTAGCGTGTGGAAAGTCATAGAGGAAGGAAGTGCGTTAGTTTCTCTCTTAATTTTCATATAAATTAAAATCTTTTTTAAGTAGGAAAACTATATGGAACTGAAAATTACATGAAGCATAGTTCTAAAGAAAAGTATCACGGAAATTTTAAAAAATACTTTTATTAAATAAAAAGGAAAAATTTTAAGAAAAGGCAAAATATCGTAGTACATTCCTATGGATGGTGTTTTCAATAGAAATGTAAACAATCTCGAGCTCGGCACCTACTCCAGTTCCGGTTATAAAGTTTACAGCTGCTTATACTACATGTTATTCTGATAGGCGATAGTTTCAAACGGATAATTTTGTTTTCAATGAAAGAAAGAAATTAGATAATTTCTGAGCTTAAATCTGCCATATATCATAAGATATTATAATGTTAATATGTAATTCTGGTGAGTTTGAAGTGAAAATTTGTTTTAGTTTTTTAGAGATATATTGTTAAAAAAGGTGACATGGTTGCTAGATTTCGAATAACGCTTTTTTGGCAGTCTTGATATGGCCTCTTTCCATAGGTTACTGTTTGTTCTTGTTGCAAGCTGTGCACCGTCTTACGTTAGTGTTAACCCTTTTAGCATTGTAAACACAAGTAATAAGTAATCAAATACATTGTCTGCGAGAATCTCAAAACACAATGATGCCAAATGGCTTTGAAGTACAACGGAAACAGTAACCCGGAATTTCAGGCGGTACCGAGCTTGCAGCGTTCCCTAGTGTAGAAAACACCATCCATACAACTCTCCCCAGATGGCGTATTCGAGTGTTGTGATCGTCAATTCTGAAATCTATTGATCATATTCTTTAAGAGGTGATATGAGTATTCGTTCTAAACATTATTTGAATATAAAAATTAGTAAGCTATTTATAATTGTACATTTCATGTTTGATTTGAATTACAAGCCTGTATATATTGTAGTATCTGATTAACAAAATTTGATTGTGATAGTTCATTATAATTATAAAATTAGATTTTACCTTAGATCCTTAACAAATTTTATATATATATATATATATATATTGAGTCAAAATAAATGTCTTTAAATTTTTATTATTAGATTATCAGATCTTAATTTATTGAATTATTATTATTAATTTTCAGTTGTGAAGCATTCAATACAGTGATTCCAGAAACACTACAACTTACAAAAAAGATACTCCAGAAATCTATCATTTAAACAAATTTCAATGTTTAAAAAATAATTTCATTTAATATCACTTAAATGTTATAAAGAGCTAAAACTTTAAAATTTGCGTAACAACCAATTTAAAATTGGCATTATATTATAAATATATAGAACATTAAAATGCTTCATATTTCTTGCAATTAATCATTAGCTTAACTACAATCTAAGCGAGAAATAATTCAGTTAATCAAAAAAATGTTTGCTTTAGTTAGATGTAATGATCCGACAATAATACTACATAAATTAATGAAGGCATAATACATAACATATAATACATACTACGTAAGATAATACAAAATTAATTATCATGCATAAGATATTAAAATAGATACAAATAAAAAATATGCATACCGCATTACGGATGTCAGCAGTGAAGTGAGGCTGGAATTAAAGGTTAGCGAGTAAAAGCGTCATACTAAAGTGATATTTATAATAATTCATCAAGCAAATGCACCACTAAATATCCAGCATAGACATAAATGCCTTCGATCAGTAATGTTTTCTAAGCAGTATCTCACAAATAATAGGAAATGTAAACACGAAATCTAGAACTTTAATGTATGTAATGCATTTTATTCAAAATTGATATTATATTAAAATAAAATGTGATACATTCAAATTCTTCATATTTCTTGCAATTGATCATTTGTTTCAATACAAACTAAGTAAAGAACAATTTGGTTTATTAACAAAGAAAAGTTTGCTCTCAATAAAAATATCCATCTAAAAATAATGCCACATAAATTATAGAAAGAGCTACTAAATTAATTACCATGCAAAAGATATTAAAAAAAGATATGCAAATAATAAATGTCTGTGAGGAAAATATGCCTACTAAATAAAAGATTTCAGCTGTGAGGTAGCTGCAATTAATGGGTAGCTAGCAAAAGCGTCACACTTAGAGTCATTTTATATTAATTCAGCAACCAATGCATCACTAATATCTAGCATAGCTGTACATGCCTTTGGTATTTTTCCATTTCACAGACTCGGGCGATAAAATTGCCAGTGCAAACTTAAAATTTCTAATTTAGTCAGTAATTATTCAGTGCTAGGAAATTTTTAATAAATAAATTTTAATAAATAATAAACTTTTTCAATAAATAATAAGATAAAATATCCGAAATTACTTGCTCATGCAAAAGTAAAATCTCTTTGAATCAAAAAAAATATTGCAGACATTCTTGCAAATTTACTTCCACGAATATATGTGTTTCTTTGCTCATTCGTTTAATCACTCTGGCTCAAACTTCTCCACTATTTCTTACTCCTAAAATTCCGTCAACCAAGCTCTTGGTGATAGAATTTGGTTAGCAATCACCCATTTCAGCTGATTACCAAAGTAAAGCAATATTATTAAGTCCGGCAATCAAGACAAGAAAGGCGTTAAGGAAGCCTGAAGAAATACAAAAAGTGAAGAAATTTACTGCGCCCTCTATAAACTATTTAATGCGCTGAATCTACGCTTTTAAAATCAATACTAATATAACTGTAACTGCGATGCTGCTTCAATGAGACTAGGAAAATAAGAGTGCGTGATATTTATTAAAGAAAGAATGTTTTTGCATTAAGAGTGATTTATAGCAAGTATTAAACGCTTAATTATTATTTTCAATATCACTCTCACATGATTTTTTTTATTTGTTAAATTTTCCTTTGTTTTTGAGTTTTCGCTCCGAGTTATTTTTGCCATTTCATTATGGAGACAGTACCACATGGCATAGGTGTACAAAATAGGTACGCCTTATTCTACGACGAGTGTTTGGACCCGCTAGAAATTTTAAAGCAGACTGAAGAACAGAAGTCTAAGAAAAAGACCGAAAAACCTGTAAAGAAAGCAGCTAAGACGTCGCCACCTGCCCCCCTAAAAAAGCCAACGGAGACTGTTGCTACCAAAGCTGTGAAAATACAAGACCAGGATAGTGCATCTAAACCGAGAGGTAAACCTGCTCTACAGTCAAAAGTGTCAAATCAAAATGATTTTAGAGAAAATGTCAGAAACAGAGATGATAATTATTTCGGTGCTGAGACCAGGGAGAGAGAAGGAGGCAACAGCGAATTTCGACGAGGTCGTGGAGGATTTCGAGGAGCACGCGGCGGGGATGCAGGAGGTGGACGCAGAGGAAGAGGATTTTTTCCAAATTCTGATAACAGGAACCGACGTGTTTTCGATCGGAAAAGTGGAAGCGACAAATCTGGAGTGAAATCCGTTGAGAAACGTGATGGTGCTGGCTCTAACAACTGGGGTGACATCAGGAGTGATATCAATCAGAGAAGAGATGGTGGTTGGGATGATGAATTTGAAGGTGAACCACCTCGTCAAGAGTTAGGAGGCAACGTAGGAGAGGATACTGAATTTGGAAAAGTTGAAGAAGGGCTCAAAAATGATTCTCTTGATAACTCAGAAACAAAAGAAAATGATCAAATTACTGAAGAAGAACAACAAATTCAAGATGCCATGAAGGAGATGACTTTGGACGAGTGGAAGAAAGAGCAGGAAGCCAAGCGTGTCGTACCAAAGTACAACTTGCGTAAACCAGGAGAAGGTGAAGATGAAAAGCAATGGAAGAAAGGATATGTCTTGAAGAAGAAGCCTAAAGAAGATGATGAGGAAGAAGAAGAGGATGACGAAGATGATGAGTATGCTCGCCGTGGCCCTCAGAAGGTTCTTTTGGATATTCAGTTCAACTACGCTGATTCAAGACGTGGTAATAGAGGAAGAGGTCGCGGTGGCAGAGGAGGCCCGAGAAGTGGCCCACGTGATAATGCCAACAGAGATTCTCCACGTGAGGATCGTCCTCCTCGTGATGGTAGAGGTGGTCGCGGCGGTGGTGGTCCAAAAGTGAGAGGTGGACAACAAGCTGCACCACGTGTTGATGATTTCAACGACTTTCCATCATTAGTCAATGCTTAAGGCAAGGATGTTGATTTAATTAGCATTCCTTGCTGGCATTTGTTTCAATTATGGCACCAGTCATGGAATGTTTCTACGTAAAAGATCATGCAGTTGACTGTACACTGTTGTGTATGGCTTATTAGGTATTTGAACTCTCATGCTGGTTTTTGGAATTTTACTGTGGACATTTTTAAGCTTTTTTTGGACAATTTACTGAACAGTTTTGAAAATCTAGATTTTTTTTCCTGTTTATTCAAGTTTTATTAATATTCACATTGCCTGTATCCTTATGTACTTAACCAAATTAACAATAATGAATTTTTCGTCATGTGTTAATTTTTTGTTGTTGCATATATTATAAATTGCTACTGTTAATTATTAATTTTGACTTTTGTTGACTAACCTATTCTAGTTGAGTTTACTTTATAGAATCCACTGATAAAAGAAATTCTGTGCCTAATGGAAAATTAAAGGTATGATTAGCTATTAAGATTATATATTTTTTTAATAAAAATTAACTATCTTCTGTTAACTGTACCAATATATTCTGACTATTTTCATGTATCTTCAGAAAAGTAATATTTTCTTGAAAGAATGTATAATATTTTCTTCATTTAGTTTAATAACTTTTTGTACTTGCTCAGTAAGATATAATTTTTGGTAGTTTGGTCCAAGTAAATTTTGGACTATTTTTTATTGATAGCCATTTTCTTTTGTGTTCAGAGGAAAAAAAGTTAATAGACTGTTGAATTTATTTGAGTCTGGTTATCTAAGGGTACTTATTTTTGCTTAATTTCAAGATATAAACTTATTTTTTTCATGGAGTTTAATAATCTATTATTTTTTTTATTCTTAGTAAAAGTGCTGATAATTTTTTCATATTCATTTAAACTAGAATGGTGCTTATCCTGTCAATTATAAGTATTAAGTTTTGATGTATTTAAGAATTAACTTGGTTGTAATTAGTAATATTTCTTTTTTATTTCAAACTATACATTTTTCTTATGTATAACGACTTGAAATTCTATGGTAGAAGTTTTGTGGGCGTTTAAAGAAATTATATGTTCATAAAGTTGCACTTGTCTCATATTTTTTAATAACAGATCAAGTTTATTGTGTACTCGATCAACAAAATAATTTTGTTTTATAATTTGCTTCACAGTTGTTTATTACCTGATCATATTTATGCTGTAGGATTTCTTCATTGGCTTGTCAATTCATTGTTTTGTGTCAAAAATAGCTTTAATTGTTCTTTTAATAAAGATATTCCAAAACCCAGTATATCTGTTATATTATTCCAATATATTTTTTTTTTTAATTAAGTCTTTTGCAATTTCTTAGCTTTTCAAAAATTCCATCCAATTTAAATATGTTTCTTATAACTACTATCTAAGGCAGAGATGCATGAGCCTTTTAAATAATATAAGATTTAAAAAAAAGTACTAGTTTAGTCTCAAAGTATCAGGTTGTGATAAGTTCAATTTATTTATAGGTTCAGAGTTTGCAGTGAAATGTAATTATTTGTAGATAAACTATTGGTGAATGAGGAAATTCGCTTGTGGATAACATTGAAAGAGAAAATTCTAAAATTTTAGCAACAGTAATCACGCTAATGTAATACTGTATGTTATTGAAAGTTTGCTTTTAAGATAAATGTAAAATTATGTTCCCTTACATATGAATTGATACAATTTGCTTAATATCTATATTTCTCTTATGTGTCACCATAAACTGTCTAGGTTTTTTTGAGAGATACCTATTTTGTGAAAATTTAGGCATAATTTGTGAAATTTAAATATATTTAAAAAAAAACACAAATATGCTAAAATAAGAAGATATTTAATTATTTTTCGAAAATATGTTAAAAGTAATTTGTGAAACTACCGTTTTTCCTAAAATTTAATTTGTGAAAGTACCACTAAGCTGCAGTAAATTTGCCCTGGACAGGCCCCTGAATAATGAATAATTATATGTCAAGTAGTCCTTAGGATAATTTTGTATTTTTCTTTTATAGAAATAAATCTTAGCTGCAAAGTAATTATAGTGGCACCCTGATTTAATGTATTTGTCAGATTAACTTAAAAAAGAAAACTTAGCAGAATGATGTAAAATCCGGATAAAAAAAAATTTAGGTACATTTTTTACAAATTGACAGTAATATGAACTACAAGAAAAAATGTGTAAACTTTACAGGTATTCTGTTATTAAATACAATTATAATTATATCCTTTAAGACTTACTATTGTTTGCAAATTTACTTTATTGTTTGCATTCACAAATGTTTTAGAGATTTTATGCTTTCAAACTCTTGATTAGTAGAATTAGAATATTAAAATACAGTTGTGCTGTGCTTTCGACTTTTTATGTGAAAGGTAACCAAGTTTGTTGCCAAATTTAGCTAGTAATGTGGTAAGTATATTTGTTTAGATTTATTCACATTAATTATTTTCATCTACATGGGAGCAAAGGATTAATTATTGACTTGTAACTTATTCGAATTACTTTCAAACAATTTATGAGGTTCCCACATTTCTAAGATTACAGCATTATGTTAAAACTTCTACTGAGACAGATGCACAATCAGAGATACTGCATTGCCTTGGTCAAAGATGCCCGAAAATTCTTGCTCATCTCTGATGCAAGGTATATCTGATTTTGTTTATTTCTGAAAATTTTTCTTCTATTTGGTTGAGATTTATTTAGTTAGTATATTTATTTATTTTTTCATGTGTGATGCTTATAATTTTCGTTTCTAGATAGGTCATTTTGAGTAAGTAATGTAGCATAGCTGCAATTTTTTTAGCTTTTTATTGACATATAACTGCTATATATATATTTAATATTTTTGCACTTAGTTTTTCATGTTAGGTTAAATAATTTGATAGTTAAACCAGTGTTTTTAGAAGGACGTCCTGCCCTTTCTTTTTTATTTTATAACCCTCCTTTTTTTAGTAAAAAGGAATCTTTAAATGTTCAAACTACAAGCTTTTCTATTTTAAAAATAAGTGATTGTTTGAAATACGTTAAATAGTCTAAGAGGTTAATTTAAAAATTGTTGAGGATCAAATTCATTTAACATTACAAATTTTGCCAATTTTTACAGTGTTCTAAGTGAGTGTCTTTTTTTGAGAGGAAGCACTCTGCCCTTTTTTATTTCTAGGCAGAACTCTAAACAGTGCACAGTTGAAATAATTTCATTGTTGAAATTTCACATTCCTGAACTTGAAGAATTATAAGTAACAAAATCGGACTTTAAAAGTACTTTTCTTTTTTTCCTTTCAATTATATTGATGGCTTTTTAAGTGAAATCAAAAAAATTTGTGCATAATTTTAGAATTAAGCTAGTTCCATGTAAAATTTAACAATTTCTTCTATTTGTTAATAGTTTAAACATTTTTGAATTGTAAGTTGTGCAATTTTAAAAACAAATGCAAAATTTGAACGTAATTGTTTGAATACCAGTGGAGTTATTCAATTTCGAAATTAGAGAGCTATTGGGTTGATTTCCTTTAAATTTTGTTACATAAAATTGCCTTTTTTGAAGTGCTATAAACATTTCTGTGCCTTACAATTTAATGTTTTTCAACTGTTATTCAGTAATAAATATTTGTTTAAAAAAAAATAATTCATCAACTGTTTTCATTCTATTGGGACCCTGTTTTCCAGAGTATGGCTACCCCTTTTTATTTGAGTGTCAAAAATTTAGACCTTTTAAGTAAACAGGTTTCCCTCTTTTTCTTTCGCTTTAGATCAAGGATATAAATCTTTGGATCAGAAAGTGTAGATAGATTCCCTTTAGTTTTTTAAACTTGGAAATGTTATGAACGAGATTTAACTTAACAAGTTACTGTTTTATATGACTATCAAAATTGGCAATTTATCCTAAACCGTACAACTAATTAAGCCTAATGAGTTACCTATTTTGTTTCTAGTTATTCTTAATGAATATAATTTACCTATTTCCATTTGTAGTGTATAAAATCATTGAAAAACAGGCTTCAGAGATGAAAATCAATTAAGTCTGCTTTATTATTATTATTTCTTGTTATATACTCAGTGGGTAATTTTAGGAAAATCTTGTTTAAAGAGCTTCAATATTTGTTAAGGAAATTAAGCTAAGATTTCTTAGCCTAAACTTGCCTTGCAGAAGTTTCTTTTTAAATTGTTGAATATTTTAATTTGAGCATATAGTAAAAAGTGAAAAGAGTTGCTTCAAGCTATCTTTAATGTGCAGTGCTCAAAGTCATCCTGAATAACTTTTGATCTAATGATCAGATCTTCACAATCTAGGCTTGTACTTAATGGTTCAAGGGGGTGACTTTAAATATGAGAATTAATTAGTGCAATGTAAATGATATTTTATGTTACGAAATCAGACAATTCTTTGAATTAAACTATGTTTTTGTTTGACGGATTTAGATTTTCGACCTCCAAAATATGGTTCGAATAGTTTGGTTAGAGAGGCTATCCAAAGTTTGGACTTATTGACGTTAATTTTTCTTTTTTGGTATTTCGCCATGTCTCTAGTACTTTTAAGTGAATAGAAAACTTTTTACACACGATAATAAAATTCTTTTATCTAAAGGTAATTCCATGCAAAAATTAAATTTTAGTAAATATTTATTATATTATTTAATAATAGTTGGGAAAAAAGATTAAGGTATACAATTTTTTTACTTCATTTGAAAGTATGTAAGTTTGCATGGCAAATTCCAAAAATCGGAAGCGAAATCGGTTTAATAGTTAATGAGAAATCAAATTTTTAATTAATAACTTCCTTAAAATTTGATTTCTCAGGAGCTGTTAAACTAATTTCGCTCAAACGTAGTATGCCCTGTAAAATTAGATACTTTAAAATGATTTTAAAAATTGTATGCCTTACAATTTAAATTTTTTGATTATTATTTAGAAAAATATTAATAAATAGTTACGATAATTTGTTTTTTCATGGAATTTTCTTGGAATAAGCGAATTTTATAAATGTGTCCAAACATTCTTCAATTAACTTAGAACGTTATCGAGATATGGCGAAATACGCAAAAGGTAAAATTTACATAAATGAGTCCCAAACTTTGGATTGTTCTCCTGACTAATTAATTAGCATCACCCCCCCCCCCCCCCNCCCCCCCCCCCCCCCCCAGAACCATTTAAAATTTTTAAGGTGGTCTTGTTTTTTCCCCCCTGCTCTGTAACAGTCTTATTAATATAGATATTTTTCTTCCATTTTATAGATATTTCTTTTACTTAATCATTTGATTAGTTAGATTTTTTATTATTGTTTATCAACTTAGCTTTTTTCGAAAAACATAAAAGAATTCGTGCACATAATAATTTGTACAATGAAATTATAATAAATGTTAATGATCAACCAGTAAAGTTGGAATGTTTTCTCCTACAATAGAAAAAAACATCATGCAAGAAATGAGTTTCAATTAGAAATTTCAAATATATCAGGTTTTAAACAGCTAACATTTGCTCTCCAGTTCTCTAATTGACCCCAAATAAAGTGTATTTTACTTCCCATTTTTTCTTTACATATACAATTACATCTTTGTTGGGTAATGTCATTGTTGATTAAATTTTGTTTTATAATACAAAATAAAAATTTGTGGACAGACTCTTATCATTAAGAGTTTTTTTTTTTTAAAGGGTACAAAAACTATTTAGAAAATTTCTTTAAAATTCTCGATATCCAAATGTCAATGAACATTTTTAATCTTGAAGTTTTATACAACTTTTGCATATCATGATCATAGTAGTTTATACAGGTTACTAGCTTATTGCTATGCATTAATCAAAGGCACTTTTTTGTCCATAATATATTGCCTGTCTCTCGAACTTCTGGTAAATTTTATTCATAAGTATGAGAAATCTCGCATGACTGAAATTATGAAATATTTCTGAAGTATTCTTTGAGAAATTTGAAAAAATGTCAAAAACTCAAACTCTTCCTTCCGTTATTTTAGGACATTGTAAATTTTACAATTAATTATATATTTTTCTACAATTCTTCGGCATATTGTTTAAATTTTATTGAATATTACCTTTTAATTAATATTACCTTTTAAATTAATTTTTTTTAATTTATTTTCATAATTTGTTCACAAATTATTTGCAAAAGTTTTTTTAATCGCCCTTTTTTTTTATTAATAATTTCATGATAACTACAGAATTTTGAAGTAGACACTCTTCTTGTGATTTATAAATTTTTTTTTAATCAAAGTACTCAAGATTCAAAAAACTCGAAATATTTTCCGTTTGGAGGTAAGTAAATTAGTGTTAAAATTGGACTAAATTTCAAGTATCAATTTTTTAAAGAAGTTAGTATTTTTTTTTATTTTTATTATTACTATATTGTTCAATTTATTTTAAAATGATATTTTATGAAGAAAAAAAAAGGACATAAATTCTACAGAAGAAAAAAAAGTTGCTCTGAACCAGGCTTCGTAGTTGTCCTGATGATTTTTCTGATAAAAAATAAATTGTCCTTAATTGTATTGGTTTTTAGCTTTTTGTCCTAATATTTGTGTATGTTCAGAACATCCTAGTTTATAAAAATACAATATATATGTATAAATATTTTTATGTAGAAGAGTTAGAGAATCGAAAGATTTGGATTTTTGATCCAACATCTTTCAATTTTAATTAATAATTTTAGTAGAAATTTCAAAAAGAAACTCGATTAACAAATTTTTATTTGTTATTTTCTGCAAATGCAGGAAAAAATCTTTGATGGAGTTTTGTAGGTGTACAATTTCAGATTCGACTCTATCATGTGATTTTTTTTAAGAAAAAAGATCGATTCCAATTAACATTCCAGTAATCATATCAAATTGTTTAATTATAGATTGAGGGATTGTCTATTAAAATTCTAAAATTATTATTACACAAGAATGCTTTCTAAAACTATTATAAGCTATCATCAGTATTGATAAAATTGTGCTGGACACTTTAAACTTTCCGTTCTTTCCAAAGTAGTAATGGAATTAAAAATAGCATGATTTATTATTCTTTAGCCATAAAATTTTCTTTTCTAACAATTAAAGTAGAGCAAATTATACTTTTTAGTTTGCCGTTTTTTTAAAAGGCATGGTATATATTAGGAGAGGGCAATTTTTTTTCTTTTCTTTTTCCTGATATTTTTTCTTTTCTTTTTTGAAAAATGAAGAAAAAAAATCGAAATTTGTGGGTACAATTATTTTGTGTTATCACTTTATGAACACTCTCAATCTCGCAGATTCCATCCTAAAATTTTATTTCGTGTCTCGCCAAATCTTAAGCTATCAACTTTTCTATTGGCACTTACCTGATAATAGGTTCCTATGCAGCCTGGTATGAAGAAAGCTTTTTTTTTTTTCTTAGCAAAAAAGATTTTTATCAATAAAATCTTTTCGAAAAATATTTTATTTTTATCCATTTTTTTTATTTTGGTATCAAAGAATTTTTTAATCAGGCCTTTTAATGATTATGCCTCTTTTAAATATAGAGGAAACCTGATTTTGCGTTTTAAGTCGGACAAGCGCATGCACAAATGAGTGAAGCGAGAAAACGTAAAAAATCGGAATATTTTAAAATCTTTTATCTTAACTAAAGTTTTTACTGAAAAAAAAAAGTAAAATTATATTACGTGTGTTGCTGAGAAATTGGATTATCTTTATTAATCAACTCTTAATCAGTCAAAAAAATATATTAATATAAATCAGGATATATAGTACTAAAAACTATTTTATTGCCCTTCAATATTTTCAGATCTCCATGATAAGATCAAATAACGAGGTACAGAACCTGTGTTAAAGTTCATTGTGTTCCACTTTTTGTTACAATTTAACTAAACATTTTTTATAATTTCATAAAACAAGCATTGGAAAATGACTCCATTTTTAATTTTACGATAATTTTGAATATATAATCACTCGGGGGCCTCTTTTGGTGGAATCACCCTGCAGGATTACAATAATTAAGTGCACAATTAAAGAAAGAGTAACATCTTAAAAATTATTGTATGCAATTTTCCAAACTCAGCTATTAAATATCAATTTTTTTTTATTAATTTTTTTTTGAAAGAATTTTAAAAAAATCAAAACTTTATTAATTTTGAATTTTTAGATTACAGATTGTCTAAAAATCAGTATTTACTAAATAGCAGGTTCAGAGATTACTATTCCATACATAAATTAACAAACATAAATGGTTTTATTAATCGATCCATTGATGATTTTTAATAATGATCAAATAATAATTTGTGTACCTTCACATGGGTAAAATAAATCTTTATTTTTTTGAAAAATAGATGATTCTGTTGATATTTTTTTAATTTAACTTTATAATGAATTGTAAGTTATTATCAACGCTTTTTATTATTTGAATTTTGAAACAGAGCTTCAAAAAAATTCCAAATGCAAATATAACTAAATAATAAAAAAAAGACAATTTTAATAATTTTAAATTGTAGAAATTCACTCAAAACAATAAAACTTAATAACAGTATAGACCTTTATAAAGTCCTTGATATGTTATTAATTAAAATGTTATAAAAATAAAGAATGAGAATAAATCAAAATAGTACGAGGAAAGATCGACCGAAAATGTAAATCGAAATGCAAACAGATAAATTGTTCCAGATCGTTCGTAATGTCATTTTATCAATTGAACTCAAAACTTGACGAACTTTTCCTTAGAAATACAACCGAACCTTATTTTTATCAGTAATTTTCTATTTAAAATTTTCCTAAGGCTCTTTCTCTTCTCTAAGAAAAAAAAAATTCTCACTTCAATTTTGGGGTTTACAAGCAGGGACAAAGCTTTTTTTTTAATTGATCTGATTTGAAAATTTGTTTCCTCAATATCGTCTATTTTCTGGCTGGAATATGTGCCCTTCCTAGTACACCCTAACAAAACATTTCAAATTAAAAGTTATGTTTTGAATCTTATAAATCCGAATGACTCATAATCTTAAATCTGTTTTATGAGAAGTTTCATTTCACTTTTCCTCCATTTTTTTTCTTCCAAACCTTCAGTCACGCTACGGATTGGTAGATAGTGACGCAATCGTGATCAAGTGGAAACCTGTTCCCTCATTGAAATCGGGTTCTTTCACACTATTTGTATTGCAGAATAAGTCCGAAGGTTTTGTTGACTCGATTTTATTTTTACGATCATTGTTATTATTGTAATTTTGAAAGTTTCAGAGAACTTAAATTGTAAATAAATAATGTCCGTTAATAGTGGTGATTGGAAATTTGTGGTATGGGAGCGAAACAATAAAACTGGGAAGTGGGTTCCTTTTTCGGCGGAAATCTCACAATTTTTAGAGACGAGTTATAAAAAAAAGTTAAATACTGTATCATTAGGAGATATAGATGAAGCTTTAAAAATATATACAGTCGATTTAGAAGATATGATTCAAGTTTCTGAAAAAACAGGTTAGATTTTTTTGTGTATTGTCTTAGCGGGACAAATTTGTTTTTATCTCTTTAAAAGATACAATTTGTAGTAATAATATAAGTAACTAATTAGATTAGTTTTAAAATAACTAAATTAATTTTAAAACGAAATAAAAAAGCAAGTAGAAGAATAGAAAACGAGAATGCATATATTATTTCTTATATTCTGGCAATCGTAAAATATTAATAACTGAATTTCTTGAATCGAATATGTTTGTGCTAATACAGGATATCTAAATTAAAATCATGTCGCGTATTTTATCTATTGCGAAACAGTTTTGATAAGCTACTTCATGTTCTGATAAGGCTGTCTATCTTAGGAGTCAATTTGATTCTATTTTCATGAAATTGGAAAAGTAGTAAGAAGTAAAAGAAATTTCACATCGTTGATATAATTGGCGATGTTATTTTGCCAGTCAAGTTCGTCTCACATACATTTAAGCTTTGTCGTTCCGTTACAAATTTATTGAAAAAATATTTTACGGGCTACTTATTATTATTGAAATCATGAGTACGATATCTAAACCTTTCACGAAAGATCTTTATTTAAAAAAAAAAATTGTTTATTATTATAGCCAATTAATAACCTTCTATGAAAGAATTTTAAAATCAAATCAAATGTTTCATTAGCAAATTATTATTGTATACTTACAAGATTATTCATATTTATGCACTTTAACGAATGCATATATAAGTTAAGGGTTAAAAAAAAATTGTTAAATTGTAAAAATATTATAAGAAATATAGATTTTTCCCTGGTTTTTTATTATATAGTTTAAAATTATTTGGATTAAATTTGAAACGTTTATTTTTATTATTACTAATATATGTTTACCTTATAAACAAAAGAAAAATTTTATTTTAATCTAATAAAAACTGGATAATTAAGTACTCTATGATCTCCAAAATTTAGTTTATATTGATAAACTGTTAGTTGCTTATCATCTGGAATGCTAAAGTTTTAACTAGTGCTAGTACAAGTGACAATTTTATTTATACAAGCTCAATAATAATAAAATGACTCACAACCAAACATTTTCCTGACTTCCTTCAGGAGTAATATGCGCTACTGGTTTATATTTTATGTTTAGTAAAAATTTAAATTTTACTTGGAAAAAAGTGCTTTTTAAAATTTTATTTTATTATTTACACAAGCTGAATAATTTTACATTAGCATGTACACCAACTTATACCGTTAACAATTAAAATGAAGTTAAAATAATTAAGAAGTATTTACAATACAAAAGCCTATTAAATGATATACTTTAAAGAATGCTTTATAATTATAATTTATTATCTTTAATCTCAGTTTAAAAAAATTTAGCTAAAAGGACAAAAAGAAGTATTAATAATATTTTTTGTAATATTCTATTAATTTTTTTGGTCTTTAAGATGTTTTTTTTATTAATTATTACTATTTTATCCTATCATTATGTACCATTATTAATTGATAATAATTCATTCTTTTATAATATATTGCACAATGTTCTATTTAAATTGTTAAAAATTTGATAATTAAAGTAGAATAAATAAATGTGGCTTAAAATAGAAATGTATATAATGTTTTCGGCTGCCAATGTCACTTTGTTCCAAGATTTTGTCAACCATTTAATCCAATTGAGGTGGAATTAATTGTTTATTGTGTGGGACAAAGTTAAGTTAGGAATGCATTTTGTATAGTCAAGCTTTCATACTTTTTTTTTTTTTTTTTAAATCCTGCCATTATGTATTTACAAAGTATCTAGATTTTTATTTATCTTTGTCTGAGTTTGTTTTTTATTTCATTGATATTTTACTTAATATTAGCAGGATTAGCTTCTCTGCTATGAATATTAATTTAGATATTGTATGAAAAATTAAATGAAAATTATAATGGTTATTTAATGTCAATTATTTATTTATTATTTTTTTAAAATATTGATATATCCTATCACAAAAAGTAAAAGAATTTTATTTTTGAATATTTATTACAATTTTGTATGCATAGAACAATTTTCTGAATTAAATGCACCTAGGCTGTGAAAATTTAGTTTTGTGTTCCCTGGACCCCATTTAAAAAATCTTGTACACACCTATAATAAGAAGTAAACAATGGCATGTTAATAAAGGTTTAATTTCAGAAGAAATAAGCACTAATAAAACAAGTGGAAGTTATTATTTTTAAAATGTACTATGAAGATTACAATGTTTTCAAGCTCTTTTTGAAATATACTGTTAAAACTGCGTAAAACTGTTACACATAGATCAATTTTCTGACTTTAGTGCACTTAGGCTATGAAAATTTAGTGTAGTGTTCCCTGGACCCCATTTGAAAAATCTTTTGCACACCTATAATAAGAAATAAACAATGGCATGTTAATAAAGGTTTAATTTCAGAAGAAATAAGCAATAATAAAGCAAGTGGAAGTTATTATTTTAAAATGTACTATGATAATTACAATTTTTTCAAGCTCTTTTTTAAACATATTGTTAAAATAATTACCTAAAAACTTTAAAAAATGTTTATAACAAAACTTTGAGATGCTTAAAGGCTCTATTTTTCTATCTATCTTTTCGTTAACTTTTTTACAGTGCTTTTTATTAAATATTCTTATTAATACATTAAAAATAATTTTCTCCCTTGAAATTGATGTGATAATTTTAAGCTAATTTAGTACCTTGATAAGCTGATAAATCAGAACATTTCACTTTTAGAATTAAAAATGGGGGAAGGTAAAAGAATAGAAATTTTAGAAATTACATGAAGTTAATTCTGCCTGATAATGGGAGATAAGAAGTATTTCTTGAAACATATAGTTGCTATGTGTAGTGTTTTAAGTTTTTTTTTAATAAATATTTATCTAGAATTAATTTAGAAATTTCTATTTATAGCTTTAAAATTCGGAAATAACCTAATCTAATAAAACTAAGTCATCATCATCATAGTTGGCCAGACAGCCCAATGCGGGCCAATGCCTTCCTAATAAAACTAACTACTGAATAAAAAAATATCAGTATAGTTTGGTAGCTTGTTGTCTATCAGTATAGTTTGCATTCAATTTACCAATATTGTGGGTATTGTTATGTAAGTTTAATAAATTTTATTTGTTGCCATTTTTTAAGGCAGATTTGACAGATTCTAAACAAATAACTTAATTGTTATTTTTCTTCTTCTAATTATCAGAGATGATTGTGCTCTGGAAAAAGGCGGATTTCTGGATTTTTCTCTAACCGCGATCCGGAAATTCAAGGTCCAGAAGTTTCTAGAAGTCATCGATCACATTTATGTATACAAATTCTTTTATATTTTATTTAAAAACATTAGGACTAGAATTTATACCTGGCATCTCTTTCATTTGTAAATATTTTTTCTGGTGAAGTAATAAATGTGATTAGAGATAAGAATAAGCTTGATCATAATTATTAATTTAAATTATGCTTTATATAATTTATTTAGAATTTCATGTTGTGAAAATATCAATGATTTAAATTTAGAAAGACATTAATTTTTTGTAATTCATCATTAATGATTTTACTCAAGAAATTTTCAGGATTTTTGTGTTGGGCTCACAATCACCTCTGAATTCAGCTCCATTTTTCTCAAAACCTAATTTTTTTACTATTAAAAATTTTTATCCAATTTATTTTATTTGTGTACTAATTATTTCCTGTATATTTAAATAAGTATAATTTCACTGACTTATTTTTTAAAATTTATTTCTTAGAACTTTTTAATTATTTATTTATCTTTCTAATAATTCAGGTACAAAATCAAAAGTGAGGAGGCACTTATGTTCTACCATTGATTCTCTTCTTAATGGTTTCACATGGCAGTGGTCAGGTAATGACAAAGACAACTGGCACTCATATGACATTGATGTGAATAATTATATTGAAAATGCTTTCCAAAAGGTTTGTTGAATATTATTTATTTTCTCTACCTTTCAGGGAACATGGAACCAGGGAGGGCAGACATTCACATCATATAAATAAAGGGACATAACCCCTTCTAAGTAAGAAATGTATATATTACTCCCCCCCCCCTCTTGAGAAACTTCCGTGGTCACTGCTACTTTGTGACATTATCATCAACTATTTTTTAAAAAGAAAATAATAAAAAAAAAAATATAATTATATTTTCAACCAAAGTTATCTCCAGACCTATTTTTTTCCAGCTTCTACTTGCAATTAAAAGTAATGTTATCAGCATAAGCTCTGTAGGAATTTCGAACCTTTTTCCATTTTAGGTAGCATTAGAGTGTAACAAGAAAACTTTTTTCCAAGTCCAAAGTGCTTAGAGATTTTTTTTCAAACAAAAAGAATAGAAATACCTTGAGGGAGTTAATTTAGAACAGAATCCGTTGCTCAGATCTGAAGAATTATTTTAGACAAAATTGCTTTATACAGTAGTTATAGATTATTGCATTTATGTATGTAAATTTTTGGTAAATGTGATAAAGTATACGACTTTTTAATTAAAAATAAGGAAATAAAGGAGCGTTTTAAAAAATAATGAGGGATATTTCCCATAGTCAATTCTACTGTTATAAAGTGGAATAAATAATGGGAGTGGTTTCAGAAACTGGTGAAAAGGAATTGATTGCATTCAGATACAAACTTAAGTCACAATTCAATTCAAAAATAGAAAAGATAAATGTCTGAAAAATTCATTTCAAGAAGCCCTCATTATATATAGACAATTTCGAATGTAACAAAGCAAAATAAATTTCACCATATTCTTTCATTGCTGGACTTTTAATCAAATTTCCTATTAGCATGGTAGGGTATATTGCAGGGGTGGCCAAGCTCCTACATAGTCAAGCCATTTTTCAAAATTAGAAATTTTTCGCGAGCTGCAATTAAATATGTATTTAAAATATATGCAAAAAAGGTATTAATTTTTTTTTTTACATAAATTATATTTATTGAAAACATATAAGTAGAAGAACAAAATATGTGTATTGAATTTAAAATTAACCACATTTATTTTAATTCTCATGATAATTCTTTAAAATTTAGTGAATAATTGGTGACAGCACTACTCATTAGTTTTTTTAAATGCTGGTTAGTTAATACTGATGGGTGTTTGGATTTCACGAATTTTAAAGTGGAATAAAATTATTCATATAAGTACGCTGTTCCGAATATTGAAATAATTTGACAAGCAGCCTTTTTTAATTCAGGATACTTCGATTCTGGTACGAATTTCCTAAATTCAGTAATCGACATCGACTTATATTTCAATTGTAGATCTTGATCTTCTTTTTCATCTCTATTAATTCTAATGCTCCAGGTGCTTTTTGTGTCATAATTATATTGGAAATGGAAAACTCTCCTTGAATTGAACAATGTTGCACTTAGTCTTTCATATTTGTTCTTAGTAGTTTAAAAGACATTTTGAAACACATACGGAAAGATAATAATTTTTAAAAATATAATAGCACAAAAATAAAACAGAAACTTGGGTACATTTATCGAGAGCCACAATTAATCCTTCAAAGAGCCGCAGGTTTGCCACCCCTGGTATATTGGACAAGCTAAACATGCCCTTAAAATTAATTTTGAATTAAAGAACATGAAATGCATGTACAAAATCAGGATATTAAATTATTTTCCCTTGCTCTCCAAAGAAAGAATTCTAATCATAGGTTTGAGTTTTCTCCTGCTAAAATCATTCAACTGTGATCTTCATCTACCAAGCTTGATTTCTGGTATTCAATCCATACTTTGAACAATCTATAAATTTAGTTCATGTTTTTTTTAGTATCTTATCCTTTCTCAATGTTTGGAAATCTGTTCTAATTTTAATTTTTTTTTTACCCAGTAGGTTTCAGCCAAACCTCTTCACACCTGCTTAATATCTCCCTTCTTTTATTATCTTGTTCAAGTTTGTTCCCCTGTCTCTACCAGTTAAAACACTTTGCTTGTGTTTATCTCTTTACTTTTCTTTGCCATTTCGTGTTTAGACACTGGGATAGATTCTGTTTATTGAACTGAAATTATAGTATGCCTATTTCAGCTGATTTGAAACTGAGTGTCAGTATACAGGGTTGGAACTCCACTGGGAGAGCCTGGAAAATACAGGGAATTTAAAAAATCATCTAAAATAACAGGAAAAAGGCAGGTTATTTAATTTTTTCTTTACAAACTGGAAAAATACAAGAAATTTTGTTTCTTATTTTCGTAAAGGATGATATTCCAACTATGCTAAACTATTTCATTTTCTATAGCATTGTTTAAGTATGTTCAGCTTTTCCTTTTTTTTCTCTTAAGTTTTTCCAGCAATTAAAACTAGTACAGTTAGCCCAATATAGCTTACACAAGAGTGCAGTAACTGTGTTTCCTCTCAATATACTGTGTGTAACATGGTGTATAGCGTTTTTAAAAAGTGCTTAAAGGTGCTTATTTTTGTTTTTTAAAAGCTTTTGAAGTGCTTTTTTCATTGGGTGTTTTTAAAAAGTGCTTAATTTTCCCTTTTCGAAAATGAGAATTTTTTTTCTTTTCCGTCTCGATTATCACCATGTATTATGCAAAAGCGTGCTTTTCGCGTTGTTCTGTTCAATGTTTTCACAATTCATTCAACCACAATCTATTCCGACATACCGTCGGTCCACAGCGTATGAAAGCGCCAATAATTTTACATGTTTGATGAAACACTAGCGAGTCCGCATGTGTGTCTACTGNACTCAACTGGGAGAGCCTGGAAAATACAGGGAATTTAAAAAATCATCTAAAATAACAGGAAAAAGGCAGGTTATTTAATTTTTTCTTTACAAACTGGAAAAATACAAGAAATTTTGTTTCTTATTTTCGTAAAGGATGATATTCCAACTATGCTAAACTATTTCATTTTCTATAGCATTGTTTAAGTATGTTCAGCTTTTCCTTTTTTTTCTCTTAAGTTTTTCCAGCAATTAAAACTAGTACAGTTAGCCCAATATAGCTCACACAAGAGTGCAGTAACTGTGTTTCCTCTCAATATACTGTGTGTGACATGGTGTATAGCGTTTTTAAAAAATGCTTAAAGGTGCTTATTTTCGTTTTTTAAAAGCTTTTGAAGTGCTTTTTTAATTGGGTGTTTTTAAAAAGGGCTTAATTTTCCATTTTCGAAAATGAGATTTTTTTTTCTTTACCGTCTCGATTATCACCACGTATTATGCAAAAGCGTGCTTTTCGGGTTGTTCTATTCAATGCTTTCACAATTCATTCAACCACAATCTATTCCGGCATAGCGTCGGTCCACAACGTATAAAAGCGCCAATAATTTTACATGTTTGATGAAACACTAGTGAGTCTGCATGTACGTCAACTGAGCTGGGGTTCAGGGAGATTATTGCACTCTCATGTGCAACTCTGCTGCATTTTGCAAGATACTCTCAATTTCAGGTTTCATTTTCCACTCTCTGATATTGAACTAAAAAATCTCTTGATCATTTTATAATGGCTAATATAATAAAGAAGGGCATCCTTTTTCAGAAACTAGTTATTTTATCATGATCATGTAAAGTCTTTGAAAATTATTTTACATTTTGTTAATGTACATAGTGCTTAAAAATGTTTTTTGAGTGCTTTAAAAGGTGCTTATTTTTTGTTGAAAGATTTGGCTATGCACCCTGTATAATATGTGCACTGCAGGAGAAACAAAGGGAATTTTTTTTCAAGATTTGAGTGTCAACCTTGGTCTACAAACTGCTCTTTTTTTTCATTGCAGGGAATGAAAAGTGTAGCTCTCAAGAAAACATTTCGAGGTTATAACTACGAAATTGATCTTGCAAAAATGCTTCAGATAAACAAACAAACAAAGCGAAAACGTTCCATTCGTCGCCAACAAAATGTTTCGCCTTATCCCGTAGAGCAGTGTTTGGATAGCTCTCCAAATACTGAACCTGAACCGGATCAAGTGGCAGTTGAATATGCCTATCTCGCCCAAGAAGTCCCTGGCACATCTGCATTGGTTGACCAGCTTAATAGTTATGTACGAAGTGTCACTATGGACATTGTGCCCTCTGTGATGGCCAGTGAAAGTCCAGGTCTTCCTCAACCACCTGAAAGAAAAAAAAAGAAAAAACGTAACTCTACAGAAGTGTCAGTTGATAATAATGCTGTGGTAACTGGAAATTTATCTGTGTAAGTTATTGCATCTATCTGTTAATATCTCTCTATACTTTGAAGTTGTTAATTTTTTCTATGTTTTTTTTCATTTAGCAATTATAGCGTTATGTTTGTCTTCTAACCCGATGGCAGAATTTTTTAGAGATATCTGCGGCAAAACTCTCTTGGTGCTAATATCTTTCTGCAAGATACTTTTAATAACAAACATATATGTTTACTAATTTAAAAAAAAAAAAATCACTGTGTAATTGTTTTTTATTCTATTATGGGTGATATTCTCGCATTTTGTTGAGGGAGGGAGTGCACAAATTATTTCTTTCTTCGCATTTTGTAAATAATTATTGTTGACAATAATTGAAAATCATGAAATCCGTAGTAGTGATTGACGAAATAAAGATCGACGATGAAATCACGTTAATTGGACTCCTCAAATGCGTGTTTCGTTTCTTGATTAGGTTGTTGTAATAAATAGTATTGTATAAAAAATATCAGATTTGAAAACTGTGGAGAAATCAATAGCAATAACTGCCAAAAATTCGATATAATTATTGCCTTAAAAAGTAATTACTCAAATCCACGATTCGAATTTTCCATATTGTTTGAAATTTAAAAGGATATTTAAAAACCACATGAAAATCAATATCAATAACTGCCGAAACTACAATCAAAACATTACATCAATTTATGATACTATCGGCATAAATTTATTATTTCAGTCAGTTATTTTCAGTCAGCTTATGTAGTAATTACCTGTAATTTGAGACACACACAGCCTTGTCATAATTTTTTTTATATGAAATATTGCATTAAAAAAGTCTTTACTGTTTGGAAGATATTTTTTATTTTCATGCAAACATTCTGCAATAGTGCAGATGTTTTGCAAATTTCTAAAATTATAGCTCTATTCGTTTTATTTTATTTGTTGTTTGTAGTTTAATAATCTATGTCTTTGGGTATACTTTTGGTTATGTGAAAACTGTGCAATTTCATTTATGTAAAATCTCTTGGAAAAATATTTTTTATTAATTATATTTGATGAAACATGGTTATATCCAAAAAGTTGTGAATGTAGATTCAATTTCTTCTACTAAACTTTAAAAAAAATGAGAACTTCAATTATGATTTTGATGTGCATATTTTAAAACTAGTGTCAGTCATTTACAAAAAAAAGGTGTTTACCTGAAATAAAAAAAAAGATAAAATGTCTGCCAATAAAGCCTTTTAGGGGCTGAGAAATATTTTTAGGCACAATTAATTAGCAGAAATATTAAATTTTTGTTTTATAAAACTCTTATTGGACCTAATTTGATTAATGTCTCGATTGCCAAGATCTAAAGAATCCCATTTAGGTAATTTTGAGATAAAATTTTAAAATTGATTTTATGAGAAGAAAAAGAAAGTGATAGTTGGTGAAGCTGATACAATGCAGATATTTATAATTTCTGTAAGGACCTAGATACCATAAAATTTATCAACATTAATAACGGCATGTTTTCATATGAAAGTTGTTCAGTATAACAAATAATTTTTACTAAAATATTTTGTAGTTATTCTAACCTTTTGCCCATGCTTACATATCATTTGGTGATTGTATTGTTTTAGTTCCTTCATATTCTTTGTTCTCATAAAACTTTCATGTTATGTTTTTATGCATGTTTATTCTTTCAATCTTTCATTGTGATATGAATGTTTTATGGATGCTATTATGGATACATACATATAAAAAGCATTGGTTAATATTTTTGTTTGTTGCATTGTTTTTTTTTTCTGTATAATTTTGCATGCAAATATTTTTATAGTTTTTTTATAAAATATGCACTTTTGTGATTAAGGTATAAAGTTTATATTAATGTAAATTGTTAGAAATTTCAAACTGTTTCTTTATTCTTATAAAATGTTTCAAAATATGTCTCACTTTACGTCTTCAACAATTTTATTGAAATTTGATTTGATTTTATTTTTTTTTGCTAATTTTTATAATAAATTATATTTTAACCAGAACATTGTTTACTTCATTATTAGTAAAACTTATAATATAGTATTTAATGTTGAATAATTGCAATTGCTTATAATTCAAGAACAACCGCTTTGTAATAAAAAAAATTAATTAGTCAAAAAAATTTAAGATAGAGGTAAGTGCATTTCGACATGGGGCACCTTTCAACAACTGGAATTTCTGCCTTCTAATATTGCTTAATGGCCAATATGCTAGATATAGCCAATATGCCAGCCAATAAGCTTTAATTATGCATAACTGTTAAAATTTAGTTTTGAGCACTATTTTTTTTACTACTGTTGTGTTACTCTGTGGAACAAGTTTGAACATTCCAAAAGTGAAAAGACAGTTTTGATTTTGAAACTGTTTATCTACCTGTAATCTTTTAATAAGGTAAGTGATATTTATTCATCTACTAGTTTATTTAATTCTGCTTCTATCTATTATTTATTAGTAATAAGTCCTTTTCTAAGGTGGTTGATAATATTTTTACCAAAATGTCTTTACCAGGGGCAGATTTCAACAGAGCTTAGGGGGCACATTTCAACAGTGTTGAATGGTGTCCCAGGCTTATTATTTTTATGTTAAGTAATCATAAAAATTGGCATTTTAGATCAACAACTGGAACAGGTTAAAAATTTCAGGATAATTTTACTTTTTTATGACTACATGAAGCATGATAAGTCTAACCCATAACAGTCCTCAGAAAGTCTATTAATTACAATTGTTGCATTTAAAATACTCAACTTTTTCTGTTAAATTCTTCTAAGATTCTTAACGATAAGCTAAAAATTCCTTTTGAGTTCAAGTTAAAAATAAAAAAAAATTATCTATGTAATCATATTTAAATTTGTTAGAATTATGTAAGTATTTGTTAAAAAGTTCTGTGTCTAAAAACTATCATTCTAGTAAATAAAAAAGTTTTACTTTTTTCTTTCTGAAGTTACAAAATTATCCTTGTATTGATCTGAAAATAAATTGCAACTTTAGATTAAAAAATTTAACTTGTAATTTCTCCTGATAATGTATTGAAATGTATGCAGTTTTGAAGTGTATTTTATTGGTTTGCTCAATTTCTAATTCTATTACAGAAATACGACTCTTTTGCCTCCAACTACGCGTAAGTTTTTACTTTTGTGATAAAATATTTAAAATTTTTATTTCTAAACAAATTTTATTTTGATCTTTTAAATTTATTTTAAGATGCCATTGTAAATGGAGCTCCATGGTATCATGCAAGCCCACCTCATACTCCTTCATCTTTGATAAAACCTGTTCCTGGAATCGAACCTCTTCCTAAAATAAATAAAAGAGCAGCTAAAAAGAAAAAAGGTTTGCTTGATTTTTATTATACATTTTTTTTGGTCACACTAATTAATAGCAGAAAAGGGACATATGCACTTTTTACAAAATGAATATAACTCAAAATGCATGTTAGAATAATGGGCATAGCTCAAAATGATTGTAGAAACAAGCAGGCATGGCTTAGTATGCATATTTTTTAAAAAGACTCTTCTAACGATATGTTAAAAAATGTACACAAATACATGTTTAAAAAATGTGTACACAGCTTTATAGCATTAAAGAAATATATATATAGTTTTATATGCACATTTAAGAAATGAACATATCTTAAAAATGCATGTTAACAAAAAGGGGCTTAGCACACTTGAAAAATGGATGTATCTCAAATGTTATTGATATGATATATGCCTTTTTGAAAAGTTTGGGTTTATTGTTTTATCACTTTGTGCTATATCCAGTTTTTTTAAAGTGCATTTATTCCTCTTTGAGCTAGCTATGTCTGTTTTTTAAACGTGTCCATTTTTTCAAACAACTTTCAACTAGTATCTTTTTTTAAAAAAAAGTATTTTGTGCAATGTTTTTTTTTTCTTTCTAAGTTTATATCTAGCTATGTTCATTTTGGCGTTGCTAATTTGGGTGTTGTCCAAAATAAAATGTTCCCTGACTAACTGTAGAGCAATGAATTCTGCTGATAATAATACAAAAGTTGCCAATGTATGTTGTGTTGTGTTAAAACATCTTTTTACTTTTTATCAGCGTTTTTCCTTTTTAATAATTTGTCAATGCGTAAAAAAATTGTAAAATACAAAGGAAGGTAGAAATTATTATTAATAAGTGGTAAAATTTTAGATAGATTACATTTTAAACCAATAAAATATCACAAGATAGTCTCATGTAATCGATGTATTGTGAGATTTTTGGGACAAAATACCACAGTAATATGTATAGGTGACATTTTTTTTAGTTTGAAACTTTTATGTGGCTATTGTGATAAAGCACAGCATGGTATTATGTTAGCCCATCTCCATATTACTTTGATATGGCTGTGAATTCTGTTTAAAAAAGAGTAATGTTTTATCTGTAGTAAGTAAATGAAATCTAAGATCTAATAACAGATTCCTAAATTTAAGATTTTTCTGATCAAAATAAAATTCAAACTTCTAGCTGATTCACTGATTTTCATTGTATGATGTGATTGATAAATTTGTCAATCTGAGTGGACTGAGATTAAATTACAATTGGTTTTTCTTTTCGATACAATTGGCTGATATAATTATTATTAAAGAACATACTACTCTTTACTTTTCTAAAATAAAAAGTTAATAATTTCTAAATGAAGTGACATTATTTGTTAAAAGTTAATTTCACAATTAATCACCCTAAATTTTCACCATATTAATTTTCTGTTGGAGAAAAATGTTTTTCTTTTTTCCAGTAATAAAATTTCTGATACCTTTTACTACTACTATTTATGATTCCTAATTTTAGTTTGCAAATATTTTTGATTGATCACCATTTATATCGTTTAAATGTTATTTAAGTATGCATTTTTTTTTAAAAAATATGAATTAATTGCCAATATGTTGTAAAACATGAATTTAATATATTTTTAAAAAATAATATATTAAATCAACAACCCTGGTGATTTGCGTACACTTATCTAAAAGTGGATATCAAAAGTGCGAAAATGGCTAACATTTTTTATGACTCTGGTAGCCAGTGCTTTTTCTAATTTTTGTACTTCGTCGAAGCTCTGTTTTAGCTTTAGTTGTCTGAGTTTTTTTTTTTTAATAGCTGCTTGAAACATTTGGAGAAAATCATAAACAATCAAGTATAAACTTTCCAAACACTGTCTTGAGTGAATGAGGAGAAAAAAATTATTTATATTTTATTTCATGCTATCGTTTATTTATTTACTTTTTTTTTTTTTAATTTAATGAAATTGAAAAAAATTTAATATTCCTGCTCATAGTTTCTTGACGAACTATTTGATTTTAGCCTCTCATAAAGATGATGTAAATATTTTTGAACTGCATGCTAATGAAGTACCCTTGGAATTACTAAATAAAAATCCTGTTGAAGAGGTAATATTTTTGATGGTTTATTTAATTTCTTAAAGAAAACTTGATTTAGTTTTTACAATTTCCTTTTAGGGAAAATATAATTAATAAAACTTTGTGTCACATTTATCAAAAAATTTTTTTTTACTTCTGTAGTTAATTATTCTAAGTGAATGGAAATGTTTATGTAATGTGCTTGCTTACTGTGCAAGATAAATTATGTTTAAAAAAATTACATATCACACAAATTTAAATTCAAAATTTATTTTGTCTTTATTTTAAAGTTACTGTATCATTTTTGTTATAACTGCATATTAACAATTATGTTATTACTATAGATAAAAACTATGTAAAATTAGACAAGATATGACTACACAAATATCCCTTTTAAAAAATATTCAAAAAATTTATAGTAAAAAACTTACTACTAATTATGGTCAATATAATGTGTAATATTTTCCCACAATTCCATTCCTGTTTAATTGTAACTTACCATTTATTTAACATTTTTAAAAAATGGAAATTATCAGATTATTTTATTTTGCTTTGTGTTCATTTAAACTTCTTATGATTGATACAAGATAGAAAATTATTTTGTGCAACAAAGCATACCAGGGCAGAATACAGTTTTTTTTATCTGCAAGAATACTGGGCAGGGAATAAAATTATGTTTATTTATACATAACATAGTTCAAATGAAATTAAATGGTAAAATTATTTTATTCCCTTATTTTATTAAATTTTTTAATGCGGAAAAATTAGTTCCTTATGCTTCTTAAATTTTTTTCAGCTGATCACTATTTCTAAAAATTACGGTGAAGTTATCTGTGTATTGCAGCTACATAACTAGAAAGAGAAATAGATAACTAATTTGAACATAAGAAAAGAAGAAGAAAAAACTATTTCCCTATTTGAATCTACTAGTCATGGGAACTGCTTTGAAAATGTGTCATAATATCGAATGAATTAATTTTTTTGTCATTGTAAATAGCATTAATGATTGGTTAACTAATTTTTATGCCATATAATTATTTTATTGTGTGTATCATAATACCAGGAGCCTTGAATCCTTTAGACAAGTTTACAGGGTTACATTGGTTTATTATGCAGAACCAATTTATATATTGAATCAAATTTGCTTTAAAGTATTTTGCTTTATTACAGGTGTGTATAATATGCTGTGAAGGGCTGTCAAAAGAATCCTCGTATAATAAAAATGATCCGACTATTGTGAAACTGAATTTGTGCTTCCATATGTTTCACAAGGCTTGCCTGGAGGCTATGTATAACAGCGGCCCAAAGGTGCATTCCTTTGTTTTATCCATACTTGTTATCTGTTTATAAGTTGGATTCATATTAAAAGCCTGTATTTACTCAATTAATTTTAGAGCCTAAGAAACTAAAAACTAAACTGAGAAACTATTGAAAAGTAATTTTTAAAACACAAATTTTATTTCTGAATTGGTAATGCTTCACTAAGGTATATTTTTTAAAATTTATTTACAGTCTATATTTCTAATTTAAAATGTTCCGATAATAAATTTTTCTTGCACATTGAAAATGACATGATTGTGTTTAGCAAGAATTATCGTGTTAAATATATTTTTTTATACAGCTAGTGTTTGTTGTGTATAGGTTGGCTTTAAAAAAACTTAAATAAACTTATCAAGTAATAGGCTTTTGTATTGTACCAAACAATGCAGGAGGATATTTAGCACAGCCTCAGAATCGTTCTGAAGTTTAAAATAATATTCTTCTTCACACTTTCTAATTGACAAGATTTTTTTAAAATAGAATTTCTTAAAACATTAGATAATGAGCTTTTTGTGAATATCAAGTCATACCTGCTTAGAACTTTCCCTAATAATATTAATTAACGAAGAAAATATGTATGTATTTTATTTATTTTTTGTTTGGTACTGAGCAACTTTACAAAATAATGCATAAATGCAAGTTGAACATATATGTTCACTTCTAGAAAAAAAATTGCATAATAATAATATTAACTTTTCATTATTAATTTAAGAAGAAATTATGTACTATGTTTTTTTATGTTTATAATAATAATAATAACTTTTCATAATATTAATTTAAAAAGAAATTATGTATGTTTTTTTATGTTTATAATAATAATAATATTAACTTTTCATAATAGTATTAATTTAAGAAGAAATTATGTATGTATTTTATTTATTTGTTTGGTACTAAGCAACTTTACAAAATAAAGCATAAATTCAGGCTGAAAAAATATGTTTCCTTCCGAAAAATTGCATAATATTAACTTTTCATTTTATTAATTTAAAAAGAAATTGCTTATAAATTTTATTTATTTTTTGTTTGGTACTAAGCGATTTTACCAAATGATGCATAAATTCAAGTTTGAAGAAATATGTTTACCTGTAAAAAAAATTCTGCCTTTAGCCTAATTCTTAGTAATCATCTATATAAATATTTGAATTATAATTTAATTCAGACATTATTTAGACAACTTATTAGTACAAATATTTTGATAATTTAGGCTTAGTAAAAGCCTTTGCTGTTCCTATTTGAAACAAAAAACTAATCATAGTCTTATTTTTTTGTTTAAGGATGGTTCTCTACAATGTCCATCGTGCAAAAAAATATACGGTGAAAAATGTGGTATTCAGCCACCTGGGGAAATGGTCTATCATGTGTTGCCTTATTCTTTACCAAGTTTCCCAGAATGTGATACAATACGAATTATTTATAATATATCATCTGGTATTCAGGTACGATTTGTGGTCTCTTTCTTATTGTTCTTGGGAACTGTTTGTAAATTATGTCATACATTATTTTTAACAGCTGATTATAATCTTTCACCCATTGTCACACTATATAACAGAGTTACTTAAACTGTGCGCTGCAAAAAAACGTGTGCAATTTCTTTAATTTATAATAATCATTTTATAATAGACAATTATTTTTACTGAAGATACGACAATGTAAGCTAAAAGAATTTTTTTTTTTTTAATAATGGAAAGGATCATTTTGCTTGTTAAACAGAGGGGTTTGCAAGTGTTAGGTAACACATTCGTTTTCTCAGTTGTGTCCTTCCTACACTTAATAGACAGACTAAAGTTTGCATTTGAATTTATTCAAATAATTGAATTTATATTTATTATAATTTTGAACTTGTTACTAAGTTAAAATTTTCACATTCTTTTATTTCTTAAAATTTGACACTCGAACCTAAAACTGCATATTACAGTGCAAGTGAAGACATTTTTACCAACGCGTACGAGATCTCTCTTTTACTCAATATTTCATTATTTTTAAATAAAGAGAAATTTTTATTCTTCTTTATTTAAAATATTTAATATATCTTCTTTATTTTTTTCATTCTTCTTTTTTTATTCATATTTTCTTTATTTATAATATGGCAATGTGGTCAGCATTGTGCACAGACCTAACCTTTTAATTTCTTGATTCTCAAAGTTTTACCCCACTTCCCAGACAGTTAATTATTATAAATAAGTTAATTATTATAAATTCATTAAGTTAAGTATTTTTAAATGTTTGTTTTTACTGTAGTTTGCAACCCCATGTTGACCTAACATGATTTATACTGCAAAGAATTGCGAGAAATCTATGTGAATGTTTCATCTAAAGCTCTGGATTTTCTCATGCTCCAGGGGTCCAGCAATTTCATTATATCATGCAGACATTCAAGAGGCTTACAATATTGTAATGCCATTGCTGTAAAATGTCTATTTTCTGCATTGATATGCATTTATAATGATTTAAAATCAAATATATGAAGGTGGATTTATTAGATTCAATTATTTCCTTAAGATTGAACAAATAACTAAACTTTAAACAAAATTTTGTATTTTCTGTGTGAACTGATATTATTATTATTTTAATTAAAATCTGAGACTCAGCAGTGCTCATAAATACAAAATAAAATAATCTGTGCTCGAGTCTTAGCTTATTATCTGAAGCAGAGTTCGTACGTCAAAATTTTTTCTGTCAATCTCAAATGTAAATGTCTGTTGAAACTGTTGCAATATACTTTTTTATATGACATTTTTTCGAAAATTTTATTTTGTAAGCAACTATCTTACTTTTTTAGAGCAATAATATGTTTGCTTATTCAGGGTCCAGAACATCCTAGACCTGGAAAAAAATATACAGCTAGAGGTTTCCCACGTCATTGTTATCTACCAGATAATGAAATTGGCCGTAAGGTAAGATTAATTTACACTCTAAACATGAAAAACTTTTTTTAAAAGCAATTGTATCTTATACCCGTTAAAAAATAATACATATTTTTTATTGTGTTGTTAGTTAGGGAATCTGTATCTTTCTTTTTTTTTTCGGAGTAAACTTACATAAATGTTCCTATGTAAATTTTTAGCACCTGAAATTTTACATTTTGATATGTTTGTATCATAGCAGCTTGAAATCACAACGATGTCATCAAAACAAAAAGGGTTGAACAAAACCAGGCTATATTTTATAAGCAGTGGAAGAAACTGAGGAAAATTGATAATAATGCAACTGTTTTTTCCTCTGTTAGTTGATATGTACAGTGCACAAAATAATAACAGAACACCCTTAATAACTTTTGATCTAATGATTAAATTTTCGCATATCTGGATTCAATCGTAATGGTTTGGGTGCCTAATCTTAAATATATTTATAGTATTAGTTAATGCTAATAGGATTGGGATGTTAATATATCTATAGCCCCTCCCCCCTCTTTTTAGATACTTCCGCAGTCACAGCATAGAGGTAAGCGTAAAGGTAAAATTAAAAATAAATTAAATTTGGTACTTTTCAAAACTTTGTGTTTATTGGATGTCAATGAATTTAACATTATAAAGTATTGGAGTTTCATTTTTAGTATTAAAAATTCAGTGTTAAAATGGATGATTAAAGAACAATTAAAAATTTTAAAATTTTGTACCCTTGAATTTAAATATATTGTTTTAGATCTTATTAAATTTAAACTTGCAATCCACAATTTTGATTTATTAAATGTTTCAAAAATTTAAAAAGAATTTTGTGTTATTAATTTTCTTGATAAAGATTTTGAAAGGGGTTTACTACCTATGACTGTTAATAAACTTTCTGAATATTTCCCAATTAAGGAGAAGATTTGGGTTTCTGTTTGTTTTAGATATTGTAAGACTATAAAGAAAATAATGTGTAATTATAATTTCTATTGTAAAAATTTAAAAGATTTAGAGGATATTTGTTTGTGTGGGCAAGAGCATTTTGAAAATTTTGTTAATAATGATTTTAAGCACATTGTCACAGGTGACCTTAACCTAATTAATCATTAAGATTTAAGATTTCTCTTGGGACTAGGTTTAGACCAAGATAAAAATATTACTTAAATTTTATTCTTGATTCAATCAGTAAGGATTTAGATTGTTCGATTGTGAAATGCTCAAGAAAATTTAATTGGCCTATAGAGGGATTTAGTGAATGGAAATTTTATGTATTGTATAATTTCAAATTGAATTTTTTGAACAATAATATAAAATACTAGGGTTTTTATTTGAATTCTGATATTATTAAATTTATTAAGGAATTGAGATGTAATTTTATTATTTGTGTTCTTGATTAAGCCTCTAATAATTTTTTCTTTATTTGCAAAAATTTTTAAAACATTTAATGAATAAAGAATATGAAAACAATAATACTTTTGTAACTTGCAGTACTGGCTGTTATAATTCTGTTTTTGGTAAAAGATTTTTTAATTATTTAAACATTATTTTAAATAAGATTATTTCAAATGATAAACATTTTATTATTAATGACAACCAAGACGTTATTAAATATTTAAATTACAATAATATTAATAATATTCTTACATGTGACTTTGAAAATCTTTTCACGAGTATACCACACAATAATTCAAAGAATATTTGTTTAGAAATTTTTGATAATTATTTGACTAATGAAGACGTTAATAAAGAGGATTGGATAAATTTATGTAATGTAAACATTTTTGAAAATTATCTTTTTAATGGTATTTGTTTTTACAGACAAATGAAAGGTATTTCAATTGATAATTGCTATTCAAGTGCTTTTGCTAATATTTTCTTAACAACATAATTTATTAATTGGGTTTAGATTTATTGATGATTTAATTATTTTTAATTGTAATGATTTTGATTTAATTAATGATATTTATCCTAAAGAACTAAATTTAATTTACGGTAATTCGGAAAATAATTGTGCATATTTTTTAGATCTTGATATTAAACTTCTTGACAATAAAATTTTCATTGGATTATACGATAAGAGAAAGGATTTTAAATTTAAGGTAATTAGTTTAACACATTTTAATTCCAACTTTTACTTTAAAATTTTTAAGAATATTGTGATTAGTCAAATTCTTAGGTTTAAATTTATTTGTAATAATTAAACAGATTTTCTTTCAGCTATAGGGACTTTCAGGATTACCTTCAGGAATAATAATTTTCCTTCTAATTACTATAATTATGATGTTTTAATTCAAAATATTTTAAAAACTTTCAAATAGTTTTGCCGATATTGAAGCCCATATAATTATGCCTATGTGGTGAAATTTAGGATTTATTAAATGTTTGCTCATTGAATATCTTTTTTTTTTTCACTTTGCAAGATTTTCAAATGGGGGTCAGCACTTGATTTATTTTTGATGTTTTTTTACTGATTTGGCAACTTATATTTTATTTTGATTCAGTTATTCTAACTGTAACTATTTTTATTTATAAGTGGGCATTTCAATTTTAATTCTTACTATGTGTACTTTTAAGTTGTGTTTGTTGGTTCATTATTTTTCTGCTTTTCAATTCTTGTAATGATTTTCTCTTATTTGTCTATCCATTGTGGTGCCTCGGGGCACTGTCAGTTTTTGGTTTCACCACTGACAACCAAAATTCTCCTGTGTGTTGGCAGGCAGTGTGTCCCCTGATGAAGTGCTGTCTTGCTAACACACATATTTTTTATATTTTATTTTATTGCTCTTTCCTGCTTTAATTGTTTTTTTGAATATCTAAATGAAAATGAAGCAAATTTGGTTTTAGCTGCTTTAGGCGCTTTTCTATTTTGATTTAAAGTTTCAATTGTTGATCTACCTTTGTATCTGTTGATTAGATTCATTTTATGATTAGATGACTGTGCATAGGTCAGAGTCTACATAAGTGGATAGAAAGACATTAATATCCTTCATTTCTTTTATCCTTCATTCATATGTTCTTTTATAACAGACAGTAAAGTCTACACATATTACCAGCATTCATTGGGGGTGTTTGTTTATAGGACAGAGCCTCTATCCTTACTTACTAGGGGGAAAAATTCTACGACAATTAAAATTATTTTTTAAAGACTACAATTTTAGAAGTTAATAAATTAATTTATCCAGTGTAAAGGTCATATATCCAAACTATTCAGTCCAGTGTCTTTAGGAATAGCTTATCATAATTAGTTTACACCTTAAAAATAAACCAAAGCCAATGCAATGATCAGAAAAAGAAAAAAATATCAGTATTCTAAGTTGCTAGGATAAAAGAGAGAATAATAGAGTTGCTAGAACAAATAATAGAGTAGCTGGAATAATAGAGTTTTGCCAAAATGAAATTGAAGGAATGAATAAGGAAAATGGTTATTGAATATATCTGTTTTAAAATTATCAGTGTCTTTTAAATATTATTTATAATTGGAATTATTTTTGTAAAACTCAAGTATGTGATTGGTAATAATATTGGAGAAAACCTTATTGCCTAAGTTGGAATTATATTTGATATTATTTTTTAAGTGGAAAGTCAAAGTCGTTTCTTCTGTCAAAAACTATAAAGGAAAATTGTCCATCTTCACTAATTTAAAGAGTTAAATCTGGAAAATTTACTGAAAGATTTCAGATATTATTTTTGTTTAAAATTAATTCTTCTTCATTCAGGGCTGATTGTGCTCTGGAAAAAATCCAGATTTCCAGAATTTTTGTTAACAGTGATCCGGAAGTTTCCGGAGATCGAAGGTCCAGGCGTTTCAAAAAATCATTGATCACGGAAGTTTCCGAAAATCAAATTTTCAAAGGTGGAACTTAAAAACACAGTTTATTTTATTTGTTTGTAAGGGAGAGCCAGAGGGATACTTTATAAGCTTATTCATGATTAATATTCATTTTTTATCAGTAAATAGTTGTTATAATCATAAACTCAAGAAAGAAAGACATATTTGTAAATTTTAATGACTTCCCCAGGTCATCATAGGTATGTGTAAACGGTATAGGTATGTGTAAAATTTTAAATATATTTTAAGTAAACTAAGAAGTATTGAGAAAAAGGAGAAAAAAAAACTCATTTAAATTTTTTTCTAATTTTTCAATTTAGACTGTTTTTTTTTTTTTTTTTTAAACTCAAAATTTTCCGGAATTTTGACTTGGGCTCACAATCACCCCTGTTCATAGGCACTGCAACTGGTTACCAACCAAGGCCATCTCAATCAGTTTATCCAATTTAGCTCTATTGACTGCTATATTTCTCCATTTTTTATCTCACAAGTCCCTTAACCACTACTGTGGTCTATCTAACTATCTTGTTCTAGGTCTCCCTCTTTTCCTTTTTCCCTCTGGCATTTGGAAGGTTATTTTTTAACAGGATTTTTACCTTATTTGAGAAATCTTGATCACTATTACTATGCTAGGTTTTTTGTATTTTGATTGTAATTAATTCCCTTGGATAAAATTTCAAAATGATCTAAATTTAATAACAAAAAATCATCACTAAGTCAAAGAAAGGAGGAATTTGTAGGAAGATTAAGATTATCAAATTATTTAATGAATCTATAATCTTGGTGAAAAAGAAAAAGGTTGCAAACATTAGTATTAATATTATTTTCCCTAGGGATTCCATTAATTTGTTGAAAAAGACAGTTATTAAACATAATATAATTTTTGTTTAGGTTAATTTTATGCTTTCTTCATCAATGATATCATTAAGATTAAATGGACTATGAATTTCAGAAAGGTCATCATGAATTTTATTAGTTTGGAAGGATGATTATTATTTTGATATCAAAACAGCTCAGAATCAATTGAGTTTAAAGATTTTACTGCTTTTAAAGCTTGTGTACTATTAGTGATATTCCTATTCAGGTCATCATTATTTTTAGTATGTTTGCTTTAGTATAGTACCCTTTCAGGAATATATTTAAAGTAAATGTAATTTTTTTTCATATTATATGTATATAT